TTCGGCTAGCTTATTAATAAGCTCTAATTATTTATTACTATTTATAAAAAGAAGTAATAAATTAATACTAAAATTTATTTTATTAATTAATAATACTATTTTTAAAATTCTTTAAGCTATTATTTATTCGGAAATTATTAATATAAATCTAGTTAGAATTTCGGAACTTATAATAATTATTTTAAGTCTTATAATTCTAATAATTATATTCTAAAGTTATATTTTATATATAAGAAACTCAAATACTATTTCTGGAAATATATATTAAAAGAATAAAAGGCTAAGAAAACTCGATTTAAGAATAGAAATATTTATTAATTTAGATCTCGAAATTTCTATAACTTTAATAAATGTTTTAATAATACTTATATAGAGTATATTACCGGAATTAAAAGAAAAAATAATAATAAAAGTAATAAAAGCAAACTAGAAAATAATGCTTTTAAAGCTTTATTAATAGAAAGAAATAAAAGAAAGAAATATTACTTAGATTTCTATTTTATTTTTATTATAAGCTTTTTAGTTATTTCTATTATTTCCGTTTCTATTATTCCTATAATTAATATTTTTATAAATAATCTTATTTTTCTTTTTTTTTATTAGATAATAAATAAAACCCATATTTCAGAATTTATTAAATAAATAAAAAAATATCTAGATATTTATAATTAATACCGGAATTTCTAGATTTTTAATTACTAATTCTAACTAATTCTGACTAATTTTAAGCTTTATAATAAACTAATAATAGTATTTAATTTAATAAAACTATTAAAGATTAAGTTAATATCTAGTTTAATATTAATTTTCTATTTTCTATTAAATTTATAATAATAAGAATATTATATTTATAAAAACTTTATTTCTATTTAGCTTAGTTAATATAAATAAGCTAGAAATCTATTTTAATAATTTTATTAATTATTCTATTATTTTTACTAGATATTATATTATAAAGCTTTATTTCCGAATTCTTTATTTATAATTTTTGTTTTTTTATAGAAATTAAATTATAATATTTATAATATTATTTTAGTTACTTATTTATTAATTAGCTTCGAAATATATTAGAATAAATAAGTTATAATATTAATATAAAAGCCCTTAAAGACTTTATAAAATACTATAAATAATATTAGCTTTAATTATTTTATTATTATTAGTATTTTCTATATTTCTAATAAGTTTATATTCTGTATTATTAATAAAAATATCCTATATTAAATTAATATCTATTTAGGCTCTTTTAATTAGATTATAATAAATATTAGAAAGTAATTTATTAGTAAAAAGTTATTTAATTTATAAATATTATAGAAACAAAAATTAAAATTATTTTTATAAAAGCTTATAATTTTATTAGAATTATAAAATACTATTATAGCCCGATTTAATATATTTACTTTATTATTATAGTCGAAATTAATAAAATTAATAAAAATACTATATTTTAAATAGCTTTTAAGGCTATTAATAATTCTATAAAATCTAATAGTATTATTTTAATTTTTTTAGTTTATAGTATTTTATTTTAAATAACTAAATATAATATTTTATTACTAATTATATTATAGTAATTAATAATATTTAAAAAAGTAATAATAGAAATTTAGAAGCTTTAAATTAGATATTAAATTATAAATGCCTTAAATACCCGAAATAGTTCTAATATTACTAATATTTATAACCCTTTTTTAAATTCAAATATTTTTATATAATATAAAAAAAATCCTAATTAATCTAATAATTAGAATAGGCTATATAATCTAGTAGCTATTAATAAAGAGAATTATATACTCGCCTTATTATATAATAATAATATTTTTTATTTAATTTTTATAAAGCTTTATTATATAAGAAATATTAAGATTATTACTAATAATTTCGAATTTAAATCTATTTTCGAATTTTATAATAAGACTAAAAGTAATATAAGTATAATTTCTTTTATTATTTCTATTATTTTATAAAAGTAAAATAAAGAATACTTTTATAAAACTCCGAATATTATAATATTTCTATAAGCTTATTAAAAAGCTAAATCTAAAACTTAATTCTATTTTAAAAGTTATAAAACTATTATATAATATATTAGAAGCTAGAAATTATTAGTTTAAAACTTATTATTTCTATTATATTAATGAGTTTTTTATAAAATAATTAATTTATAATTCTTGCTTTTTTTATAATATATAATTTTTCGGAATTATTAGCTTTCAAACTAATAATTTTATTAAAATAAAATAATTAAAGCTTTAAAAAACTAAATTCTTAACTAAAAAATATAAATGCCTTATTTTTAATTATAATCTCAAATTTAATAGAAATATTAATATAAAAATTTCTTTATTAAAAACTAATATATTATCTAATATATTAAAGAAGTATATATTATATTAGTCTATTAACTAGAGGCTTTATATAATTTATTAATTACTATTTAAGCTATTAGATTTTTAAAAACTAATATAAAAATATTTAATAATAAATTAAAAATATTACTAGAGAATTAAAATTTGTAAAACTAGTAAAAAAGTTCTTATATTTAATTATTTTTATAAATATTTTATTTATAAATAATAGAAATTTCTTCTTTTAAATTAGATGTATTTTAGTTTTAATAAACGGAACTAAATATACTAATATTATTTACTAGTTCTTTATTAAATATAAGAGAATTACTAGAAGTATTCTAGTTTCGGAACTTTATAATATAATTTATAGCTTTAATATAAGTATTTTAGTTAAATCTATAATTAATATTAAAAATAGAACTATTATTAATAATTTATATAGATTTGAAATTATTATATAAATGTTTTATTAAATTAAATATTATTTAAAAGAAATATCTAATAATTAATATAATATATTTTTACTAGATATATAAATAATAAGAGAATATAGAAATTAAATAAATTAAGAAAGAATTAAATCCTGCTAATTCTATAACGAAATTAAAGCTATTAAATACTTTTAAGTATCTAATTAATATAAATATAATATAATTAAATATAGAGAAATAAATTAAATATAAATAAAATAGAAAATAAATAAATAAAATAAAAGAATATTATAAGAAAAAAAGTTATATATAAAATATTATAGCCTTTAATATATAACTAAAACCTTAAAATTAATATAAATATATAAAATATTTAAGAAATCTAATATTAGACCAAATTATAGTATTAGTATATAATTAGAGAAAAATATTATTTTTTGTATTTTTTAAAAAGATTCTAATATTAGTATAGTTATTTCTTTAGGAATTATATATATAATTATAGGATTCGAAATACGAGATATAAGTAATAAAATATAAATAATAGAATATAAAATATAAAATATAGTTATATAATCTTATATTTTATAAATAACTTAATTAGTAAACTAGATTTTATTAGGCTTAATAGATTTAGAAATTATATATTAATATTATAATACTATAATTCTTATTCCTAAATAATAATAATGATAATAATAATAATAATAATAATAATAATAATAATAATAATAATAATAATAATAATAATAATAATAATAATAATAATAATAATAATAATAATAATAATAATAATAATAATAATAATAATAATAATAATAATAATAATAATAATAATAATAATAATAATAATAATAATAATAATAATAATAATAATAAATTGAAAAATATATATAAAATAATTTTTATTTAAGTTATTTAAGAAATAATAAGTATTTATTTTTGTTTTTATTTTTAGAAAATATAAAATAAAAATAAAAAAGTAGTTTTTTAAAATAATAATTTATTTTTTTCTTTTAATATTTTTATATTACTTTAGTTACAGAATATATAAATACTAAAGTAATATAAGATTTTAATAAGTTAGCTATAGAAAATAGTAATAAAACTAGCTAAAAATAATAACTAATTTATTATTTAATATTTATAAATTTATTTTAATTGAAATATTAAGCTAAAATTTAAATTAAATTTAATATTTTAGTAATTTTAACTCAACTTACTTATTTATTATTATATTTTACTTTTCTTTATAGCTTTAAATTTGAAAAAATATAAAAGTCTTAAATTTCCAAGTTTTATTTTTATATTTTATTCTTTTTATTATAATTATACTTAAGTAAAATACTAATAATATAAAAAAATATATATATATATTAAATTATTAGTTAATTACCTATTCAAGTTCGAAAATAGTAAGTTTTAGTAAAATATAATAATAATGGAATGGCCTGTACTACTATAGTTCCATGACCTGTAATATGGCCTCGCGTCGGCTCGCTTACTCTTTACTTAAGCTCTCGCCTCCTCAAAGCTCCTCCTTCTCTCCTTCTCTTACTTATTTCGACAATACTGCGGCATTAGACCTATGCCCTGCTTGTACGTGACAAGAAATGACCATGTATTGACCTTGGATCTCGGTTACTGTTTCAGTAATGTGGCGAAGCGAGCTTCTGATCGGTATGGCCGGCTTTCAGTGGCAAGGCCCTGCGGTGGCCGAGTAAGAAATGCCTATCAAAAGGCGAACCAAGTCCTATAGGTTCGCCAGATATCCTATAACATCAATATTTCTTTCACCGAATTCCCTTTTTGGAAGAAGCTCGTAAAACGACCTTACCTTGTCTCGTTAGCGCATTGCAAGCGTTCACCGATTTCTTCATCAAGAGTTCTGACAAATTCTTCCACAAAGCTCACGACGCTGCTCCTCACTAAACGCCTCATAGGTTAATTGCTCATAGAGGGCCGAGATCCAATATGGAAAGCGGTGAAAATCACGTGCAAATACATCCTATTAAGGAAATCGGTAGACCTGCGGCTCTTTCAGTTGACTCTTTATCCAGCAGCGTTTTTGAACGAGAAAGTATAAAGAAGCAAATTGCAGCACGAAATAAGGTTACATCCCGCTATGTGCAAACAGTTAGGCAACCTACCATTGTGGTCCTTCTGCAACCACCATTCTACGCCTCGTCCTCGCTAAGCAGATAGAACATTCCATAACAAAGACCCGTCCACATCCAATTTTGGTGCTCGTTGCCCTCTATATTATTTCCTGAACCAGTCGCTAACTAAAATTATGAGCAGCCTCTCTACAAAAATGCATTCCCATGAAACATCAACCAAAGCGCGAGATCATTCCATGGGCTACAAGCCAGCATACTCTGGGCTCACAACATCCGAATCAAGCTCAGCATTAACGCCCCCCTCGGCCACCTCCAATCCTTACTCAACCAAGTCCTTGGCTAGGTCAAGGTCATCAAGAGACACCTCCAGGGCAGCCATATGCCCATGCAGAAGCTCAATTGACGATGATGGTGGTTTGTGCTACCCACTTTGGATGCTGGACAGATATCTCAACGAGAAGACAAGCCTAGAGGGTCTGTTCACCACCCTCACCCTCGACCAACCGCCGTGGCGTAATTCAGAAAGTCAAGGCACTCTTCAGCAAACGACGCTCGTGGAAGGTCACGATGTCACGGACGACGGTGGGGTCTCATGCCAGCTGGAACTCGAGCTCGATGAATTTTTCGAGAAATGCGGTGGAAGCCTGGTCGACAACAAAGGTCATCCAATACCTTCGGACTATGAGTGTATTCTGTCGAGCTTCAGAGAGGGGATGACTTCCAGATGAGTTGAATGTGCAAAGAAATCCCTACGGTTAGCCGTTACAAAGTTTCCCCCGTCCTGTAGCAGCCTATCCGGCAGGGAATTGAACGGTTGAGAGACATTTAGGGTTCCAGGCGTTGAACTTTTTTGATACCAGTTGATAGAACTCTCTCTGTGGACGTTGCTAGAATCATATTGGATGTCTTTTGTGTCGTCCCCCACAGCTCGTCTGAGCTTTCGGTTGTCAGTATTAGGAGATACATTTGAGGCAAAGATAATCTATTCCTGTATCTTGGTTGAGTATTAAATAGAGTATAAGTATAATATATTTTGGGTAAGTAGAGTATAAGTAAGACCCACTACTTTACTCTACTTATAATAGCGGAGCTTGAGCTTTGAAATGAAGCATAAAGATATCTATCTCCTGTCTCTTAGGATCTAAAGCTAAGGAGGGAAAGAGAGTGAGGTATAGTGGCAAATAAGTAAGACTGAAACCACTAAAATGCCGAGTTTAGCAAGTAAAACCAATCTGTGGCAATCATGTAATAACAGCCGTTATGCTACTTTACTAATTTGACACATTGACTAGGCGAAAGAGACTTCAGGTCGAAGTCGATGCTGCAGCTCTTGTTGGTGTGCTTGTTGAAATTAGGGGCCTGAGGCCCCTAATAAGGCTAAGCGCCCTAGGACTAGATGCCCTGGGGCTGAATGCCTTGGGACTGAATTCTATGAGGCTGTGCACTAATAAAGCTAAAAGCTATAAGCTTATTATCTAGTATACTATGCCTTATAAGATTAAATTAGCTCAACTAGTATAAGTATAAAGCTCTTTACCTTAGAGATTTAATATATATAATTTAAGGAATTTAAAGCTTTATATATATATTATTTATTATTATAAAATTATTATTATTTTATAGTATTATTTACTTAGTTTATATTATATTCACATAACTCTAGCTTTATTTAATTAGTTTAATAAGTTATAAATACCAGATATTAGTTTTATATTTTTAAAGCTATTTTTATTAATAAAAAATACTTAAATTTCTTGAATTTAAAAATTATATATTATAATAATATTATTAATAAGAAATTAATTCTTTAATTTTAATTTTAATTTTTAATTATAATTAAGTTTAAATTACTTTTCTTATAAAGAACTTTTAGTAATACAAATATTTTACTTAATTTTAGGCTTTTTATTTATTTTATAATTTAAATTAAGACTTGTTTTAATATAATTATTTTAAAAACTAGCTTTTAAGATTTTATAAGACTTATTTATAATAAATATTTAAATAATAAAAGAAATAAATAAATTAAGGTTATAAGAATTAATTCATATTAATACTTGCAAATATTAGTAATATTTAAATAATATTACTAAATATTAATACTAGTATTAATACCTCAAATATTATTATTAAGCCTAATATAAATAAAGTATAAGTATTTCTTATTTGTATTATAGCTATTATAAAATTATAAAGAGGTTTATTACGACTGTTTAAATATAAGAAAGTAATTTTAAAAGGTCTTATTTAGTAGAATAACTAGTTTCTAAAGCCATTTGTTTTTATATAGCCTTATATACCAATTTTATATATTGCATATCTAAGTCTTTTCAAAAATTAATGAAATAATTGAGTTATTGCTTATTTCTTGCGGATATAACTTTATATAATTGAAATAAATAAAGCAGATTATCTGAAAACAAACAAGACAATATATTAATACCCTGGGAACCTTGCTGCTTAGCGTTACCATTTAACAACTTACTAGAGGACTACTACTCGATACGAAAGTATAAATCTGATCCACAAGACGTGAACGATACGAGCCCTACGAAGACAACGGCATAAAGTATCGGGAATACAGGGTATTGGGAGACTTTCAGGCTCTCCAGCGTACAGATCAAGGTAGTAAACTCGCTACAAGGCCCTATATTTCCAGGCCCTTCCCCTAAAAGCACATTTACGCCTTCGACAAGGGCTACCACATCTTTTCAGGGCGTCTTCCCTATACTTATAAGGGAGCCTTTGCTAAAGGGGCCTATAATAGTTGCTTATTTAGTATCCGAGCGCGATGGTTATTCTACCAATAGCGCTATAACCCTAGAAGATCTACTTACCCCATGCGAATGTCTTATAGCGCCTCTTTATATAGATTTAGGGAGCACTACCTAGAGTTATAGGGGCTTGTAGCGAGCTTCTGCCCTAAATTCACACCCTGTAGAGCGCTGAGGGTCAAAATGCCCTGTATTCCCGATACTTTATGCCGTTGTCTTCGTATTACCAGACAGCCCAAAATTGGATAGTTTTCGTGCAGTTAGTTACTACACCGCTTTCCGACCTAATCTCGATTAAAGGCTGTAATTGCGGAACAGCGCTCAGGATGACGCGCCACACACAGCCAATCAAGGACAAGTTCCGAGTGGCTAGTTGTAAGATTGACGCTATGGATAGTTGCTAGCTTCTCCCTCAACATCTACTTCCATTTATCCAATTACGTGAATTGCTTTACAAATACTAGAGCTATACACATTTAAAGTTAACGAGTGATACCATCATGTGACGAACATTTCTCGGAACCCTACTGGTAGGTTACTTTTAAACATGTTAACCAATCCCGCGAATTTCAAGAATATCTGTTATACATCGTCCTCGATGGGAAGTCCTACATCGGCAGCTTCTACTTGGCCTGAAGGCATCTCAAACAAACACAACCTCACTTACTAAACCCCTGAATCCTCGCCATCAACACCTGCGTAGCCTTTGTATCCGGATGCTCCACCCCCAAGCTCTCAACCTGCCTCGGAGCCACCAACCGGCACAATTCCAATGCTTTCTCCCCCATCCCCCTCACTTCGTAATTTCCCGCCAGATTACTCGCCGTCCTCAACGTATCCGGATGTCCACTCCCCAGGCCCGGAATCTGCTCTTGCTCTATCAAAACTCTGCCTAACATCTCCCCCGCCGCCTCCACGTTCTCCCTTTGCAGAAATATAGCGTAGTTATGCTTCGTCAACAACGTGTCTGCATGTTTCGGCCCCGGTTCCTCCCCTTGGAGGGATAAAGCTTTCTCAAACGCATCTCTTGCCTCGACTCGTTTTCCGATCTTACTATACACTGTTGCGAGACTACATAAAATCCTCGAGGCTTCAGGATGGCTCTCGCCTAGGCACTCTTTCGTGCCTTCCCACGCCTCCTTATACTTCGCTTCAGCTTCGGGAAATTTACCTCGAAGCTCAAGATTCCGGCCTATCTTGTAGACTTGTCGATAGGTCTCTAGATTCTTGGGTCCATATGTCTTTAAGCACCAGTCGTGTACAATTTCATGTCGTGCGATGGCAGCGGTGTGTTGGAGGCTATTGTCGTAGAGGATTCCTAGTGCGTCTGAAGCTTTGTAGGCGGAGGGCGAGGTGTCGTTGGAGTGCTTGAGGAGCTCGGTTTCGATTTCGGATTGTTGTTTGGAGTTCATGTGCTTTGAGGCACGAGCGATATAATCATCTATTCCGGAAGGAAGTGAGTCCTTGGCTTGGGCTGAGAGGTGGTCGGGTGATTTGAAGAGTTTCTTGATCGAGTTGAGAGTTGTTGCTGTTTCTTCAATGAGCTTGGGGTCCGGTGGGGTTTCTTCTTCTCGAAGTCGAAGCGCTTCTTTTAGGGCTTGAATGGCGGGCTCGTATTTTTTGAGATAGGCGCTGTATTTTCCTGTTTTGAAGAGGAGGTTGGCGCGAGATCTCTTGCCGTCGTTTGTTGTCGGGTCTGCTTCTAGGCGAAGAACGGCTTGTGCGTATGGTAGAAGTACGCCGCATTTTGGTACTTGAATAAGCGCAACTTTTGCCAAATCCAAGGAGGGAAACTCTTCAGACAGGGTATCTGTAAGCGGTTCGTGCGATATAGTCAAGCTTTTGATAGTTGATCGTACAAGTTGGCTTAGACTAACTTCGCCCATGTCATTTGTAACGTCTATGAGAAAGAATTCTCTCATTAAATCGCAGAACTCGTTCACCCTGTCATTGTAGTACCGTAGCAAGCGGCGGGGGATGGTCTGAAAGTCAAACATGGCGGCCATACGAGCGAGGTCTGCGACGAATGGTTCGGTATTGCTAATGTGGCAGAATGATATGTGCGCCGTGCCAAGTATCCCGGTTTTGGCGATGTCAGACTTGTAAGTAGACAACTTTTGCAGATATTCTGAAGCAGTAATAGTCGGGCAGCGCGTAAGATACGCAGCAGCCTGTACAATTGCCAGCGGTAGACCCTGCAACTCCGCATGAAGATCACAAACCTCATCGTCGGAAATCCTCTTTTGGGTCAACTCTCTCCTAAAAAAAGGAAAGGTTTCAGTTTGTGAAAAAGGCACAACGTCCAAGATATCCTCTGACTTGAAAGCCAAAGTTTTGGCTACGGAGCGCTTGCATGTCGTTGCAAGTATAGCGCCAAGAGGACTGGATGGAATGTAATCTTTCATGCGTTTCAAGTCCTTGCTGTCCAGTTCGTCGGCGCCGTCAAGTACCATCAGCCAATGGCCTCCTTGCGATTCCTCGCTGAGATGAGCTTTTATGAGGTTTAACGGGTCATTTTCTGTGTCTGTGATGCCAGGGACCGCAAGGAGGTTTCCGATTTTGATATAGGCTCGCTGGAACTCATCGAAAGTTCTTGATGCGATCCAGAAGACTCTGCTGGTTGTGATCTTTTCTCCGTAGCTGTGGGCGTAATGAACAGCAATATGAGTTTTGCTGTGGGGCTCAATTAGTCTGAGTTACCGCAGGATGGTCACTTCCTTCAAGCACGTTCGGTTCGCTGTTGGGAGAGGAAGCACATGGACTTACCCTACTCCTGGCGGTCCATGCAAAACTACCATGTGACGTTCTGGTTTTGCGAGTTTCCTCTTGATGTGCTCTAATATCTCTTTCCGGCCTTCAAAGTACCTGGCTTTGTCATACGGGGGCATGGCTGTCGCTGGTCTGAACACCCGGACTGATGGAGCCCTCACTGGCTTCTGCACTGTCACAAGAGTTAGCTCCTTTAATAATCCAAGGTAGCATGCACATTATTATTAGTAAAGGGGAGTGAAGATTTTCATTTCGAATATAAATATCCTTACAGTTATCAGGCAAAACCAACGCATTCTTGACCATGTCAACGATCACCACTTTTACTCGTACGTAATAGCCATCATCCGGCTTAGAGAATTTGTTCAACTGAAAATGGTTAACAGGCAAACCCCTTTTGTCATACCCCGGGAGAATCGCGGATTCTCGATCCACGATGAACTCCTGTATTTTGTCAGATATGTCATAGAACGCGTCAGAAGACATTTACTAACCCTCACAACACTCTTGTCAAGTTTCTCACCACCCTGTACTTTGCTAAGAACGTCCGAGGCTGTAGTAGGCTTTTGCTCAAAGAAGCAAAAGACTCGCAGGTGAAGACGAATTTTGTCATCGGCGATGAGGTTGGTGAAGTCGTCGAACAGATCGATGAGTGTTTCGTTCTTGGGTTTTAACACATCTACGATGCTTAACTCTACTGGGATCTCTGCATTGATGATCCGGAGGATCAGCGCTTGGGAAGTGAAATCTCCTGTTCCGCGGTGGGGAGTGCCCAGCAGCACTAGACCCCTGGAAGCCTTGAAGATGTTTGGGAATCTCCCCTCGTCAAGTCTTGATGTGCATATTGCCTATACTGCATCAGTACTGGCAAATTTCGAGGGCAAACTGGGGAACTATGACCTTCTCGACAATCAGACCTCCAAAACAATGGCAAATGAAAATGAGGGGTCGTTGAGGATGTTCCTGAAAATGTCAGCTGGGGTTGCCTCGCTCGCAGCAAGAAGGAACAAATACTGTTCTATCGGGCTCATTTTTAAGATCATGCAGTAGCTCTACTGCCAAATCCGGAACTCGCGATTTGATGGCTGATTCTTGTCCCCACCATTTGGCATCATATCCATAGCGAAGAATACGAGCGTTGGGTATAGCGGCTGGAAGCATTTCAGGGTGTTTGATCCAGCTGACTCCGGACGATTTGTCTCTCCATGACCAGTCCGGATCTGCGCCAAGTCCATGAACGCAAATGACACTAGAGACAAATCTGTTAGTGAGAGGATTTGACGTTGAGAGCCTATGAGGAAATGAGATTGCGTACTCGGCGTCAATGCGGCCTGTCTTGCTACCAGGAACTTTGGTCGGCTCATAAACTACGCGCAAGCCAATTTGGCCCGGGTCTACAAGTCGTTCACTTTTCTGTTTTGGTAGTTCTGTTGGTGAGGGAATCTCTATTACCCCACCTTCTAGCACGGGATTTGGGGCTATGGAAGTGTCCATTTTTGAGAATGTCTTTGGTTCTATTTCAGAAACTTGATAGAAAACCACTTCGAAGAATGCTCCTTTCGTTGATTTCTGCTGGAAGTTTTTGCACGCCCGAACAATGAAGAGATTCGTTTGCAATCAAAACAACAACAAACAACCCCCCTCCTCAACTATGATGGCCAAGTCGACCCGAGAGAAATCAGGGAAGATATAACGAAAGCCGCTTCCTAGCAAGAGATGAATAGGGGCGCTCACGGATGAGAGTCCCGAAGGGTTAGAGAGGCGACGACGGCGCCGAGGCTGTGTCGGAACCCTATGGCATGAAACATATTCCCGATAAATTTGCGGGAACGGTGAGGCTCTGACATCGGGCAAACGGAAAGGAAGATCAGAATAAGAGGAGAAGTCGTGATTGGACCTCGCAGGAAAATTAGGCAGGGGTCCTGACACATGAAGGTATTGTGGCGTACTCGGTGTGTGTCCGAGCCGCATGGCTTGGGAAAGCTTCTGCGTCTGCACAAACGGGGATGCGTCTCACACTTGACCGGTCGATTTGCTTCATTCAGTTTTATTTGTTACCGCCGGAGCCGATTAATGAGGATGGCTACCACACCAATATTCCGAAAGGGGGCCAGGGGAATTCTTCTGCTCTTCAGTTTCGTGCTCCCAAAAGGCGCGGGGCCAGGGCGTGTCTTCAGGCTCTGTAAGCCCTGATGATCAGTTTTTAGGGTATTCGTTCAGGATGCAGACTTCCTGAAGCGCTTTTTTACATTGTCGAATGTGTATTTGCAGATAATATGGAAACCAGCACCTACAGGCTATCCCAGCCTGCAATCCTCCTCTCCTTTTCTGAGAATGAATCTATCCCTCGCAAAAATGAATCATGCCGCCTCTCTGTCAGTCTGCGAATGGAGTCCTGGCGCCTATCATTTGCATCTCCCTGCTGGATCTGAAAATTCAACTTGCGTTGCTGCTCTCGGACGAACTCAAGGCTCCTTTGTTGCTGCTCTCTAGCCATCTGGGCTTGTACCGCAGCATATCGTCTCTTTTCCTCAGCCTGACGTCGAAGTTTTTCACGAGCTGTATCATGACGAAAAGCCCACTGTCTATCTTCTGCTTCGTACTCTTTCCTGCGCTTCTGTCGAGAGCCGGGTGGTAGTGAATTGATATCTGCCTCTCGATCGTAGCTTCGTTGCTCCTCGGCCAATCGAATCCTCGGATGTGCACCTGTATAGCCTGCTGGCTGCACCACGATCTCTTGCGCATTGAACCGGTCTACCCCTTTGTTCCCAATTATCTCAGCTAGGAGTCCATCTTGCATCTCAACAGGCGAGGAACTTAGGCCATGTCGAATGTACATAGTAGGCGAGTAAGAGTATCTGAATTGATCGACTGATACTGCCAATAACAAATCCCCTTCAATCAGTGGCTGTTTCATGCCGACTTTTAATAGGGCTTTCACAAGTGTTATCGGGGCAGGGTTGTTGAGTGCCATGAAGAAGTCTTCGTCGGTCAATTTGCCTGTCAATTTGCCTTTGGTGAGAGTGCGAAGGGTGTCTTCGATCTTTGATAATCCCGCATTCCCGTCACACTTTAGCAGCATTTCCTCCAACGCCGTTCGATGATCATGATCTTTGTTGGTGCTTCTGGAGTCGACAGTATGTCCTTTCTTAATCAAAGCCTTGACGACATCATCGTGAAGTTCTCTAGCAGCTTCGTTCAAACTCCCGTCGTCCACTGGAGCTCCGGCCTGAAGGAGCGCCTTGACAGAAGAGAGGTCTCCATTCCTAGAAGCGTAGAAGAGCGCCGAGCGCTCCAGAAAGTCTTTAGAGGAGGGTTTAGCTTGCTTTTCAAGCAACTTGGCAACAATCTTTTTCCTTTGATATTTTGCCGCAAGTATCAACGGTGTTATCATCGATTTCCGTGTCTGGAAATTGACGTTTCCTGGTTGAGGTTCATTAGAAACTGTAAAAGCATGCCAGAGTTGTCGAAGCGGATACACGTACCTTTTTCGATCAGAAGATCAATCACATCGGACCCGATTTGTTTGTCGGCTTCAACGTGACCTAATTGACAGAGAGCGAATATCAATGGAGTAATACTATCAACGTCATCCGAATACTCTTCGGAGGGATAATAATCGATCTCGGCGTCCACAGAGCAACCTGCTTTCAGCAGACTGTATACTAATTTTCGTGACTTGGGGTATAGTTGTAGACACACAAAGAGGTGGGGGAAATATCCATCTGGCACTTCTTGACCAACGGGAGGTTCTGATTTGCTTGGTTTGAATTGGTCAATTAAAGCAAGTAGTAAACTCTCGTCGTTTCTCGCAAGGATTGCCACAGCAAAGGCAAACGATTTGGTCCCCGGGCTTGCTCGAGCCAGAAGTTGACCAAGAATTTCGATATTCCCGCAATCGGCTGCAGTTCGAAGAATCTCCCCCTCCTCGAAATTGACATCAAGCTCTGCATTGACTAGAGTCTGAATGAAACCATCGGGTTTGGGGGCATTCCCTTCTATTCTAGCATAGAGAGCCAGACACAAAGCCAAGTGAACACTTTCCCCGCTTGCTCCCCATTCAAGCAGACAATGAAGGCGCCAGAGATCTTCATCGCAGAAATTTGATCCTAATGGTATGCTGTCCAGAACAATGTTGAATGTCGTTCCGAGAGTGGAGTGAACCAGAAGCTCTGCTGCGTCTCTGTAGGAGTCGTGGCGTGTCAGGTCTGTGTTCTTCAGAGTCCTACAAAACGCAGCGTCGACTTCTGGACAGTATGAACTGATCGGGAGTAAGCCTCCCACTACTTCCAGAGTCTTCGGGGGTATCCAATCAGCACTACTTGAGCACCGTTGAAGTAAATCTGCTAACACCGTGCCGCAACTCGATTTCTCTATCCTCGACTTCGAATTTTTGAGAAGTGCAAGGAATTTGTCACAAGCTTCAACCACACCCTTGGATGTCTCTTCGAGTAAAATGGAATCACGAAGCCCCTGAGGCAGCTCATCAAATGACTGGAATGAAGGGTGTTGCGAATTTGACTGAATTGAAAGCGAGTGTTCGAGAAGGACCTGAGAAATCATCGTGTGACCAGCCTCTGCAGCTTTTTTCTTGGCCTTTGGTATTGTGGAATTGACGTCCCCATTGCCTCCTTTCAGAAGAACAAGGACCAACCTGAGATACAGCGACTCTGACTTGTTCTGGGCTGCGAGTTCGACCGTTGTCATGAGGGCTTCTGATGCGTTAAGCCAGAGTCCTCGGTTAGGTGAAGCTGCGATCTGGAGACATCTCTCCGCTTTAGCGACCATATTGTTCTGAACGGCAAAGTCGAATGCTTCGTTCAGCGCTATTTGATCAGCCTTTTCGATGAGCAGCTTCCAACTAATGAAGGGGAAATCTCGGCTTTCCGTGGCCCGCTGCACAATGTCGGTGCGTTGACTTTCCTTCCTGCCAAATATTTTCTCACGAACAGAATAATTGATATCGTGCCCATAGCCAAGTAAAGCACTGATGAGACCAGGAGACATAGTCTGTGGGGTTTCAAGGCATTCGAGCAAAACTGCGTTGACGTCGTCGTTTTTGAAATCGTCATTCCTCTTTTTCGACTTTCCTTGATCACTTCGATATTTTCGCAAGAGAGCAACAGCCATGCTCTTTTCAGGATCATCATCACTCGAGGAACTGAAATTAGAAGGAGTGGACGAAGCGAGCGAGAGCCTTGACTCTGGACGCAGCCTGTAGAAAGGCTTTTTGCTCTTCAGAAAAGACATTACTAAGCGATTTAGTCCTGGTTTGTTTTGGTGTCTATTTTATTCCTGTTCATATGTGAGCCTTGTGCGACGGAGAACAAGCAAATCACGAATGATAGTTCTAACCTCAAATATGGTGTAGTAATTCTCTGAAGACCAGGAGATCTGAATCCAGACATATTTCACATCCGTACCATTTCAGGACGTCGTAAACAGATGATCGGTCAAGCGGGCTGACCGAGCGCTGCGTCTTGTCATGTCAAGTTGTCAGGATCTCTGATCGCCCCACTAGATCGAGCCCGCCATTTACAGAGCCTCACATCCTTTGAGCGTTGTCCTTTCCCAGAGTTGCCCAACCATGTGCTGCTCATTTCCACCGGCATCGCGATGAAACAAGGCGAGCGAGGCAGAGGCGCAAGTAATAGGGGCTCAAGCGTGGGGACTCGTTGAAGAAGATGCTTGAAAACGTGGCTGAAAACGTGGCTGAAAACTAAAATAGCTGGAGAATGGAGAGAGAGGCTCCGAACTCCTCGTGGGAGCCAGAGCTAACCTCATATGGACTAGCGTCTCAGGCTGTCCAAATTACTTTTCTCGAACCCGGAGGGTTCATCCTCCTCACCCCGCACACGCTCCGCGTTCAACCCCAATCATATCCCTACCATACATCCATTCTGAAATCTGATGGCTGTCGATCTCAATGTTCGCGGATACATTGCCTGTCTCAGCGACTGGGACGGGAACTTTGTGACGGCTACCCTGCAGGCCTCTCCAAATCCCAACATGGAAGCTGACGACTTCTATCTCCATATGCATGACACCCATGTGTGAGTAGGCTGTATCTGGACACCGAGATGCCGTTACGCGCCCAGTTCGTGTTGCAACAGGCATCGAAAGTCCCCGTCGAGGGAACCCACTGTCCATTCTGAACCGGCAGGGAGACCGCTGGATCATTCTAGAACGCTTCGAGTTCATGCTCCCCTTTCTCCTTTGCGCCACTGTTCCGGAACAAGGGATCACGAATTGGGCCCGGTATCAGCGGCCTTTCCTCACTAGTTTCTCATTGAGCCTCATCTAAAGCTGTCCTCGAGCAAGACCATTCTGCCCAAATCCACCAGCTCAAAATCAACCTCAATCTAGGAAATCGCACTATACGTTTTCAACGACTTACAAAGCTCCCCTTGTATCGTCCTCACAAAGTACAAATCGCATCCAAGAAAGATGGACCGCAGAAGCTCACCTCGTCCGCCCCCGAGCAGAAGCTTCGGTACCAGAACAAGTAGCCTCGTATGCTCTAATGTACCAACCTTGGAAACGCCTTCAATTCGAAACCCTACTCAATTGATTGAGCATCATTCAGCACGCCCTTCACGCGAACCGGATTCCATGTCCTCCTGCTCCAACAACATGTCTCCTACTTTAGCCTTTACACCCAATCGTAAAGCTACTATGAGAGAATTTGCGGTCAATACAGTCACACACCTCAATTCAAAACTGACTGGCCACGGATATGCTTGCCCACACTTTCCAAAATTCAGAAGCCGAGAATACCCAAGTTGTCTTGGATTCTTCCACGAGAATGATAAGGAAAAGATCGTTTATATTGAGCTCGCCAAATTATGTGAGAACTGTTTCTCTGAGGTTGTTCAAGAAGATTACAATGTTTGGATATGCGGGAATAGTCGGTTCCCCCGGAATATCTCCGGGAAATTCAATGGAACGGTGCCAAAGGAACACAGTATCTGGAATGTACCCGATTCCTCCAAAGGACTTTATCGGGAATTTATCCAAGCAGGGACACCTCTTCGGAAGGGGGCTTCCATGGGACCTCCTGAGAAGGAATTAACAGCACGAGGTCGCTTCAATCTTCCTACTGCCATACAAATGCCGCAGGACACTTCAGCAGAAGATGTATGGGCGTGGCTGAAGAAGAGTGGGAAACCATTCTATATTGAACAACTGCACCTGGTCAAGAGGTGGACTCCTTGGACGGAGAAAATGGCCATGGAGGATTTTGGAATTGCAATAAAGCATGGGAATAGCTACCAGCCTTCTTTCTCAACCAAATTCAAACCCAGTTCCAAACCAGCTAAGAAGAAAGACTTTCTTTCGGGCATTGCAGCAGATACTCAGTCTCTTCCAGCTTCGCCAGGTCTTTTCGAGAAAAGGCCTAAAGCAACACCAAAGGGCATTGGCAACAGTTCGATGAAGGCCAGCACCGGAGATCCTCCGAAGAAATCAAGCAAGAAATCCAGTCCGAACACTGATGAGGCTGCAATGAAGCCACAAGTCTCTGCCGCAAAACCCTCCAAAGCAGAAGCCAGATCCTCCCCAAGATCAATAGTTGAGGAATTCGGGACAATTGAAGCTTCTACTGGTAGTGCGTTCGCTACAAAGGAGTTGGATCCAATTGCAGGTTACAGCCATGAAAGACGCCCCGCCAGAGAGGCTTTGCGGAACGTGAAGCCGGGCGCAAAACAGGAAGGAGGGACTATGCCCGGTAGACTCGACGAACCCCTTGACGACGTCTCTTTGACGGATATGGAGATTCGTGCTCAAGTCGCTGACTTCCCTGAGCCCAGACCCAGAAACGGCGGAACCGGATCAAGATCAGGAAAGAAAGCACCTTCAATCGCCTCGAGTCTCAAGAGCCAACGTCCGTTTCTACCTCCAAAGCCACAATCCCGAAAATCAGATCTACAGCTTACTGCTGTAGGAGGGAGTTCAGCCCAGGTCGGGGTGTTTGTAGAAAGATATGGGATCATTCCATCGATCCCGCTTGGTAGCCCTGACAATTTTGCACGACCACACAGTGATGCTGGATCTGAACCAATTGGAATCATCCAGAGTCCACTCATCTTCCAACACCTTCTCCGGACTTACGACGCACATCAAAAGCGAGGCCAAAATTACCAACACCAGCAAGGTTCTCCTCAGTTCCCTTGCTATGGGGAAGACCCTGTTCAAGAATACGAGTATGGCAACGGGAGTAACCTATCAGACCAAAATGAGTCAGAAAACAGTTCTTTACGAGGACAAAGCAAACTTATAGAAAGCCCATCCGAAGCGCCGCTTCATCAAGTCATGCAGACTCGCAGCATTGCAAACACCCAAGCCCCCGCAACACCACATCAACCTGTCCTCCACCCACGTGCTACTCATCAATCAATACACCGCGGTCAGACCTTTGGCGGCCCCTTTCCCGACATGCAAGGAGTATCACCATCGTCAAATGCATACGAAGAGCAAAGTCATGCTCTTGAGAACCAACATTCTCGGAGCTATAATGTCCAGGCACCCGGACTTCCAATGATGTCGCCTCCGACAAGGTCATCGACTGGAAATTTTGTGCGACCCATGACGAAATCGAATATGAATGCTACCAGATGGGACAGTCTTGCACAGTCAGGTGTTCTCCGAGATACCCAGACCAAACGTGTACCTCCTTGCACATCTCAGCCCGACGTTCCGAGCAAAGGCGGCAGCACTCCAGGTACTTCTTCGATTGCCCAGGAATACCACAAAACACAGACGAATCTAAATTCTAAGGCGACCAGGAGGCCAAACGTGGAAGCACCTTTCGATGAGGAGGCTACAACGACCACGAAACGGAAGAACTTGAAGGCCGCCCAAAGGTCAAAAGCGCCAAAGCCATCTCACAACGAGGAGGGCCAAACGGTCACGAACCAAAACACTGCCGCGAAGGGAAGCAAGACGAAAACGAAAAAACCCGGTCCGGAGCGGGTACCAACTGCGGCATCAAATCAAAAGCAAAAGAAAGGCTCGAGCCAAGATTTGGACCCGCCTAATACCACATCGCAAAGCACTTCAAAACGGCCGAACAAAACAACCAATACAGCCCAACCAGCTCGAAGAGACAACGCTCCTCACCTCAGGTCCGCAGCATCAGATAATCGCCGCAAAACTCAGCATACCAACCCACCTCATGACAAACCAAAGCCCTTGAATGAGAAAAAGGCTGCGGGCCACTCCGGTGGAAAGGGGAAGGCCCGCGGCTCGAAACCCAGGACATCAGATAAACCGCATGCTAAGAAGCCGCATGACAGCACGTCAAAACATACGCCGAAGCCTTCCCATGAGAAACAAGGTGCAGGCCACACTAGTCGAAGAGGCGATGCTCACGGTTCAAAATCACCAAAAAATCGCCACGAATCCCCAAACCACAAAGCAGAGGGCAATCGCACCGAGAGAGATACCACTGACGACGACGACGATGACGATGACGACGACGGCCCGTATGCGGATCAGAGCGAGCCAGATCAAGGCGATTCCGATAATCAGAGTGAACTGGATCAGAATGAACCCGATCAGAGCGAGTCAGGCCAGAGTGAAGCCAATGATCAGAGTGAGCCAGACCAGAGTGAGCCCGATGATGAGAGTGAGCCCGATGATCAAAACGAACCCGATCAGAGTGAGCCAGATCAGAGCGATCCAGATGATCAGAGCGAACCCGATCAGAGTGAGCCAGATCAAGATCAGAGTGAACCCGATGATGAGAGTGAGCCGGATCAAAGTGAGCCAGATCAGAGTGAGCCCGAGGATCAGAGCGAACCCGATCAGAGTGAGCCAGATCAGAGTGAACCCGATGATCAGAGTGATCCAGATCAGAGTGAACCCGATGATCAGAGTGATCCAGATGATCAAAGCGAACCCGATCAGAGCGAGCCGGATCAGACAGAGCCAGATCAGAGTGAGCCCGAGGATCAGAGCGAACCCGATGATCAAAGCGAACCCGATCAGAGTGAGCCAGATCAGAGTGAGCCAGATCAGAGTGAACCCGATGATCAGAGCGATCCAGATAATCAAAGTGAACCTGATCAGAGTGAGCCAGATGATCAAAGTGAGCCAGACCAGAGCGATCCCAGTGAAGGTCAGAGTGAGCCAGACCAGACTGAACCCGATGATCAGAGTGAGGACGAAGATGCAAACTAGAGTGACGTTGAGAATGGTAGCAATGGGGGGAGCAATAGTGCGCGAAGTGAGGACGACGAGGGTAGTAGGAACGAAGCTAGATGATGAGATCAACAGATACGCAGGTACCGGCAGAGGCAACATCAAGACAATACACGATGTATAGAATTCTGTTTATACACGTGGACAGTTCAATTAGCACAATGTCTAGAATTTTGGACAATTTGCGGTGGTAGACTCGCTATCTAAAGAATAGAACTCCTCATTGAGCCTCTCGTAATGCCTAATTTTCCGAAGGAATACAACCCTTTGCAGCAACCACCCACTTGACTGCGAGGGCTTCCGCCAATCTCGCCTATTCCCTTCGAAATACTGTAGATTTAGGGACTAAACGGGCGATAGAGGCGGGAACCTCGCGATTGCATTATAGCGGTACCCTGAGCTTCTACATTATGCATCCGAACAATGCCCTCAGCGGCGGAGGCAAGTCCATGGAAAGATGGCAAGGAGTGCCAAATATGCGGCTCAAAGTTCCAATTTCGCCCCCGCCCCAGCCGCCTCCTGTGCCACGTTTCTCCTGACTCATGAATAAGATTGGGAATTTGGGAGGACCGAAGGCCGTGCCCTAAGGAAACGGTTTCCTCCTTCTCATGCAGGAGGCTGCAGAAGTTTCAGGCATCGTGTGGGTGTGTGGCCCGGAAAAACACCCCGAAGAAGCGCCTAGGTTGAGGCTGACTTTGGACTGGAACAAGCTTCTATGCAAGCCATCACCCGGAGTCGACCCAACCCCAGACATACAGGGTAGCATCCAATATTAAGGACATTCCCAGAATCAAGTTGGCAACCCAATCGCAAAATCGAAATTCATGGCTGTGCACAACTCGTCAAAACCGACCCCTTCCCGATTCCCTCACCGAGCAGGCCGCATATACTTTGACCTGATCTCACATTCAGAACACCCACCGGCAGTCAAACCTCATTTGGACGCTCCGATACAGGATGTGACCGTTGGCAGGACCGTTGAGCGGCTGCAAAGGGGCAGAGTGTGCAAAGCACTAAGGCGCAAGTTTAAATTTCATTTCAAGTTATAAAGTCCCTCGCTTGTATGTCGTTTTCCTAATGAATTGGAGTTTATTTTACCAACTGTTTACTATCGTTAATTTCCATACCAACTATCTACTGTCTTTTTATATTGGTCTAGGTTAGCACCAAATACACTTACTACTTCGACATGCCTCCCTTCCTTTTGCTGTTGGTTTCTCTTCTCAGCATTGGAGCAGCCCTTCCGTGGCAAGGACCTCAGCAAACGCAAACAGCAACGTATACTGCCAATTTGGCTCCTGCGCCTACGAGCAATGCCAATGAAGACATCTCGATCCTTGAATTAAAACTTCGCGACATCTACCCCGTTAGTGTATGCGGCTGGTGAGTGGGAAATTCCAAGAAGAAAGAACGTTCTAATTAGTTTAGGATTGGAGGAGATGTTGCACAACCTGCTTATTGTTCGACTCAATCATCATGTGTTTGGAACTCAGACGAAAGCATTGTCGGATGCTGCGCAACCTCTGGCAGCAACTGTGCATTCTATACTTCCTGCATTGATATGAACTCTCCTCAGCAAACTAGCGACAGTGAGAATGTCTACACTTGGTAAGTTGGATTTTCATCATTTGCTTGCTGCCTTTCTTCGCTAACGATCCATCTTCGCAGTAGAGGAACCTCACTTTGCTACTCAAATACTTATCCCGGGAGTTATAAGCAGTGGGGATGCGGGTCCACTAATTGGGCAACCAATATTGAGACTTCATACTCCGGGATGGCAGCAGACATTTCCCTTCAAATTGTCACAACTGGCAACGGCGCGGGAGGCTCAACAGTAGGTTCAACGGCTGCAAGTTCGACAATTGAAACATTGGTTAGTGCCACAGAAAGCACCACTTCCACTCCTCAAGTTACTTCTCTTGCCGCGACATTAGGATCTAAAGAGTCTTCTCACACAACTGCTGGCTTCTCTACGACCTCCGCCTTCTCTAATTCATCATTATCTGCTACACCTGCCTCGCCAACAAGTCCATCAAGCAAATCATCAGTCCCAATGGCTGCAGTAGCTGCCGGGGCTATAGGAGGCATCGCTGCGATAGCCATGATCGGAGGACTGTGTCTATTCGGCAAGCGAAAAGGCTGGTTTCACCGGGGACCTGGGCATCAACACATACCCCACAGTCACTCAACCCAGGCTTTAGCCCCAGAGCATCATGATCTCGCCATGTCGCAGACAAGAGACCATTCACTAGGAACTTCCACCCCAAGAAGCCATCACACCGGCGTGGGCGCTTTTTCAGCGGAGCCAAAGTTCGACAAGAGAGGTTTATTGATCACTGAGTCGCACGAAATGGCATCGGGATCCGGAGTCAAGAAAAGCTCTAAACCCAAGAGTAGCCCATCGTCGGTATCAGGAGCGAAGAAGAGTTTGAAGACCAATGTTGGTTCAGCTTCAGATTCGAGGGTGAAGAAGACTTCCAGACAAAGGGCGGGTTGATCAGCAGGAGGACAATTCAACCGCTGTGGGCCAATGGAATGGACATGACGAAGTAAGGCGTAAACGAAGAAAATAGGTAATGAGAGGGAATCAATGGGTATATCATGCAAATGGGTAGATGAATGACAAGCAGGCTTTATGAGGGAGTTCGGGGAAGAGTTTGGAGAATTTGCAATAATTATCAATTTTCCAGCACCTTAGAATCGGAAAGCTCCGGTCTGACTCTGCGGCTTTCAACATGTTTTTTTCTTTGCGAAATCATTGTATTTCTATGTGCCTTACACACAATTTATGGAGTACTTGCGAATTTCTTTTATGCCGAGAAGCTTGATGATCTCACACTTACTTCACTGAAAGATTTCAGGTGGGGCACTATAATACCAAGCCCGACCGAGAGAGGTTGGGTGGTGATGAGCTCGTTGAGCGCAGAAACATGTGTGCCTGACAGGCTTCAGTATTCGGGCGCAATCACAGGGCTTTTGAACCAACCCTGTGTTGCCTAATTCCGCCTCGCAGGGGTCCAAATCCCTCAGCAACCTGGTGGCTGCCTCTGAGTTGGAACGCGATGCTTCCTGATCAAAACCTGGAGGCATCGCCCTTTTTTGAATTTCCATCATCACAGTGAAAAGATGTCAACGATTCCCTTTCAGCCCAATTATCAGCTCAATGGGGATTTAGACGTCCCAGATTCCGAGCAGACAGGCCTTCCTGGGAACCCTCGGATCAGGCTTGACGACCCGCCCCAGCTCAATTCCTTCATCAATAAAGACTTCGGTCTGGGAGATCTCGAAAGACTTGCCCCTCATCTGTGGCTCTTGTCCAAACATGACGGAGGCAACATATCTCCTCTACACCGGCAATTTGTAAAAGGCCGCAGAATAGTTACGACTGAGGATATTCGGCTGCACCTGGTCTGGTATTACGATCGAATCTTCATCAAACCTCTTCCACAATACATAACGTCGCACGCATTCTGGTCCGAGTACCTCATATCCAGTCCATTAAACCCGAGCAGAGCACTAAATCAAAAGGACGAAATCCGCAAGACGGTATTGGGATACTTACGAACTTATTCCTACCTTATCACACACGAATCAGACTTCTATATTGCTCAAGAACAACGCCTTATTCCCAAAGATGTGACCTGGACGCAACTCTCGAACTTTATGATGCGATTCGGGAGTATTATAGATGACGACGTCGCCAGGAGATTCCACTATGGCGAGCTGCGACTCACCAGACTCAATTTCTACTCTCGGCTTATCCTCCACAAACGCCACTTCCAGCGAGTACACAGCCAATATGGATCCTATTTCGCGACGTTCTATGGTCCTCTGCTGTTTACCTTCGCTACGCTTTCGCTGCTCCTGAATGCTATGCAAGTCGAGATGGCCGTGGAACAAGTGAACTTGAGGAATCAATGGTTCGGGTTTTGGGATGCCTGTCGTGGATTCAGCATCACGTGTTTGGTGCTTACGATAATGTTGAGCTTGTGGTTGGCGGTTTTATTTCTCTATAAGTTTGTTATGGAGTGGGTGTATGCTCTCAGTCAGCAACGGATGAGACAAGCTTCTAATCTCACTGTATAATGTTGCGGTATAAATAGTCAAAACATATGATATATCACGAAATTATTTAAGCCTTAAAGGCCCCCTGAAACACTCTGAGCGAATCCATAAGCTTAGTAAGCATATATCTTTCATCCCTACTTCTTAATAAAAGATGTTTGGTTAAAAACCAACCTAAAAAGAGCCTTCAACTAGAACAATCGGCTTTCGAATGTGGCTGCAACTAAGAGCTGGCTCGATTTCGATTCTTAAGGTATCAATATTATATTCAAATCGAAGCTATGATATTCACATGGCTGCGATATCCGCCACGAATAATTAATGAATAAGGCAATTGCGCAAGCTGGCCAATAAACGTGCTGAAGAAGAGTGTAACGTTTTCTTCATTTCCGTCGACGGTCTGGTTTATGGCTGGAAAGTGCGATGGCGGATGGTGATGTGATGTTTGTTTCAAGGATTACCATTGTTGGCGGTGCTACGATCAAATGGAGACCGAATCGCCTTGTGGAATTTGCCCATGTTGAGGGTGTTAATGCAAAGGCGTTTTCGAGGGATCTCATGCAAAGTGAGTGGACGAGATTTCACAATTCTAATCGCCTGGCAAGGTTCAAAGATGGTAAGCTAGGGGCAAGAAAATATTATTTGCTAGGTATTTTGAAACCTCCTTTGTGCTAAACTACATTCTCTTGTCTTAAACGTGCCTTCTTGTTCTTCAATGCTTTCTATTTTGTTTTGGCTCATGCATCAGTAACCATAACCCCTTCCGGAAGCAATTTGCTGCCGAGATAAATCTGTCTTGTCCTGGCTTGCCATGCCTGTATGAAATTCTCTGCTCCTCGTACAGACGGAGCTTTCGTATGGATCTTCTCCTTGTGTGATTTCGGACTTGCACAAGTCTCACATGCCTATTAAGCACACCAGCTATCATAACCCTCAATGCAACTGGTGTGCCCCGCCGATGTTGCCTGGTCTTATATGACTGAATAAGTCATTTGTATTCCCAGTCTCGGGCTCAACTTTACTACTAAGATGAACAGTAACGTGTATGAACAGCGGCAGACGTTAACAACTCTTAGGATTTGTACTATTATTCTTTCAGACTATTGAAATCATATAAATGCACCTGTCACGGTTATTACGGACTAGTATCGTACGTAGTTAAGTATAATTTCTTGCGGCAGAGAGAAGTTGAATAATTGCTTAACAGATTGACGATGAAGTTGAATTAGTGGGACTGGTAGGAGACTCGGTCGTCGTGCGACTTAGGTTTGTCAGGGGCTCAAAATCGGCTCTGAGAGGAATCCTTATAAAGGTTAACAGGAGGAGCTAAAACGGATTCCCTGCTCAACGTCATTACTAATTAATATATTAAAAGAAGGTGCATTTGTTCAAAGCAGCAGGTGTTAGTAAAATGTATATATAGACGACAGAGAAACTATAACCGATTTACAGAGGGCCAGAAAGGGATCCTTCTAAGCACAATCCGGCTGACTTATTAGCATACTTAGGGCTGAGGAATCAGCTTAGGCAAAAGTAGCGATTGCTCAGGTCCAAAGACGGACATGAACTTTGGTGAGGCCAAGACTCGTACAAATTATACAGATAAGTTTGAGATGCTGCTGACGAGAGCATGCATCGGATGCTATGCTTAAAAAGTATGCGGTGGGGGCTATAACGGCCAACTCTATTGGGGGGTTGTTACGGCCTGGACAAGCTGTGGAAAGTGGAATGTGGTGTGTTTTGGTATACATATATATGAATAATAGTGCCCTAAGGGCGGTGAAGAAGCTATATGTACGCCTGTGCGCAGCACGTGACAGGGGTAGATAAAGGTTGTCGTTTATATAACAAAGTAATAATTGCATATAATTGAAAGATTATATACCATTATATAATATATACGTGTGTTATACCGCCTTTGATTCCCCCGTTTCTTGGGTGGTTGTTAGTATCTCTATACTGGTTATATGTGGTCTATAGGCCTCTACGAAGACAATGGCATAAAGTATCGGGAATATAGGGCATTGGGAGACTTTCAGGCTCTCTAGTATACAGATCAAGGTAGCAAACTCGCTATAAGGCCCTATATTTCCAGGCCCTTCTCCTAAAAGCACATTTACGCCTTTGACAAGGGCTACCATACCTTTTCAGGGCTTCTTCCCTGTATTTACAAGGAAGCCTTCGCTAAAGGGGCCTATAATAGTTACTTGTTTAGCATCCGAGCGCTATAGTTACTCTACTAATAGCGCTATAACCCTAGAAGATCTACTTACCCCATGCGAATGTCTTATAGCGCCTCTTTACATAGATTTAGGGAGTACTGCCTAGAGTTATAGGGGCTTATAGCGAGCTTCTGCCCTAAATTCACACCCTGTAGAGCGCTGAGGGTCAAAATGCCCTGTATTCCCGATACTGTATACCATTGTCTTCATATATTGATTCTTAATACTTTTATTAAAAAGTATTAAATTACTATAATAATCAAGCGATTTTTAATATATTAATATTCCCGAAAATTTATAATTAGTAAATAATAAAATATATACTTAATTATAGCTTATAAGTAATTAATTTAGCTTTTTAATAAGTGTTTTAATAAGCTATTTAATAGACAAATTCTAAGTCTTAAGTTCTAGAAGGTTTTAATAGACAGGGGTCTAAAGCCTGGTACGTACCTTCCTAACAATGCCCGTGGCTACCAAGCCTCACGTGGTCCCTGTCCTTTTCGGCGCATGCAAAGGAGGAAAGCATCCAACCTCCCCACCTTAATGCATGCCATAATACCATTTTCTCATCGTTCGACCTTGATCTGAATTTTTCAAATATACTTCGAAAATTCATGTCCTCGGGGCAAGTTATCACGGTGGTGTGGGGAGAAAGATCATGCCAATATTGGGCCTCATCAATTGACGCGCCCAACTCAGGTGCTCTTGTTCGGAAAAGTAGTGTTTGGGATAAATATGCAATCATTACTTGAATTCCTGGCCACGATCTAAGTACAGATCTATGGCTGTAATTCCAGCTCCTCGGCCAGAAAATGAGACGAGCTGATGAGCCTGATGTTTATATATTGCCTATGAGAAGACCTTTCATTCATCGCCTTAACCCCTCAGAGAAGGCACTTGGTGGGTGAACGGATATGAGCAGACCGGGTGATGCCTGTGCTAATTTCGATCTAGAGTGAGCAAGAGCAGCGCAGAGAGAGAGAATTTTGGAGAGGGATAAAGCCTGGTTGTAATCTTACAACAAGTCTTCAGGACATTGATACCGGTATAGAAGCAGATTTCATCCCTTATAACGCTTTCCATTCTTCTATCAATCCTCGGTAGTCGTGAGCGTCATAAGGAGAAAACAATTCTCTCCATCCACCACCCTTTCTCAAATCGTTGATGTCAAGATCTCGTAATAGTTGGCTTGAGTACTACCAAACAGTTAAAACAAGCTCTTGACCCCCCCTGTCTCCTTTTTACTTCAAAAACAAAGGTACTCACCTCGTGTCCGTCAAACAAATATGTATGTCCGTCACCAAGATATCTCCTCCGTCGCCACGCAATCACCAGCGCCACCTCCTCTTCCATTTCCTTCTGGGTCTTTTCTTGAAGTTTACCATTCATGTATGCCACCGCCCACAGGGCTTGAATCTCAGCTAATGTCATTGCATCTCTTGAGATAAAGTGCCCAAGGAAGACGATACTGCCATCGTTGAATTCAGGATTTGTCGGCACCATGGATCTGTACAGCTTCGCAGAGCCGGTGCGCTCCCTCCCTCCAGGGAACACGGGTTGCGCTTCCAACCGTGGAAATCGTGATAGGACTTCCTTGTCTGCTTCCCCAATCAGCGATTCCCAATGCTGTCTATCAGAAATAGACTCCTCGCTTAGGTCCGTTGGTAGACCTAGCTTTGCAGATTGCTCCCTCGAGAAGATACTACTCCTAGTGTCCCATCCCGTGCAAGCAACGAGTGCATCACAAGTAATCTCCTGTCCATCACTAAGGATGACATCCTTTCTGCTCAACACATCGATCCTGCCACGGATAATCTTCGCTTTGGCGACCGTTTCCCACAAATCTGCCGAGTTGGCGATACCGATGGTATGAACATAGTAAACCGGCCGACTTGGCTTTAGCGGAAGCAGCCGTTCATCTTTATCATATCCCGCAGCCGTCCACCACTTAATCGTAATCATCTTCCAGAAGAAGGCACTCAGGGCAATGCCTAATTTGCTCTGGTGCCAGAACCGAGCCCAGTTGTCAACCGGCTCAAAGATTGATGGCGAGAGCTTTGAAATGAAGCGCGTGCTGACAACTTCACTGGAGTTCTTGAGGCCAAAGATTGGTGGTGGCTTCGGATCTCCCATGCATGCTGGTCCGCTGCCATCCTCCCATATAATCCATGTCACATTTTTGCCTCCGTTTATCAGCATTTGAACGGTATCAAAGGCAGACTTCGCACCGCCCAATACAACGACCTTCTGAATGGCTGAGGAAAGTAAAAGCTCGGAATTTTTAGCGAGATGTTTGGAGTGGATAACAGGCGGAATGAATTCGTGCCCCTTCTCCATCCTGAAAGTCGGCAAGTGGGGTACATTTGTCAGCCCAGTAGCCACCATGAGTTTCCGGCAGGTAACACTCTCTCCAGTGGAATCGTGTATAGTATATAATCTGGATGCATCGAGTTCTGTCCAAGTAACTCTGTCAACATTGAAGCCGAACTCAACTCGATCTCGTAACGTTTTTCCAGCCCAGGCTTTATGCTGTGAGAAAGCCTCGAGGTACGCCGAAACATGACTACCAGCCATTAAATTGAGATATGTTGGCTCTGGCGGTGGCATCGGATAAACACTGAATTCGATTTTCCCCACCGGGCTCTGGGTCATCATACCGGGATAAATTCGTCCCTTTCCCCAGGTACCGCTAGGGTACAGTTGCTGTTAGCTCTAAGTTGAAGGTGGGGGATAACGACTCACCCAACATCTTGCTCACTTTCCAGAATCACGACTCGGGATTCCGGAAATAATTCAAGCCAAGTATGAGCAGCAATAAGTCCGTGAGGGCCTGCGCCTACGACTACCAGGTCGTATGGTAATGATCTTTCCTGCATCGTAAGCTTCATGGCGTCGGGGGGGAACGCAGAGCAAAAGGACACAAGGAAAAATAAAAAATTCCAAGAGGTTTGTCTCCTAAGTAGGCCTTCAATGTACTTAGTTTACTAGGTACAATGGGAGCGGGGCTGAAGCTAACTGAAGTTTGCCCCGATCAAGAAACGATTAAGACGGCTGGACGCCATTCAAGCTTTTTGACGCCTTCCTATTCGTGATGTTGGATCTCGCTTACAACCGTTAGTTCGGAGGCTGAAAGCTGAAAGCTGAAGGTTGGGGAAAGTTAGGGTTATTGTGGCATTTGTCCTGGGAGGCTTCGGCTGTTCGGCTTGGAGAAAAAGAAAATTGCGATAACGTTCACTCATAACACAGGGGTCGCTTGACACGTGAGCAAATATTAACAGCGGTGCATTCTTCAAAACATGCTGAGTAATTTGAAGAAGCCGTTCAATGAGTACGATGGGATTTGCTTGAATGAATTGAAATATCTCCTTACAATAGCTCGATGGTCAGTGATTTGGATTTTGGTTGTGTGCAGGTACTTCATATAGCATCCGTCTCTCAGGTCTTGGCGGTTGAAAAAGGGGGTGTTGATCACGTGACTATAGCCCTAGGGAATCAGGAGATCTGAAAGGCTGAGTAGTAACCAAGGATTGCAATTTCCTGCAAACTAACTCTCGTGCCACTACTTAGGGAGATATAACAGAGTGAAGAATTCGAAGCGAGATGCACAAAGCGAGAAGATGAAAGTAACCCTTAGGAGCTCTGTTCGCCTTGTTAGAACCAGCCCAGATGTGGGAGCTTACGTTAGTGTCCCAATGATTATTGAATATTCACGTTCCATTTTTCTGAGGCATTTTCAAATATGTTTTGTTTCATTGAAAATCATCGCTGTCTATACACTTTTGTTTCTCTCGCTATGATCCCTTGCCCAAATTAACGCCATCCCCAACCTCGATGAAATGAAAAGAAAGCAGCCCAGTAATTTGAAAGGTAAGTGCCTTCAAAGACCTCGATATCTATCGATCATGCATGCAAGTTTTCCTCAATGTTCTCTCCCCTTTAGGACAATCCGCACTGAATCATCCCCGCATATTTCATCCCCCATTGTGCTCTCCCAGTTGTGGACATTGTGCTTCATGAACCACTGGTTACTAGAAGCAGTCCCATATCACTCTAAGTTTGAAAATCCTGCAAGCGGATATTGCGCTTGCCAACAATTGGTCCTGGCAACAGCGTCATACCGAAGAAGTTGATTGGCAACTGGAAGGCAGTCGTAACGGCATTACCAAAATTACCGAGAGTTTGTAGGGCACGCGTTGACATAAACAATTCTGACTGGTTGCAGTATAGTGAGCGGGCGAACTCGGTTTGCGAATTGAGAGCAGTTGCTTGGTACTCCCCGGTTGCTGGGTTGTGGGCTGGAAGAGCGGCTGCGATGCACTTTGTGCAGTTACTTAGTGCGGACTTCCATCTACTTTAGTGTGAGCGGGTTGTTCCAAAGAGGGCCCGAATTATTTTAAATGGGACTTACAGATCCTTCTGACGTGTGCAGAAGCAGTCGAAAATGGGACCCTCGTTGGTTGTATTGGGATCAATGAAAATACAACCGTTGAAAACCTGTTGTGCAGGTTGGCAATCCTTGGCTGTGGAGATATTAGGTTAAGGGACTTTACCAAAGAACTGGGGGCCTTCATACCTTGGCATTGCAGCATTGCTTGTGTTGGTGGAAATGTGATCCACGTGGGTGTAATTAAAGAGGCAGAGGTGGTTTGGGTGGATAATGTCGTATGGATACCAGTCGATGTTCCAGACCCAGAAGGTGCAACCAAGGAGGAAGGAGATGTAGTAGCAGGAATTGGAACCACGGTTACGATAGTGGTAATTGTTGTGGTCGAAGATGGAACAATAGAAGTCGGAATTCTAATGGATGCAGGAGGCGCATCGAGCAGAGTCATACCGAAGAAATCGATGGGCGATTCGTAGATATTTGTTAAGTAAAGGCCGACTCGATCGAGTCCTGCCATGCTTTGTACCAGGACAGCGGGGTTGGTTTGGTTGCAGAAGAAATTAACTGTTGTTGTCATAGCTGAAACCAACTCGTTGCTTGGCGCGTTACCGGATGGATTGGCAGGCAAGTTCATCGCAATGCATGCTGCACAGCCGAGCACGGATGACTTCCATCTGTTCATTGTTAGTAATTGACATGGGACATTGAAGCTGTAAATGTGCCAGAAGGTTACGGGACATCCAGGGAGTAAATGTGCCAAAGAGACTTTGGACATCAAATCTCAAAGGACTAAAGAATTGCTGAACCATGAGAAGAGGGACTTACCCATCGAAGTTAGTCTTGCATAAGCAGTTCCAGCTTCCGGTCTGGTTGCCGTTGGATTGGGCATTCAGACATTGGTAATAGAAGCTATTTGCGGTGACACAATCCTTGGAAGCTGTGTATGTAAGTGAGATGTGCCACAGTTGGTAAAAGAATGGAACTTACCAGCGCATGCTTTCATTCCATCCGAAGCCGGAAGGGTAACCCAGGTAGTGGAAGTAGGGGCGGTTGAGGACGAAGTTGAAGGGGAAGGAGCTACGCTCAAAGACTTTGTGATTGCTGAGGTGGACAATGTTCCAAGAGCTGTGGAAGAATGGGTAACCGAGCTGGACCGCATGGTTGATACAGGTGTGGGAGATTGTACCATAGTTGAGCCAGACGTACCAACAGAAGTGAAAGATTTTGTTGGGATCGTGGTCGAAGAACTCATAACTACCGGTAGGGTTGACGATGTTCCCGGAGGTGTCGTACAACTTGGGCTTGATGCTCCCAAGGCAGTGGAAGAATGACCGCCCTCAGTGCGAGTAGTGTAAAAAAACGTTGTGATCCACAAAGTATGGTAATGGGTGCTGGGCTGAGGAGCAGGCTTGCTTGTTGCGATTCCCCCGTTGCTTGATGCATGGGATTGGGTTGGAATTTGAGATTGGGTTGATGTGGCAGATTGAGTCGGAGTCTGAGCTGAGAGAAGACAAGTACATGCAGACGAGATGCTCTTCGGTTGGTTGTTGCACATAGAGACATATGTTGGATAGCCCGCAGTTGAGGTTTGAACTGCAGTTGTGTATGCCTTGCAAAACGGAATGACAACATCTTCAGATCGAATTGCTTGACGCAAGCAGTTGTCATAATTGCAGCCTTGAGCGACCGGAACCGGTGATAAAGTAGTAGCTTGGGCTGTATATGTCGAAGTCTTTCCTGGATTTGATACCTCGCAAGTCTTAGAGGAAGACGTTGCACTCGGAGTCGGAGGTACACTCAAAATATCACTCTGAGTTGACACCAGAATAGCTTCAGGAAGTTGTAAAGGAAATCCAGCATTTGCTGCAATATTGTGGGCTTGAGCGACGAAATCGCCATAGCCAAGCAAGCCAGTACTGCAGAAATTGACATGGAGTGCTTGCAAGGGACTCAAGACATTGTTGTGAAACCCTGAAGCGTTGTCGACACATTGAATGCAGGAGGTCAATTTCGAGTACCAGTCTGGGTGGAATGGGCTTGCTCCTTGACCAGTTTCGCACAGACAATTTCTCTGTTCAGAGTGAGGTACCTGGGGAAGACCAATGACAGTCGCAGTTTGGCAGTCATTCCAGTATGAAACGGCAGCTTTGCAATCGGCATTTTCTGCAATGAGAGAATATCAGCCATCTCCCAGAAGATAAAGGTAAAAGAAAGCAGAGATTAACTCCAACTTACGGGTACAAGAAATGATCGCTGGACTTTGTCGCAATGCGAGGTTGGCGGGGGAGGCAGAAGTGAAGGGGAGGGTGACGAGGGCTGCGACCAGCAAGAAGACTGCAGTGACCCTCATCTTGCAGGTGTTGAGTTGACGCGGCAAGAGGGTATTTGGGAATGATTTGAGGTCTGGGAGGGACTGAGTTAAAGGACCGAAGAGGCTGAGATGTACACAAAAGGGTAGGAGGTTTGGTTGTGACTCGGTCGCAGTCGCGACTCGGGATGGTAACCGACGATGGTGAGCGAAGACGACGGGTGGAGACACAAGGGGTGAATATGGAGCAGATTCCAAAAAGTAGAATAGCAAACTGTGCTCGTTGAAAGAGAATGGGAGAGTGTTGAGGGGGTAGAAGAGATCGTTCAGAGGAAGATGTAGTGTTGATGGGTGAAAGGAAGGACCAAGACGAAGCGAGAGAGCCTTTTATATTCGAGCTCTGTAGAGGCTATGACGTAGAGTAACAATGAGTGAATTCGCAAATCTCCAAAATCTATTTGTGTGAACGGCACATTGGCTTGGTGTCAATGTCCGAGGCGGAGCCGGTTCAATGTTGAATAGGCATCTTGAAGATAAAAAAGACGTCAGTAGTATTTGAAACTTTCTTCTGCCCCAGCGTTACCTTGGTATCTATTGTATTCGATAGCAGTTAATAGGCCCTTGATACTGTGAGGAAAATGTTTGCTCATTTGTTATTCCTGCTCTCTTTCTTAGCCAGTGCAGATGGCTACTGGATGCTGGACTTTTGTTTAATCTTCTCCATTATCTTATGAGTTCAAGACTCTTATTCTCAATACATTATCCGCCATCCCTGCTTGTAACATCATGGGACCCAGTCAGACTATTCAGAATCATAGCATGTAACAGATATTTAAAATTCAAAAATTAGGAAAAGCGATTGATGAGCCTTTGAAGGTCGCATCAGGCATCAAAACAAAACCGATCCTCATTTGAACTGAACTTGGATGTTATTCCAAATTGCAAGTCCTCAAAGCCCAGGATGCTAGGTATTCACGGAGGCAGAAGCAGGCTTGACGGGCGTAAGTGCGGGAGCACAGATAGCGAATAGGGGATCTTGCAGGATTAGTGCGGCTTCTAAATTTCACTCAGAAAACATTAATTTCGAAAATAATAAGTTCTTCAACTTTTCCCAAAATGAGGGTGCAATATATGACTTGTTGCAGAGGAGCAGAGATATTTTGCTGCAGTGAGGGCAAACCCCTGGTCCGTTCCCCTACATGCAAGAAACAATGACAAGAACCAGTAACCAAACGCACGAATATCTAGAAGACAAGAATGCAATGATTAACATACGCAGAGTACCAATGCAGCGTTATCAATACCCGGTATATGTCCTTGGAAATATCTGGTAATGAAGGTGTCAATACAAATTGAGGCGCCTGGCGTACTACCTTCCAGCAAAGGTCCAATAATACCTTTGAATTCCTATTGCAGGGACACGCTCCACGGACCTACGCAGAGCAGAGGTGCAAGGATCTTGACTTAGGCGAGGTTCAACGTCTCGTAGTCCATGCTTCCGAGAGGATTCACTGACCACTAGTTCTAGTGGGCCAGAACTAGAGGAATGCTGAAGCAAAGGTTTTAACGGATGTTATCAAGCATTTTCGTAGAGCCAGGTCAAGAGAAGAAGCCTAGAATCACTAGGGGTTCCTTATGCAGCAGCCACCCATCGCAGCGCTGACAGCACGCTTGCCCGTTGCCGTTCAACACTCCCTCCATGTAAGATTACATTTGATCTGGTGCAATATTTTCCTCGAAAACATCTACTTGTGCCTTGTTGTCCACCCTCTCGTTCCTTATTTGCAGTATCTCTTTACCAAACTTTTTTAGTCAACACCCTGGAGGGGTTGACTTGAGGTTTCAGAGCAACGGCAACAACTTGGAGGTCGAACTCTTCTGGCATATGAGGATGAGGAGTAGGTGGCGTAATGGGATGGAGGAGTTCCGCTCGCTGTGTCTTCTCATGGACGCTCATGTGTGCAATACAGATGCATCGGAAAGCTTTCGTCGTAATGGGGGTGCCAATCTTGACTATTTTCGCCGACAGTTGTAGTTTTGCGGTTGAGCACTTCGAGAAAGGGGATCGAGATTGTCGCTGAGTCTTTGGGACTGACGCCTTGCTCTCTCGTAGACTGTGCCGCCTCGCGCTTCTCTCTCGCAAATTGATGTCATTGTATCGCAGTACTCACTTCCCAATTTTGCGCCCCAGATCGGAACTTGATGTCGGATGGTCGCATGGTCGATTGGCAGGACCTGGGGTCATGCTCCCTGTCTCGCAGAATTCGTTGCAACAGGGAAGAAGTGGATAGGAAAGACGAGAGAGGTTAAGGGCAGGAATACATGGCGAGGTGGAAAGGGCAGCAGTAGAGGCTGCAACTCGTAGGTGGAACGAGAGAATGCGATGTTTTGAACGTCACGAGACCATGAAGAGAGGGTGAAGTCGACGGCCTTCCGCCAAGAGCGAGCCTGCGTACAGGGAGAACTTCCTTCTAGCTGCAAACGCTCGAAGTGTCTCGATACAGAATCAAACGGTGTTTTGCTTTAATTTGGCGAGGTGTCCATTACACGTGACGAACTTCCCCTGAAGCCAACAAACCCGAATGCTTCCCCAAGAAACCCTAAAGCAACGCATGACCTGCCCGAAAAGCTCAATAAACTCAATCGCATGACGGCAGCAATTTTCCTTGTACAAAAGATTATTCCGCATTTGCAAAAAGTCGGGCAGAAATCCCCAATATCAAAAACCAGCCCGTCTCACGTGAGTTTTCGCCAAAAACCCAGGTCATGCTGTGTTTCGCTCACTACCAGCCCTGCGGGCTTGGCTGCAGAGTTTTGCCTTTTTGAATCAAGCAATCTCTCCTTACCCTTCTTCCTTTCTTTTGCCTTTTGCATACAAGATAGTCATGAGGATAACCAGGAACGAGCTGTAAAGGCCCATTCCCCAATACGAGCGGTTTACCAATCGGGGGTCCCCATTACCCAATCGCGCACTACGATTGGTCAATGGGAGGGGAATACGAGATGGGGAGGCCGATTGCCCAATCGTTTACTCCCATTGGTTAATCGGGAGGCCGATTACCTAATCGGGAAATATTTCGGTTTCGGCTTTTATGAAAATTGAAGATATATTAGTATATTCCATATCCCCCCCCCCTTTTCCCCTCTTTTACCCCCTTTACTTTCTTGCTCTCACATTGCGTTTAGGGGCTACTTTAGCTCCCCTAGCTCTTTTTGCCCCCCTTTTGACTTGGTAATCAGCTAATTCCTCTATACTAGCCCCATCCTTACGTGGCTCTTCAATCGCTACTCTCTTCTTTACTCTCTCAGATGCCCTCCCTGCCTTTTGAACTAATGTAATCGAACCACGATTATTTTCCAGTGTAATTACTTTAGATAGGGTAATTCTAGCTTTTTTGAGAGCTGCCCCTTCTGTTGGAAGTTCATAAGTTGCTTGAGAAGCAATCTTATTAAGGGTACTAGCTGGCCAGAGAATAGTAAGTTCGCCATGCTTAGTTACTAAGCAATACCCCTAAATATAGTTAGCTTAAGTAATAATATATCTTCAAGTAAATTACGTACCTTTACTGTTTTTTCCAAGACTCTGACTAGAATCCTTGCAGATTCAGTACCAAAGCGATATTGCTTTGGGATCTGTAAGGTAGCGGTTTCTTGAGCTTTATACTCCAGAGCCTTTGCACTAGCTCTCTTTACCATATTCTCCTTCTATTTCCTTATATACTCCGCAACCCTCTTGGTCAGTTCAGATAAAATCATCTCCTTCTACTCCTGTTCAACTTCAATATCCTTATTAATAAATAAGCCTTCCTCTATATCTTCCTCTCCTGATCCCTCTCCTAATCTCTCTCTTGATCCCTCAGAATTTCCCCCTAAAATAGCACGTGTCTTGTACTCCTGGAAATCAGCCGGTGGTTGCCTTCCAAACCATACCTTATATGGTGTACTACCCCTAGGTAAAGTAGAGCTTGATATAGTATTAATTATCTATATAATTAAAGGAAGTAATTATATCTAGGATTATATACTAGTATCTGTATGTATAGCTCGCAATCGTCTCTTAAAGATACGATTAGTAATCTCAATAGAGCCTTGCGATTAGGGATAGTAAGCTCGTCCCCGTATAATCTTTATCCCTCTCTTCTTGCAAACCTCAATTACTTTTCCCTTGAACTCACCCCTATTATTACAGGCTAGAATGGCAATATACCCATTATTATTTAGCCATTTAATAAGCTCGTCAGTAGCTTTGTCTGCAGACTTAGCCTTAAGCCCCCGGATCCAGACAAACTTGGAAAATGGCATTTTAATTACCAAATCTATATATATTCTCCGTCCGGATCATACTATAATAATATATTAGTAAGTGGTATGGATGGAAAATTAATAAAATCGCAAAAATCGCGAAAATCGTAAAAATTGCAGGAAAAGCTCAAAAATACAAGAAATGCAAGAAATACAGGAAAGGCTAAAAAATAGGGGTAAAGTATATAACTTAGAGGTAATCATATAACTAAAAATGCACTTATACGAAAATCTATTAAATCCAGTACTATATACTATCCAGGATAATGAGAGTAAATCGGCTTTATTATAATATTACTCTTTTGAATCTGTTATTTATTATAGTATATATAATATATAGATATCCAGGCATTATCGTCCCTGGAGAGGCTATAATAAAGCTTATATTAGTAATTAAATATGGTATTAAAGCCTATAGTAAAATTAGCCTAAGATTAGAAGGGGGGGGAATAGGTAATTTACTTATATATATTAACTTCTCGTATATAGTAGTAAGGATCTCAAAGGCATTATTATAGCAAATAACGTAAGTTACCGGTATAATCTCCCCAAGGCAAGTATTATAGTACTTCTTACGATATACCTGGCCATCTTGAAGCTTGTACTTCTTAGACTCAAGCTTCATATTAGACTAGTATCTTCTCTCTGCCTTGGTTTTACCAAAAGGAGCTGTATTAGGGTTCTTTAGCTACTACCTGATCTCGTACCGTTTAAGAATAGTAAGAATCTTCTTATTACCCCCCTTAGTAAGCCTCTTATCCCATGCAATCTCATCTTTAGCAGACCAATTATTAGTAGGCTCAATAGTAACAGGGGAAGGCAAGAATTAGGTACCTGAAATACGTGCTCCTGGAACAGTAATATCAAAATATTATTCTATATGGCCATAAATATACTAGCGTAGTATATGTAGAGATGGAGAGGAACGAAGGATTAAGAGAGACATATTAATAAAGTAGATTGAGAGGTATAATAAGTAAATTGAGAAGAGGTATAAGAAGTAGATTGAGAAGAAGTATAATAAGTTAGCAAAAGGGTCAGTGAAGTATATAAATTATAGAGCAAATAGCCCCTGATATATACTTCTACTCCTTTTCTAGTATATACTTTAGCTCCCATTAATACTTAGAACTCCTAAAATGAAGCCTATAATGCTATAGGATATAGTATAAATAAGTAAGATATAATAATACAAAGAAATGAGAATTGAGGATATACTTTTAATAAGGCCATACTATGGCATAAATAGTAATTCCAAAGTAAAGGGGGGCATATAGGGGTAAAGATATATTTAGGATATACTAGTAGATTTATTAGTTTTAGCCTCCCTTAAGGCCGAGACCCCAATATTATGCGATTATTAAATCGGGACCCACTGTGGGTCCCGAATCGTATCCAACCCCCTATTAGTAAATGGGCTTACCCGATTAGGCAATCGGGGGGCCGATTGGTAAACCGCTCGTATTGGGGAATGGGCCTTCACAGAGCGAGCTCCTGCCTTGGAGTCGTTTGTACTTTTCCTCTTCTTTGCCTAAGTCAACACTCGAGGAGATCGAGGATATAAATGGAAGTTGTCTCGTCTTAAGTGGGCGGTTTGTATCAATTAAACGAGCATGGCGAGACCGCGCAGAGAGGGTGAAGGTCCTGAGATTAAATAGTTCAGTGTTTTGAGTAGTAGAATCGAAGGAGAGGGCAGTCGCGAATGCGGTTCAAAATTGTGCGGAGCAAATAGAGGATTCAATATCATTTGGCAATAGCAATAACAGACGCAAAAACGGAGTGTCCACAGAATTCGCATAATCAATAACATGCAGTGACTTTGGGGGATTTTTGATGTTGATTTCATCTCATACAGGGTATCATGGTATTCCTCGTGCTTCGTTGATCGCCATATCTGCGCCAGCCATTTTTACATGTGTACAGGAAGCTGCTGCCCCGCCACCAATACCATTATAACCCGCCATTTCAACGTTATCTACTCTACAAAATCGAGAACCCAGACAAGATATCCATTGATTCGTTATGATCCTACGCTCCTCTGCTTCAAAACGCCGTCAATGCATACAGAAGTCGCGAAGGGGGAGCTTTAGTAGCGTCGAGCACCATCTAAGCGTCTCTGTTCATCAAGCCGCTGCTGCTGCTCCTCCATTCTTCGATGTTCCTCCATTCGCCGCTGCTCCTCCATTCGTCGTTGCTCGTCAATGCGTCGTTGCTCGTCAATCTCTCTTTGTCTTTGCCTCTGATGATAGACCTCTTCTTGCATCCGCGCCTCTGCATCTTGAGCGGGTGCATATCGATCCTGACTCGGGTGCTGTTGTTGCTGGTATTGCATGGATGTGCCAGGATGATGAGTGGCTTGTGCATAGCTTTGCTGAACCGGAGTGGGTGCCGAGGTCGTTTGATACCGTCCGTCAAAGCTGTTGCCTCGAGACCGATGCAGAGGACGTTGAGTGGCGTACTGGGTCGGCGGAGACGCAGTATGGCCCTGGCTCTGTCCAAATACGAGATGCCGATGGTTAGGAAGTGGTTGCTGCTGAGATTGAGGGTGGTAGGTAGGTCCAAGTTGGGGCGAACCCGCAGCACTGTGTTGCTGTTGTTGCATCAGGTATTGCGGTGGACGTGAATAATAATCACGCTCAGAAGGTTGAGCCAAGTCAAGTGGTGATCCCGCTGGCTGGCGGATGGTTGGGGGCTGAGATGTGGAAGGAGTTGCGGAATAAGGGGAATCCTTCAGTCTCGGCTGTGAAGGAGCTGCACGCGCATATCCACCAGATATTCCATGAACTTCGCTGTGAACCTGCTCACGTCGAATAGGCGGGGGCTGGGAACTCATCGATTGACGCGGTGGCTGCGAATACATTTGCTGTTGCTGCTGTTGCTGCATTGCAGGTGGAGGGTATCCACTACGGTTGTCGAAGCCAGTTGGGGTATAACTTCGAGAGTGCCCCATAGACGAGGTGTGTTGATGCAAAGAGTGAGGGGCCGGCTGAGAATAGGAGTGCTGAGCCGGGGGAAGTTGCTGCTGCTGTGGGACTGGCTGCGCTCCCATCTGTTGGGGGATTGGTTGCGAGGTTTGTGACGGCGGCTGCGAAGAACCACCAGAGTAGCGAGATGGCTGCAACGGATGCTGTGGGGGCGGAGTATGGGATGCCTGTGAAGCGTGCAAAGAAGAGACGGAAACATCGCTCGGACGTTTGGGTGGTGTGGGACGTGGGTCGCTGGGTTCGTCGTTGTTCAATAATGACATGATGCTTGATGTCTTCCGGACAGTCTCTTGTCTTATAGCTACGACAGGAGCTGGTTGTGGAGGCGGTGCAGAGTAAGCTTCCTGGCCCGTGGGTGGTGCACTCATTGGCGGGCGCGGCAATGCTGGAGAAGGACTGGACTTCATCTCACGCGGACCACTAGCGTTGTCACCCAAGAAAGTACGTCCAGGCTGCGGAGGTCGAGGTGGGAACTGCTGAGGCAGAGCTGTACGGCGCACTTCAGTGGCAGCAGGAGGAGTTGGCTTTGGTGGATCCGGCCTCGAATGCGGGACGCTGTTGCTATGAATTGAAGAGGGAGCATACGGTTCGTACTGGTGTACACTTGCAACCACCTCAGGCTCCTGCTTCATTTGGAAATGGCGTTCGCGTTGCATAGCTTGCTGTTGCTGTTGCTGTTGCTGCTCCCTCTGTTCTCGCTCAAGACGCAATGCTGATTGTCGTTCAAGGTGGGCCTCTTGGGCAACCATAAGTGAACGCTGTGACACTGCATCGGCTTGGATGATAGGTCGCGGTGGTGTGTCGGTGGTGAAGAAACCCATGGGCGGCCCGCGCGAAGCCCTCGATTGCTGCTGCTGCTGCTGCTGCTGCACTGGTTGTGGAGCCTGCTGGATCGGCTGAGGCGGAAGATGCTTATTCAGCACTGAGGCTGCAGTAGGGGGCTGAATCTGGGCAACAGGGCCAGCTTGAGCCAAAGCAGGGAAGCGTGTGCTCAGCGTAGGTTGTGGAGGCGAGGTATGTGTCAATGAGTTCTGACCAGTAGAGGCCATATCCTCAACCCCTTCCATCGCAGATCCGGATCTCTGGGCAGTGCCGGTAGGCATATCATAACGTCTCTTTGGAAGGGATGTAGGCTGTGGAAGCGGACCTGTTTCTTCGCCCCGCGATTTCTTGTCATCCGCATCTCTTGCAATGTCCTCCCATTCCTTCATCTTCCCCGAATCTACTTGGCGTTGATAATAATTCTTGACCTGCGTCTGGATGTTAGCGACACAACGACTCTTGTTGCTGTCAGACGGTACAACAAGCCATTGTTGAAAAACGGTGCGGTATACCATTATGTGTGTCTTTGAAGTCATCCACTTTGCAATTCCATGCCAATCGGTGCCAAAGTGTCGCAACAGCGCCGGGAAATCTGTTTGCTCAGGAACACTCCAATAGCTTGATGTTTGTTGGATGTTCCGTCGGTCTTGTGGCGAATCAAAATTCGTCGGTGGAGCAGAGCCAAGGCGTTCTTGAGAGGGAAATGGTTGTTGCACGGAGTCGAAATTGACCGTCTGAGAAGGGTTGGGTCTTTCTGCTGGGACATAAGGAGGAGCGAAACTTGCTTGACTTGATCCAGCGCCATCATATTGTGGTGGGAGGCGAGATGGGCCTCCCGATTCACGACGATTCTTCCAATCTGCTACAGAAGGTGGTGTTGGTGACTCGGCATGACGGTTTGCAGGGTTGACCGGAGCCGCAGCAAGGAGTTGGTTGTTTTTGGATTGCTTCGTGCCCTTCTCGCGAGGCACTTTTGTCTTCCTCTTGATAGGTGCAGCATCACCGTTTGCATCCCCTTTCGGTGCTGCAGCAGTCTTTCTTCCTGGAGTCGGTGCTGGACTGGCGACCTCGCTTTCGCTTGCAGGGGTTTCAAATGGCCAAACGGGCGCTGCAGCTCTTCGCGGGCGACGTCGCTCTCCATTCTCCCCGTCTTGGCCATCCTCAGCCTCCTCACGGCCAACTCCGAGATCAGCCATTAACGCATTTGACTTTGGTTTAGGTCCGCCTGCCTTGCGTCCTCTCCTCCTCTTGGGTTGCTTCTTCAACTTCTCCTTCAGACTCGATGGGTGTTTGACAAGGTAATAGTGTTGGATGCAGGCCTTGTAATCACGACCCGGAAGAGCCTCGGCAATCTTGCTGAATTGCTTGGGGGACTCAAGATAGGATTCCTCGAAGATCCGAGCTTCTTCTTCCGTAAAGTTGTCGATAGGTTCTCCGTATTCCAGAACCGCGAATGATCTCTCGAATGATACAAGGTGAGTCTTGTCAATATATTCGTTCGCCTCCCATTCTTCTTCATCCCAAGCCATGTCAGGTATTTTGGCTTCCTTTGCACTGGCAGTTCTAGCCCTGGCAACACGCTCTTCTCGCTCCTTGGTCTCCTTTGCTTCTTGCTCGGACTCTCGAAGAACTCTCTCAATGTCATGCTCAGTTGCGAATCTGCTGCCCGTTCTGCGCTGGGGTTCTGGTTTCGCTCCGGCAGACGGCATGGCTGAGGGACGAGGAGCTGCAGCTTCCGCAGCGGCCCTAGCTCGTGACTTCTCAAACTTTTCCCTGCTGGCTTTTGCAGCAGGGTCGTCAGAAAAGTCGGTCCATTGCCGATATTCAAGATACCGCTGCTTCCAATCCTGGCGGGCGAGTTCCTGTTCCCTCGCACGACGCTCTTTAGTGTCTTGAATATCCTTCTTCACCCGTGCTTCGACCTCGGGGTCTGCCTTTAGTGTCTGAAGAAATTCTTCATCTTCGTCCCACTTCTTGCAGTTGAACCTTCGCAGACTGGAGGGTGAAGGAGTTCTCATTTGCTTCCTGACGGACTCAAGTGCTTCAACGTTCTCTGCTTCGCTCAGATCACGTTCGCTCGCTGCTGCGAACTCATCCGACATCATTAGCTTCCGTGCTCTGCCACTGAGAGGAGGGTGATTCGGTTCGTCGTCATTGGCTACTGCGAACTCGTTGGACATCATTGGCTTGCGTGGCCTAACGATGGAAGCGGGCTGATTCGATTCATCGTCGCTTGTTGCTGCAAACTCGTCCGACATCAGTGGCTTCCGAGGTCTGCCTTTCGTTGCAGGTTCTAATTCGTCCGCCATCATCGGCATCCGGGGTTTCATGTTAGTTGCAGATTTACTGGTTTCATCGTCGCTCTCAGCTGCAAATTCATCGGACATCATTGGCTTTCGTGGTGTACTAGTAGCGGTAGTTTTGGTTGTTTTTGTTTGCATCGATGTGAATTCACCACTGTTAGGTTCAGCTTGAGAAGGAACACCATTCTGTTCATCCATGCTCGCCTCGTTGCGTTGAGCAGCTGCCAAAGCTTCTGTAACAAGAACAATCTCTTTAGTGGTGCCATTCGTCAATGGTTCTGCATCAATCTCTTCCAGCGGCGTGTTGGAATGACTCTTGCCTTTACTTTCGGCATTTGGAGCTAAGGAAGTGGGCGTAGAAGATGATTCAGGGTCAGGCTGCTCTTCAACCTCCGGAGCGATGCAAGGTTCGGGAGCGGCAGGCTCTTCCGGAGAATCGTCAACCATCGACTCGATGATTGGTTTGACGAACACTGCCTCAGGTTCTTCCCGTGGCTTGATTGGATTGTCCTCTCTGATTTGGTCAACCTTTTCCTGCAGTTTTGAAATTTCCTGCTCAAAGTAGCCATCCTCGAAATCATCGCCAGAATCGGAATCTGATAGGTCATCGGGGATGCCATCAAAAACTGGTGATTTGCGAGGCTTTTCAAGACGCTTTCCGGTGACTGACTTCCGCTTGCGGGTGGGTTCCTGTGGAGGTCGGTCGTTAACACTTGTAGGGACAGGTGGATCCGGTGTCTTCGACCGAGAATATTGGCGGCTGTCTTTACGGTCTGTCTTGACTTCATCTATATCCCCACGGGTTCCGGGGGACTGAGCGGGGACGGATTGTGGAGAAATAGCGGTCGTAGGCGACGGAAAACTTGGAGGTTCAATCTTCATCGGATCGGGTCGTTGACTGCTGGCCTTGAGATTTGGGTTGACCCATTTGGCCGATGTGAACTTTGTTCCCGATCGGTGGTACTCTCCTTTGGGGAGTTGGGCGCGAGGAGCGGTCGGAACAGCCACACCCGGAACAGGACCTGATGTATTGTCGGACGCGACTGCGGCAGGACTTGCTGCGGAAGCGATAGGAACATTGGAAGAGCCGAAAGCAGGAACCTGCGGAGGTGGTGTTGCTGATGGTTGAGTTCGACGACCCCAACTTTGATCAGGAGACCGACTTCGACCAGGATGTCTATGATATTCATCGTAATAACCTCGACCACGCCCACTTCGGCCACCGCCTCGAGCTCTGCCATAGCCTCGCGTGAAAGATTGATTTTCAGATGATGGTGAGCCACCTGACAAGGGCCCATCCCGTGAGCCTCGACGAGTGCGATCTAAGTCGATGCTTGGCGGTGGATCTCGAATATCACGGGTGGAGTAATTCGGTGAACGGCCTCGCCCCGGAGGCGGTGATTGTCTTCGACCTCTGTAGCTTTCTCGTCCCCATATTCGATCTCGTCCTCTATCGTCACGGAACTGCGGTGGGCCCCTGTCATCTCGTCTATCTCGATAATCTCTCTCAGGTTCGCGGCCTCTGTCTCGACTATCATCACGCCAACCTCGGCCTCTGCCACGGCTCCGGTCGCCTCTGTATTCCCCTCTGTATGGACCAAAGTCTCCTCGGTAATCAGAACCATAGTTGGAGGCTCGGGGGCCGGTCGGAGCATCAATCAAACCCTTTGGACCTCTTGGGGGTTCGCGTGGAGGAAAATCTCGAGAGGACTCGCGACCGATTGGCTCTCGAAATGCTTCTCGGTTTGACGCAAACGCATTGTGGTTGTTGGCCCGCGCGTCTGGGATCGATGATCGTCGTCGCTCGATACCACGTCCTGAACCACCTCTGAACTCGTCCCTATCGTTGTATCTTCCTGGTGATTGGTCTCGCGGGGAGCGACGGGACTCACCCGAGTCACCGTAGGAGGGCTGATACCTAGACCTGTAGGCAACCGTTAGCACGGCGGCAAGCAGAGGTGAGGCTGTACAAACATTCATCTTCGAGGCAATGGCCCCAGAAGAACAGATCAATAGCTTATGACACACTCCTGTCAATCCCGCTGCGTGCGATGGTGAAGGCCTTTGGGACCGAATGGATCAACAACTCGTAGCACAGAAGCGGATCAACATTCGGCTCTCGCGGTCCAAAGCGGTTCAAAAAAAGGCGTTAGAGGGTCAAAGGCATGCGCATGAAGAGGTCGTCGAAAGGATTGCCCTGTCAGGAGCGACAGGAGGCTTGTGGATGTTGGGTGAGGGTTCGTGCGAAGTTAACGGTGGATTGCTCATGAGGTGGAGGATCCGGTAAGGCTTGGATCTCGAATTGGCTTCGCTTAGCGCGCCAGGAAAATAAGCTTTATGCGCCATAAGCGCTGTGCATGCGGCTTTGCTCGGCTTTTAACCTCATCGAAACTCAGATCAAAGACATCAGGATATCTGACTTGGCTATTTCCAGACCCAAAATCAACACAAAACAAAACAACTCAACGTGGGCCCGAATACACTTCAGAACGTTACTCAACATCCGCGTTGAGAAAATAGAACCGTTAGCAGCCGGACCGTTCCGTCTGAAGATTTTCTCATCGTCTTAGGAGAGGATCAACAGCGGTTCCAAGGGGTCCCTAAGGGCTACCCCTACTCTTAGTGAAGACCCTTGGAAAGAAAAACTTCTCTCTTGCTTTTCAGTCAAAGTCTTTTTGATTCATCATCAAAAGAGGAAGGGAAACCCATTGCCCACCAGCTCTGAAAGTTTGAGCTTCAAGGCAGCAAGACCTTTCTCCTTTGAACCCCAAATCCTCCCAGCTAACCTCCTCAAACCCGCATTCAGCATGACTACAAATTCAGAGCCAGGAGCACTGCCCTCCTCAGTTACAGATGCCGTGCTCGTCCCCTCGAACGAGATGCCCGAAGGTTCCCAGAAAGTCGAAGAGCTAGACTTTGACAAGTTTGCCGGACGAGATATAACTGTTGATGATTTGATAAGCGGGATGAACAATATGGGGTTCCAAGCAAGTTCGATAGGAGAGGCTGTCAGGATTATAAATGACATGGTACTGTTTCCCTTCTATAGTCCTCGTCTCGCGCCTCTCTCCTATAGCCACCTTCCACCCCATCCTCTAACACCCATCCAGAGAGCCTGGCGCGATCCCGAAGACCCTACCACAAAAACAACAATCTTCCTCGGCTACACTAGCAACCTCATCTCCTCCGGCCTGCGGGGGACCCTCCGCTACCTGGCGCAACACTCTCACATCTCCGCCATCGTCACAACGGCAGGAGGAATAGAAGAAGACCTCATAAAATGCCTCGGCGATACCTACATAGGCTCCTTCTCCACTCCCGGTGCCCAACTGCGATCAAAAGGCCTAAACCGAATCGGAAACCTGATAGTGCCAAACAACAACTACTGCCTCTTCGAAGACTGGGTGGTGCCTATTCTCGATAAGATGCTCGAGGAGCAAGAAGCGTCAAAATCCACGGATGAACCGATAAACTGGACACCATCGAAAGTAATCCATCGATTGGGGAAAGAGATAAATGATGAAAGAAGTGTGTATTACTGGTGCTACAAGAACAACATCCCCGTCTTCTGCCCCGCATTGACGGACGGGAGTCTGGGCGATATGCTGTACTTCCACACTTTCAAGGCTTCCCCCCTGCAGCTGAAGATCGACATCGTGGAGGACATTCGGAAGGTCAACACCATTGCTGTGCGGGCCAAGAGGGCGGGGATGATAATACTCGGTGGTGGGGTGGTGAAGCATCATATTGCGAATGCGTGCCTGATGCGCAACGGTGCTGAGAGTGCGGTGTACATCAATACAGCGCAGGAGTTTGACGGGAGCGATGCGGGAGCGCGGCCTGATGAGGCTGTCAGCTGGGGGAAGATCAAGGTTGGGGCTGATAGTGTCAAGGTTTGTCCAGTCCACCTCACGGCCTCACGGCACAGCTGGAGGGCGGATGTGTAAAAGAGAGTTCGATTTACTAACGAAAGTACAGGTGTATGTGGAGGCAACTGCTTGTTTCCCACTTATCGTGGCAGCCACATTTGCGAAGGATGCGTGCCGCAGCAGCAAGCCTTGAAAACGAAGATGATATCCTCATATTTCCTCTTGCTGCCTATGAAACGTGATCCAAATGGAAACGCCCTAAAAACGACCATTGCCCGCCCCATGCCATGCCCGCCCATGATGAAATCAATCAGCGCCATAGCCCGAGAAAAGCAGCAACTTTTAAAAAGGCGTCGAAGAATCTCTTTCTCGATCCACGCTATGCTCCCCATAACCAGATCGATCAACGCCGTCTCTCGATATCTTTCGAGACACCCCATCACTTCTTGAAAGGAAGTAAAAGAAAATAATTTGTTGGTGCTGCTCTCTTCAGTACCCATCCCCCAATATTCGACGCAGCAACATCAGCAACTCTTTTTGGGGTCTTTTGGGGTGGGTGGTGTTTTTGAAATAAATCGAAGAAACAGAAAAACAAGTCTTCCTTCGTCCCCAATGAACACAATAAACCCCGAATATCAAAGTCCCTCATCGCTGAGGACTTTTGAAAGTCTGGCACCGGAAGTCGGAGGGACGTCTCGTTGAAGACTGTTGAAATGCTCAGCCCCTTTGGGACACCCCTTGTGAGCCTTCAAATCGCATAGAGCCTCTCCCGCGGTCTGAACGTCTCATGATCGTCGATTAGTGGCAATTCCCTCCGACCTCTCACGTTCATCATCTATGAACTTGGTAATATCGTTGCTGAAACCTCTCGGTCCATCTGGTCGTCGCACACCAGTTGGAGGTTCGGATTCGCCCTCATTCTCCTTCAATGATTCGGCCAAAGACTCTGCTTCGCTCGGTATTCGTCTATGACCGGAAGGTTGGGTACCTGGTGAAGTAGGTGCAGATGGAGACTCGAGGCTTTCAAGGGTGACCTGAGAGGAGTTCGGAGCACTGCTTCCATGCGGATGCCTGCTCGTACTCAAAGGCGGGGACGGGTTGAGGGGCGCGAGGACCGCTTCGCTCTGTTGCAAACGAACACGACCACGAACTTCGGTGATGATTGCGTCCATGTCAACGTGACTTGCCATCATAAAGCGATGGGCCTCCTCCGTCAACAGTTTTGCAGTTTCCTCGACAGCCATATTGTCTAGCGCAAGTCGTGTACGAAACTGAATGATTTCTAGTCAGTACAGTTCCTCCTCTAGTGAGATTTTGGAATTCAGAAGACCTGATGTTTCCCGAGATCTTGGGTATCACCTTCAACCTCCCAGAGCGAAGATTTGATACGAAGAAAAAAGTGTACATACCTGCTCCGTTCCCTCCCGCAGGACCTGATCAGTGACTCTCCCAACCGAGACTGGTGGACGACGGGCCCGAGCAATATCTCTCTCCCTCTCAACCTCGTCTTGAATTTTCGCGACCTCCTTCTCGTGGTACCTCTGGATCGTATGTTGCCGATCGCTTTCGCGCTCACCGTTCCATCCGCGTTGGCGAGCCTTGGAGTTCCTCAAACCCTCGAGCATCTCGTTATCGTCTCTCTCCTTACGCTTTGCACGGGCCAACTCGAATTCTTCTCGTTCTTCTGATGTACGGCCAATTCTTGGAACATTTGGACTTTGCTCCATGCTGTAGCGAAGGCCTGATGGCGTTGGCTTCAAATGCGGATTTTGGGCGTAATATTGCGCTTTAGCAGATTGCGGGGGTTCGTCTGGAGGGCTTGACGCTCTACGTCGCTTGCGAGAGTTGGATTTGCATTCACCACGAACGTTGGAGTAACGAGCCTTCGGAATGGATGGTGCCACCGATGGTGAAAAAGGGTCATACTCCTCTCCTGGTCCATTCACCCTGAGGTCCTGGGGACAATCTAATTTCCCAGTAGTGTCACTGCTACCCCACTGAGGAGAGACCCGGCTTAATCTCGAACCGCCTTTAGTTGGAAACCCAGAACTATTCTCCTCAGGTGTGGAGGTTCCACTCGAACTTGAGGCAACCATATCTTGAGTTTCGGACTCTAATGGTGTGGTGTTTGAAGTAGCGCCATTGCTGCTCGCCCGAGATAACCCTTCGCTTTGGCGCGAACTCGACATTGTGGGAGAAGTGGGCTGGGTGTGACCTTGTCCAGCAGGAATACCTGGCGTAGTGGAAAATCTCCAATCAGGTGAGATATAATGCAGTGTTTGTGGTGGAAGAGTCCTTTCTCGAGATTGTGCCGGCATGTGAACACTACTGAGACTAAGCAGTCCGGACTTGTCTGCCCTCGAAGGCAAAGCGGGCTCAGTATGACTGTCCTGTCTAGAGAGGCTGACTTGTCTTTGTGATAAAGGTGTACTTTGTTGATGGTGAAGGCAGTCTTGGCTTAGTGCTGGCTGGTTGGTAACAGAATTCTCTCCAAATGTATTCGAAGAGAAGCGCTGGTTGGTCTGCGGCGGTCTGGAGACGAGGCTTTGCTGCGATCTAAAATTGTTGTGGTTTCCAAGTGGCAGCCCCCCATAAGATGTCTGATTCCCACCGGGAACACCTCTGGCAGATGTGCCTTGGGCTGAGCCGTGCGAGTGCCGTCTGTAGTTGATGGAATGATTTGTGCCGTCTTTGTCTTGGACAACGTTCCTTGGGTCTGCGAAGGGGTCGGTTCTGTTAGGGTTCAAGAGGTAGTCTGGAGGGCCACCATAACTTGGTTTGCTCTGGCTCAGACTCTTCTTTTTCACTGGGTCCGACTTCTGGCTTCCATTGCCCGCCTTCGGTGCGTCTGCAGAGCCTTCCTTGTTCCGGCCAATGCCTTGTCCTCCCATGTTCTCGAGTTGCTATTGGGAGGATTCGGGTAGTTCGGCACATTCAGTACGTCTTTCACAGCCAGGGTCGTCTATGGTGTCGGAATCGCTGTCGTTGGGGCTGTGTCGGTTGTCGAGGAAGGTATTGAACTGTTCAGTTGACATCTCTTTGACTGGTGGGTTGTTGTGACTAGTATACCACGCGCTCCTTCCCACCATCGGGCAAAGATTCCTAGGAACGGAAGGAGCACTGGGACCATCTTGGGTCAGGTCAATCCGCATTTTCTCTGGGTATCTCAATGTCAGAAGAATCCGAGCCGCCTCTCGTGCCTCAGGATCACGCTTATGGCCATGGTCATGTGGATATTTCCACTCAATTTGAGGTGCTACCAGAACGCTCTTCTCAGCAGTAAGACTGTTCTCTCGTTGGGTTGCTTGTGCTTGGGCCAAGACCAACTCTTGAGCAGCTTGAGAGGTATCCTCCTCAGAGCTTTGACTGCTTTCCGTTCCCTTGTGGGACCTGGGAGGCGTAGGATTTTCCCTCCTTGTCGGCTGCGGCTCATTGGTGTGAGCACTTTCTGTGCCCCTGCTCTCTGGACTCTTCGAAGGAGACGGGGATAGCAATGCTGTCGGCTGCTGCTCCTTAGTGCGAACATCTTCTATGCCCTTGCTCTCTGGACTCCTCAAAGGAGATGGGGGCAGCAATGCTGTCAAGCTGGCTTTTGGTGTTGTTGCAACTGTTACGGGCACTGGGGGGTCTTTTAGGAGCGGCCAAGTACCTATATACTCCTGTTTCGCAGCCATGTCGGCGAGCATGACGAGTGGGTCCAAACCCGCCTCTTCGGCGACTGGCGTATTGCTCTCGGGGATATCACCACTCTGGGGAGCTTTCTGGGAGCTTCCTCTTACGGCATCCCCATCCTCGTTCGATCCCGCAATCTCTTGTCTCGTTGGATTGTCCACGGGAGCAGCGTCTTGAGCCTGCGGAGCCATGAAGGAAGTGTATCCGTTGTCACTGGCCTCTTGGTTGTTGTACTCTCCTTTAAACTGCCGCTCATTCGGCGTCTCACTCTCCATGTGGCAAGTTCGCGTGTCGTCGCTCCAGTCAATGCTGGGCGTTCGAGTAAGGCCAAGTGCCCGCTTCGTCTCAGACATTTGGTCGGAGTCAGATGGTGCCATGTTTGCAGGGTGTCTGGGGAGCATGATATGGCCCAGCTTGTTGTGCAAGCTATCCTCAAGCTTGGCGGGCTCTGTAAGTGGCGGAGGAGGATTGGTGTAATGAGGTTTGTATCCGGATGAAATGGTATTTCGGTAGGTTTCTGTACGTCCTCGTGCATCAGCAAATGGACGCTTCTCCTCGTCGTTAAGGAGAGATATTTTACCCTGAGAACCTGCCATTAATTCAGCGATAGTTATACTGTGCTGTGAGTCGCTAAGAATGTGGTCGGTGTATGAATGGTTGGTTGTGATCTTTGTGGTGGAGGAAACTCTTGGGGCTCTGCGGCAGGCTAACGGCCTAGTCAATAGCGAGTATGGTGCGCTATTCCCTTGTAAGTATATTTCCGCACTGTGCGAGCTCATTCAATGATGCGATAAAGTATACTCGATTGCGGGCAAAGATGTTTAGTTTTGGGGGTAACTTGGTGCTGGGATCAAGCAACTTTGGGCCAACCCCAGTGGAAGTGAAGAAGGGACGAGGGAAGCAGAAATGGCCTCGTATACTGCCAAATAATCGAAAGAAATGGCACCGTTTCCTTCTTCAAACTTGGATTCTCACTACTATTTATTAACAATTAATAAGATATCATGTTAGTTTTTCTGTACCTCCGGGAGCGAAGTGCTTCAACCGTCTGATAAACTAGATGGAGACTCGCAAAAAACACTCTGCTGCAAACCATGTTCACCCAAGCAGGGATGTCCCAAAAGCAAACTCTTCCAGAGCCCGTACATGCATCACAATTGGCCATCAATCCTTACCTCATAGGAATCACTTCTTCTGCGCAGGGAAGCTTGGAACCTGTCGTAGTCACGTGACCATAGCATCCCGTCCGCAAATCACAGAGCCTGCAAAACTTTCAGCCGCATTCAAAACGCCCCACCTCTCGACGACAACCCATCAAACCTCCTCAAGGCCTCATTAACTTGCAGGTCCCGGCCACCATGTCCGCAGTCTACAACCTCGAGCCGCAGCCCACGGCCTCCTGCATCCTGCACACGACCTCTGGCGACATCTCGCTCGAGCTCTGGGCCCAGCAGATCCCGCTCACCTGTCGAAATTTCCTGCAGCACTGTCTAGATGGCTACTACGACAACACCATCTTCCACCGTCTTGTTCCTGGCTTCATCCTCCAGGGTGGTGATCCAACAGGCACCGGCTCGGGAGGAGAGAGTATCTACGATGGCGGGCAATTCGCTGAAGCACGAGAGGAGGGGGGAATATGGCCTATGGAAGACAGGAAGGGTGCGAATGCTGGCCCGCGGGGCGTAGGCTTTAAAGATGAGTTTCACAGCCGGATAAAGTTTAACCGGAGAGGATTGTTGGGGATGGCAAATGAGGGGCCGGATACGAATGGAAGCCAGTTTTTCATAACGTTGGGTGATACGCCGGAGCTGCAGGGGAAGAATACCCTTTTTGGACGGGTGGAGGGGGATACGATCTATAATGTTGCGAAGATGGGAGAGGCGGAGGTGGGGGAGAATGATAGGCCGGTTTATCCTACCAGAGTTACGAGTGTGGAGGTACTGGTCAATCCGTTCAAGGATATGGTAAAAAGGGTGAGGACGGCGCCGGTCGTGCAGCAGCAGAAGCCTGTGGATAAGAAGAAGAAGAGGAAGGCGGGCAAACAGTTATTGAGTTTTGGGGCGGACGAGGGAGATGGGGAGGATTTACAGCCCGTGATCAAGAAGGCGAAGTTTGATACGAGGATTGTGATGGATACGGAGGATGCTGCACCGGAACCAAAACCTAAGCAAGCTTCCAAGGAAGCCAAGAAGAAGGTTACAAAACCAATTTCGGTGGAATCTTCCCCAGAACCATCACCTGAACCAGCAAAATTTTTACCCAATCGAGCCGCAAAACCTGATATCCGAGATATTTCCTCTTCGCCAGAACCAGAACCAGTTCAAAAAGTTTCGTCATTGTTAGATCGAACAAATGCACAAATAGCAGAGCTCAAGGCGTCGATGAAGAGAAATGTGCAGACCGCACCTGTTAATGAAAAGAAGAAATCAGTGTTGGAAACGATGATTCCCAGAACCTCGGTCCGGGGACGGAAACGACATCCTGGGGAAAGCGCACCACCTGATCCACGAACTTTGGATATCTTGAATGCGTTTAAGTCAAAGTTGGATCAGGCACCGCCTGAAAAGGACGTCCCAAAACTCGAACCTATTCTGGCTGAAGAGAAGAAAGACCAGGCGGAAGACGACGAAGAAGCAGCTTTGTGTGATCTCCATTTCATCGCAAATTGCCAGTCATGCCAGAAATGGGATGCTCAAGGCGAAGGAGAGAATGAAGATGACGACGATGATATTGGTTGGATGTCTCATGCGTTGTCATTCAAGGAAGACAAATTGGGCAAGGATTTGAGTTACAGGAAGAAGGCTGAGGACGAATTGGTCGTCATTGATCCTAGGGAGAAAGCTAGGACTTTGAAGGAGGAAAAGAGAGCGCAGAGAGAAGCGAAGGCCGGTGGAAGTGGCAGAGCGTGGGATCAGGCAAGGAACGAGAAATTGGCCAGGTCATCGGCGCTGGCTGGTAGAGGAGCCAAGTGAAGTGCACCGGAGGTCCGGCACGAGTCATCCGGTGAAAGAGTCACGATTCATTGCTTGGATGTTTGGATGATTCAGGTGGAAGACTTCCAACTGGTCGTCAGAAGAATCACATCGGGCTGATGGTTATTAAAAAGGTGTTGCAGGTTTTCACTGTGGATTGAAAGACTCGTGGTTTCATCTGCTATGAATGACGGATGAAATCCTCTGATCGGCAGCTGAATGAAAATATTCAGCCTCCTCAACCCTTGTCTCATAAAATGAAACCCCAAATGAATACTTTCTTCCTCCAACAAATAACCCTTGTGTGCTGTGGATGATTGTAAACGTCCCGGCTTTTAGGTCTCACTTAATGTCATCAAAGATTTGTAATAATCGTACTCAGAAACGAGCCTAAATGATTCCATTTCGCAGTACAGCGCTGCAGCCATCAGATTTTAGGTTTCACCATCTTGCAGCCTCGTCCGGGGTAGGCTAGACGAACGGGCGGAGCTGATTGGCTCTTTTTAGCGATGACCGCAATCTCGACAATAGAAATCTACAACCCGCTGTTGAAGTGTTTGTCACTCCATCTTCAACCAGCTACTCCATCACCGCAAAGCCTACACTCTCTGCGCATCCCCATACAATGAATGCGTCTTCAATCACTTGAGGGACCTTGTTAGAGCCTGATTCATCAACTGGAACCGCCAAAGAGCCCGCAAATCCCGCGAAACCGCCTCACAATCAACGAGCCAACTGCAGCATCCCGAACCTCCGCATTGACCCATCGACCACCAGTCTTTCGCGAAGCAAGTCTCACACCTTTGTCTAGGACAATAGAACCTCTACCAGAAGATCCTCAAGCCTACCAGCACTGGGCGCAGCCTCCTCTTTGAGAACTTTCTCTCGCGATCCGCATTTAAGCTGCCCTCCTAATCTCGTCTGGCCACAGCACCATCTGTTCATCTCCGGCGCAAACCAGAATCTCGGCGATCGACCAGTAAGCAAACGAAAGTGACCACGCAGAGAAGTTGGGAAGTCTTAGGGAGATCCTGCCGAGTGTTGCGAAGCAGGGTGCCTGGAGCGGCTAGGAAGGCTGCAGTCAGCCTCGACCTAGTACGGATAGCCTCAACGTCTGCCCGACCGACGCCAGTCACCGACACAATCACATCTTCCCTTGACCGCAACATCACGGTCGCATGCACAATCATATGCCTCCTACCAACCCCAGAAAACGAGCAGCACCTGGAGCTTCACCAGCAACACAAGCATCCGCCATGCCGCAATCCTATACTGCACCTAGCCAGGTGTCGAATGCAGAGTTTCTTCGATGGAGCCAAGGTCCCGATAATACCGCCTACCCCGATCCTGCGACTTTCAACATGAATAGTTACAGTGGCAACGGCTTAACGCAAGCGCCTTATGATCAGTCCGTTCCTGCTACATCAACACAGCTGGCTCGCCGACCCGTCAACCGACAACTCGTCCCCACGGGACAGCGACCCGGCTACGACAATACAGGCGATCCTTGGGGTCAGTTTGGGGACGACTCCATACTTGATCCGCAAAATCCTGTGGCGATGGAGGAGACGGATAGCATCGAAGCGCTCGAAGAGAGGGCGACAGTTGCGAAGAGGGAAGCACAAGCGAAGCGGAAACAGATTCCGCCGTTTGTGCAGAAGTTAAGCAGGTAAGCGTCTCATCGTTTCACTCTTAGTTCTGTTTGCTGACTTGGTTTTGTACTAGCTTCCTTGAGGAATCGAGAAATACGGATCTCATTCGATGGTCTGATCGAGGCGATTCGTTTGTTGTGTTGGACGAAGACGAGTTTGCCAAGACTTTGATACCCGAACTGTTTAAACACAACAATTATGCGTCCTTCGTCCGGCAACTGAACATGTATGGCTTCCACAAACGGGTCGGATTGTCGGACAACTCGATGAAGGCGAGCGAGAGGAAGAACAAGAGTCCCAGCGAGTACTACAACCCCTACTTCAAGCGCGGCCATCCGAATTTGCTCTGGCTTATCAACAAACCGAAGGGTGGAGGTACGAAAAGTAAGAAGGCGAGACAGAAGAATGAAGATGCGGCAGACGGAGATAGTGATGATGACGGGAGAGATGTTGAGGAGGTGTACGGCAATAACATCCAAAATTCCCGGGCACTTTCAGCGGCACCGGAATCCGGACCTCTGCAGAAACGAGATGTAGCTGCCCTTCACAACCAGCTGGCGGAAATACAGAAGCAGCAGAGTCAGATCACCAATGCCATTCAACGCTTACAAAAAAATCATAATCAGCTCTATCAACAGTCGGTTGCCTTTCAGACGTTACATGACAGGCACGAAAACTCGATCAACGCCATTCTCACGTTCCTTGCTACCGTCTACAACCGGAGTCTTGATGGTCAGGGCCCGCAAAATATTGCCGAGATGTTTGCTAATGGTATTCCTCACAACGTACCGCAGCAAGGAAATGTAGTGGACATTGGAGATATTGGAGATGTAATGAATCAACAACAGCAAAATCCTGGAAACCTCAGTCCTCACCGGAGACAGCAGCGATTGCTGATGGCTCCACCAAGCGCTGGAGGAAGAGCAACTACGGCTTCACCGTCCACAGCCGCTTCAACTCCGCTAGCATCGGGCTATGCTCAAACGCCTCAGTCCGGAGCCATCGAAGAACTTTTCGAGACCTCGCCTGCAGACTCTACGCAAGTCAAGGCTGAGCCAATTCGGCAACAGCAGCCAAGCCTGATGATGAACATAATCAACAATACAAACGCTCGATCCCGTCCCAACAACAGTGCCATGGAGTTCCCAGAGATGCTTTCCCACTACGAAAATGCCAACGGGAATTCCCCTCTAACATCCGAACAACGCAACACTATGCTCAACCTCATCGCAAACACGACATCCGCACCTGGAAGCAACAATGCGCTTGTTAGCCCCACGCCTCCCGAACCCCCCACCTTGGAAGAGATGGGTTATACGCAGGCCGAAATCGATGAGCTGGTCCGTCTTCAAACGGAGCAACAAGCTCGTATCGACGATGTCAAGATCCAACTCTCGCCACTCAGTCCCTCTGGCAGCATCCCCGGTCTCGACGGCAACTCCTACTTCAACGGCACCGACTCACATGATCCCAACGCGGCGAACCTCGATCTCGATCAATTCTTGGATACTGGTGCGTTCTACAATGGAAGCAGTCCGATTGCGCATGGAGACTACAACTACGACCACTTCAACGATGGGACGGTCGGCATTGGAGACAGCCACTTCGATATGGGTATGGACGGTGTTCAAGATACAGGCAGGGTTGTGGAGACAGTTGATGGCAGCGAAGCCGCGACACCAGAAACGGGCGTCACGGAAGCAGTGCCATTGAGCCCTCTCCGAAGCCCCAGCAAGAGACGGCGAAAGAATTGATATGTTTGCTCTTTGCGTTCTTGTTCACATTTAGTTGATTGCATGAGGCGGCGCAGCGGAATTAGGGTATGGCTGGATTGGTGCTTTGAAACGACGATACGATTGATGAGGTGGCCGGACGTTCAGTCATATGAGCAGACGGGTGGATATTCTGGGCTTTGCATTTGCAACTGGCTCTGGCGCTGCGAGGCGTTTCTACTACCCTGAGATGAAAGCATGGATATAATGGTGAAGAAAATGAATAGAAATTGTTGCCAGCTCCAGTTCCTTCCTTTTGCTTCATTTTGATTTCCTGGGTGTCTATTGTTTTAGGAGGCTCTCGCAAGATGCGGGCGGAATGAAAACACGGCCTACAGGCTTTTAGGTTGATTAAATTTAAGATAGTCATTACATCTCTGTTCAAACGAGCTCTATGGGGGAGTGCTCATTCCTTGTTAACTCAACCATGTGGGAAAGCACACTCTCTTCATCCACGCAGATTTCGGTTCGTTGCCCCATTTGGACTTGCATCATTCACAAGCGATGGAATGTGCGAAAGCTCTGATTCCGACTGTGTGTCTTGATAGTTCAATCAAGAGAATGCCGCGTTTCCTAGTCGACCTATCTATGCCAACTACCCGACTGCAGAAAACGATGCTCAAGAAGACGTGCTACCTGAATCCTTTACCTCTGTCACTCTCTTCGCTTCCTCTTCTTCAAATTTTCATCCGCTGGATCTTCGCCCGAACTCGGGTCAGAATCAGACTTCTCAGGCTAAAACTCAGGCGGCAGAGAACAATCCTCGTACGCCAGCCTCTTCTAATCCATTGTTCTCCAATCTAGTCCCTTCGACATACACTCCTCCCTCTCCTTCTCAAACACGCTGCCGGTCTTCAGCAAAATTCTCTTAACTTTCTTCACTCCATCCACAACAATCTCTCCAATGCCCGCCCCCTCCTCCTGCTTTCTCGCGTATTCCCGTTTTCTTTTCCGCGCGTTCACGCCATCCAACAATTCGGTAACCATGCCTCTCTCCTTTGGAACAAACTTCTCCCCATCTCTCATTCTGCTCAACCATTCCTTACCTTCTTCGGGGTTGATGTTCTTTCCAGGAAAGATATATATTTTCGCGCCGGTCGCGGATCCAATCTGAACATCCTTCGGACCTTTCGCGCCAGTCACGGGACCAAGCTTAACATCCTCCTTCATACTAGGCTGTCTGCTTTGGGTTAGCTCTCAATCTTTCATGGATTTCCATCTCGAATCCTACTCAACCAAAAGATACTTCCCCTCCTTCCCTTTTATCGTCAATTTCTTCTTCTTCTGCGCCTCCTCAGCTTGTACCTTCGCCTGTATCCTCGCTTGCATTTCCTTTTCTCTTTCTCTCTCTTTCCGAACATCAGGTTCGTCCTCATCAACATCGCTCTCCTCGCTCTCTTCAGCTTTGCTCCTCTCCCTCTGCTCCCTCTGCTCAGCCTTGCTCCCCTCAATCTCCTCCCTCTCTCTTCTCCGCACCTCCAAGCCCCTCCTCTCCCTCCAAAACGCCCCTTTCTCGCCTTTCTCCTCCACGCTCTTCACCCAATCCCCCATCAACCGCACACCCTCCAACCGCAACACGACCGGCCATCCCTTCCTTATACACGCGGAATACAGTGCTTGTATGGCCATCGCCCTCTCCTTATCTTCTCCTTTTCCGTATGCCAGTCCGCGGACAAAAGCCTTGAATTCTTCGTATGCAGCCTCATCATCCTTCGATGTCTCCTTCCTTTCCAACTTCTTCGCCCCCCTATCGTCCTCGTCATGAACACACGGCGACTTGGACTTCAACACCAACTTCGGACAAGTCCAGCCCTCGTCGGCTGAGCGAAGGCGCGGATGAATACGATGGAGTCCGCGTGGGCGTTTGATGAGCACTGGACTCGGTGTCGATCTCGGCGCAAGCGATAACTCTAGGGCTTTTCTTGATGGCCGGAGAGATCGTGTGGACTTACGGACTGCCATTGGAGATTCTTTCGCGATTCTGCCTGTGCTGGGTTGGAGTTGGGGATACTGGCAGAGAGTTTGTGTGGTGTGGGATGGGACTTGTATTGATGCAAGATAGCTATACGATTGTATTAATGTTATTGTTGATGCTGTGTTGTTATTTGGAAGAAAGGGGAGGAAAGGAGAGGCTTTGAGAGAGAGGTTGCGGTGGGGGAAGGGGGTGAGTCGTGCTTTCCTTTTTCGGCGAACATGAATGCAGGAGCGAAAGCTGGCTTCGAGTACAGACGGCTTGGGATAATGCCAGAGAGTGCTGGATATCGGTGCATTGGTTTACCATTGCTGAATGTCGAGCCTGGATTCGTTGGATCAGGGAGGAATGGGTTTCTGATACATGAGGACTGGATGGCGTGGACGTTCTCAATGAGAAAGGCATTCAGCGGCAATCTGAAAACACACCGATCATCGATTAAAAATCCGTCTGGGTTCTCTGATTTCTTCACGCCAAATTATGCCTTTCGGCTTGAATTTCCGCATGAGGTGGGAATTCAAGGGAGACTGCGCCCCCTTCACCTCGCTTAGTACCCATCAAGTAAACAAAGCCTCTCAATGCCCCCAGTCAACTTCGTAGATTCCGTATATCTGATTAAGTCTTTCCATCTCCTGACTTAAACGCCTCATATTAGCTACTGATGGACACCAATCTTAGACCGAAGGGATTAGTAAAAGGATCGCGCAGAGACAAAATTAATGTTATTTTTAATTTATCCTAGCACATTCCTACACTACACAGAACCCGTTCCTGTTAGGAAGCGGGAGCAGGGCTGCTGTACTGGCGACATCAAGGTAAGCAGAGTTGAGGCCAGGGTGGGAGGTAGTGGTAAGCAAGAGCGGGGTAGAGGCAGCCCCGGCCTGAGCATGGAGCCAAAGTTCATCCTGCGTCGAAAGGGGCTCGTTTTGGCTCTCTTAATCAAGTGCGTGTTGGAGGTGAAAAGGTATTAGAGTAACATAATCTGAATAGAAAGGAGATACATAGTAAATCACTTTATGAGCTTATATATACCATTCCTGATAGGTACTAAAGATATCAACCAAGCGCTAATGATATTTTTGTTCTGAAGGACTGTCGAGACACTTGAAAGGAAAGCCTCCTTAACAACGGCATCAACCTCATATTCCTTTTTCAACTACACTAACGCAGCACACGTAATGGACAGAGCCAGCTAGAATACATGTGTGAGAAAATTCACTGATACGCCCGAACGAATACATAACTATCCAACCAATAATCGACAGCAAGCGCACGCTTCGCTCGTAGGGCTTTGCACAAGATAGACAACGTCCGAGCCTACCCAGTACAGCCTAACACTTGCAGTATTCAGTTCCCTCCCGTAATAAAAGTCCTTCGTTCCTACCTCAAGACCACTTGCTTCTTGCTTTCCAGTCCCCCTCAGCCTGCATATTTGTTTTATCGGAATTCAAACTGGAAGATCAATTTCGTTTGAATGAACATTGACAGTCGTACGTTCCTCCCAACCGTGCCGGCCAACCTTTCTCTGGAAATGATGTACGGTTAAAAGCCTCTACACTCCAAACATGTTTTCATTCGACACCTAATCCTTCTTAAGTCAAGCCTTACAGTAACAAACTCAGGCTCTGTCCCCTACAGAAACGGCTAAGGCGTGGCGTCCAGCCTCTCGGGGGCAAATTTTTGGTGTCTCCTCTGTCGAAAACTCTCCAGTCATCATTCCTTCAACAGCTGCCTGCAAGTATCTGGCAACATCAGCGAAATCCGGGCGAAGTTTGGGCTGCTGGTGGAATCGTCGCCAATCTTCTGCGTGGTCGACACTCTCGTAGTGTGGGGTCAAATAATATTCTATCTCACGCGAGTCGGTCCTCGAGATGCTATTCGCATAGTTGCAAAAAGCAGACAGCAACACGACCCTGATGCAGCGGAAGAGCCGACACCATCTTCATGCATTGTTGGGAGATGCCTCTTGTTACTTCTCGCGATCCTGCAACCGTTGAAACTATATGCTCAAAGAGGGATTCCGTGGACACAAGCCTTCGGTGCTTCTCCATTTCCCGCTCATCTTTCATCGAACTTCAAGTGGGAAAAAGTTGTCATTGTGAATTCCCGCTTGGGTATCTACCCAAAGTAAAAACTTGATTTTGGATACAGCACCAGGAGCATTACTCCTGGCCTGTGACGTCGGGGTGGGCGGAGGCGAGCAGGCGAGGGTTGATGTTGGCATTGTCGCCATCGTCCCCATTTTCTTCCTTATCCTCACCTTCCTCAGAGAGAGCGCAGACGAAAAACTAACTTACTCCTCGCCACTACTAATTTGCTAGCAAAGGTGCCACAAGCGAACAGACCACCAGACGCGAGAGAACGTACTTCTTCTCTGCAGGCATTGTGCGTGCTTGGACATCTTTCATTGCCAGCCTCCCGCATCTCGCCATCGACCTTCAAGACTCCTTCCCAACAGCAGAAAAGAGAAGAAAAGTACTTCCAAATCCTTCGAGACGATTGATTATCTAAAAACCTACATGCATCTACTCAGCACTGTTCTCATCCAACAGTAGCAGGGTGTCACCCGCAGAAGCTCGCTTATCGACAAGAAGGGAAGGATCTCTCAGCGCAAAGATCCACGAGGATTTATAGGTCTCACTGCAATATGCGAGTTTGACGCGTTTTGACGACGATGCAAACGCCCCCCAAAGCGTCGTTTGGCGCCGTTGTCGAACGGTCCAAGCTCCTATCCGGCAGCGGGGGGTTGCGGATCGGATTAGATAAGATTTTCGAAGAGGGGCTGCGAATGAGATTGGTCGCATGGGCTACTTCTTTTTATAAGGGGAGATGCGGCATCTTCTTGCCTTATTAGTTGGCAAGTATACATTCGAGCTTGGTATTTGGTTCCCCCTGTGTGCTTAAATATGTTATTAATGATTCGTCTTGTAGGAATGTTATTGTTTTCTCTATACCAGCTGCTAAGCGAGGAAATAGGGGTTGTTCTCACTCAAGCACACGCGCGAGATTTAGACGCTGCTGATAGTGATGAGAACCAGCAAAGGAAAGTTGGACTGTATGTCATTGTGAAATTGAAAATCTCACGCCTCAAGAGGATATTTAAAGCGGAATCACTTTGGTCGAAAAGGTGGTTAGGTCTCGCCCCAATTCGGGATATATGAGGAAATTGAGCCCAGAGCCCGGAGTGATAGACTTCAGATTTTCATTTTCACAAGCTTCCACCCACTATCCTATCCACTATATCCACTATATCCCTCATCCATCCTATCAAGTATCCCAACGCCACATGATTCGATTATTAAATAGCACAAGTAATATAATGCAACACATTTCAATGCAAAAAGATAAGATCAGAAGAACAAACATGACGCGAGCAAAAGCAGTAGCGGCAAACGTTTGAGGTACGTAGAATACAGAAGCCCAGCCAATTTCCAGTTAATCAACTCGACCTGCCGCGCCCAGTCCATTCATTCTTGAATCAATATCCTTCTTGCCGTCCATGCGAAGTATCCAAGAGGGAACGAGGGGAGGGAGGACGCATCGCCATCGGTGCGAGGGTTGCTGTTCGAGTCGGGATCGAGGTCGAGGTCGAGGAGGGAAAAGCCCAATTGCATCGCAGTCAAATATCATTTTCTCTCTTTCTTTCATTCATTTCATAGCCACCACGCTCGCCTTAAAACTAAATATCATATATCGAGGAGATTTCGGGGCATGGAGATGACAACCCCTATATTAGGTGGGAAAAATTCGAGGCGAGGTGCTGCGAGGTGGTGGTGGTGTGTAAGGATGTGCTGAGTAAAAAGGGGGGTGTTCATACGGCGTAAGCGTGGCGTAAGTCATGATGGTTGCCCAGTCGCTGTAGTATTGGATATCGATTATCGTTCCGTCTTTCGTCTGTCCGTCCCGTAAATCGACGGTTTGTATAACGCTCGTCGTGTGTGTTCGTCAAAAATAAGCCAAAGGTTTTTTTGGGGGTATTGCAAAAAAAACTGAGCGCTGGATGGAGGTGTGTAGGGGAAGAAAATTCGTCGTCGTTCCAATCTTCGTCGTTTCTTTCCTGATTACGCCGGTGTTTGTATATATGTACTGACGCCAAGTCGCAGGTGATGTAAGGAGTGTGGATCCAACGAATATCCAAGCCAGGTGTGTGAGGCCAAGGAGGAAGGATGTGGTAATTACAATAAGCAAGACGCGAAACTCCGTGGAATGGAACAAGACAAGTGCTCGAGATCATCGAGAAACAGTCAAACTCCTTCCAAGTAATGCATTCAGCGGGTTAAGGGTCGTCGATTCGCATCTAAACTGAACACTGAAGATGATTTGCTTTTATGTCGTGGGTAAATGTGCAATGCGATGAGGCTGGCACGATAGATCTAAAGTGTTTCGTTGGCCGTCGTAATGTCGTAAAGAGTCTCTCGGCGGACGAGACTTTAATTGAATCGAGAGGCGGCGCCGTTTCGATCAGAGGAATCTTAAGCTCTGTTATCATCCCAGTTCGACTCGTAGCGCTTGAGATCATGCTCACCACTGCCTCTATTGGCATGACCATTCTGTCGCTGTCTGCCAAAACCTTGTGCTCCAGATCCCCAGTCATTGCCAGGTCCTCTTGGCTGTCTCTCAATAACCGTCGAAGACCCATTTCGGGGGTTCTCTTCGTAATTGTTACTGTTTCCATTTGGACGTTGGCTTCCGATAGGGCCGGCGCTGGGGGTGTGGGTCTCCCTCTCCTGGCCGATGCGCCCGCTCCGATTATTTTGAGGCCGCTCGTACATTGACATGCTGTTCATGCCACTGATGAGGAAATCCTCGCGAGCATTCATCCCACTGGCGGAGGTCGGTGTGAGATTAGGTGTGCCGGAAGCTGCAGAGGAATGGCCGTAGTCAGTATACCTCGAAATGTTTTGGGTAAGACCAGCAGGAAAACTGGCGGTAGAGGGCACTGGTGAAGGTGTATACGAACGCAAGTCGGCGAATGATTTTGCGGCTCGAAGATTGGGCCCAACGGGATGCATTCCCGGCGAATTAGGGATGTCCAAGTGGCCGCCCGAGGTCTGATTGCGCAGAGTGTGGTAATGGGATCCTGCCTCACGGGTTTCGCTGAAGTCGATCGTGGCTGCGCGATTCAAGATACGGCGTCCATCCAGTTGTGGATTGTAAAGAGACTGCCCTTGAGGAACCGGTGGACTGATTGTAGCTCCTCGCTTGAGGATCTGAACACAGCGTGTATCTCCTTGACCTTCAGACCTGTGCTCCAGCCCCATGTGGTGAGCAAGAGTGTGGATGATGCGGCGGTCAGTTGGCGATACTGTGCTCGGGAAGATCAGAGTCTCCTTTCCTTCAGTGTTCTTAAACAACATAAGCTCATTATAATATCCAAGGGTCGTCGGATCATTCAAATCGATTTCTATTTGTGTTAGTTAGGAAATAGGGGGGTAATGATCTAATTCTTACCCAACTTGCCGCGCATCGAGACGGGCGACGGTGATGTGGGATGGTGATTAGATCCGATAGACGCCATAGAGGATTGAGGATGGAGTGGATTTGTAACCTGGCCCGGAGGAATAGGCTGATGTTGCTCCTGAAGCTGACCACGCTTCTCTCTCTTGTCTCTCTCGATACGTTCCCTCTCCTCAGCTGGGAGCATCTTTTTGTATTCAACCCTCAGTTTTCGACCTTGTAGCTCCATGTGATTCATCGCACCGATGACATGTCTTGTCTCCTCAGGGTTGGTGAAGTTTGCAAAGGCAAGACCTCTGAAGACGCCGTTGTCGAAGTGGTAATTGAAAGCGTAGGGAAGCGGAAGTTGCATTTCAGACATGAGAGCGACAAGCTGCTCCTTCTTAACGGCGAAAGGTATGTTCTTGATAACGATAGCGGTAGGGATAAGCTCCTCGCGTTCGAGTCGCCCAGGGGCAGGGGGGGAGCCACGTTGAGGTTCCTGCATCATTTGGGGGTTGAATTGGCCGTTCATTTGGTAGCTGTCCATGTTCTGCGACTGTTGCTGCATTTGTGGATCCATCCAGACCTGAATGTATTCATTAGTCCCCAGTAGCACATTATAACCCATAAAGCTAGGTCTTATATAAGAGCTGCTTACAGTAGGCAGTCCAGCCCTGCGAGTTTGAGGCTTAACTCGTCCCGTCCCGCCCATCGCACCATTAGCCCCTCCATAGTTCCAGCTCTGGGTGTCGTACTGGTAATTGGCGTGGAGGGTCGCCGAAGGCATCCGGTTCTCAAATCGAGAGGGGCCCTCATATCGCGCAGCGTGGTCCTCTGCCGTGTAGAGACCTTGCGTCTGACCCATGCCGTAGCTGTTTTCAAAGTGTCGCGATGGCTGGCGGTTCAGCGTGCTCGGATATCCACGCGTGGAGCCCGGCGACCGGTTGTTGTCGTATGCTTGATACATGTCTGCGTATTGCTGAGCCATGCTGAGGTCCTGGCGGATCGGGAGGACCTAAAGAGGCAGCGAGCTCTCGTGGTCCCAGCAGCGTATGCAAGGAGCCGGCAGTGGCACGCTGTGAAAGCTTAAAAGGGCTGCTCCGAACCTCACGAAGCTCGTGCAGCTGGAGCGAACTGCGTCGGCGGTCGTCCGGTGCTGCGCAGAGGGTGCTGCAGCGTGTTTGCAGCTGCGTGCAGCTGGAGAGAGGTCGAACGAGTGTGGAGGCTCCGACGGGAGGTAGTCGGTACTTGACGACCTTTTCTCCTGGTGCTTCGAGCAGATTGAGCGGGGCGGGTCGCGATGTGGTGCACTCGTGAAAGGGGGGCGGGCAGGCTCAATGTCGCGCAATCAAAGGGGACTATTCGATGTGGTCGTCTCGTCGTTACAGAGAGGGTGGTGGTGGTGGTGAGGGAGGAAAAGGGTCCTGAGCAGGTCTGAACAGGAGGTGTGACTTTTCGAAGTTGTGGTGAAGTGAAGAGTGGCTCTGCAAAGTCCGGCCACTAGCCGTGTTGGGGGTAGCGCAGGCTAGGAGCGGATGGCTCGCTAAATGAAGGGATAAGTCGCCGTCACCGTCCCAGAGGGCAGTGAAGCGTGTGTGCCGGTCCAAACATCAGACACAATTCAGTGAAAGCTTGGGAGTGAAGATGATGCTGCCAAGTTCCAAGTTCCACGTTCCAACAGGCGCGGCCGTGGTGACGCCCTCAAAACGGCTTAGGTAACCCCTTAGTCAGAGCCCGCCGTGTTCACGGAGTACTTATGGGCCTATGTGCCTCTGTGCTTCTGCCTCTGTGCTTCTGCCTCTGTGCCTATGCCTTTGTGCCTATGCTCTGTGCCCTTGACGTCGACAGAGTCCACTGTGCGGAGTATTTCGCGGGAACGAAATACGGTCCCACCGTGCAGGCTCCAGGCTATGGATGTGTGTGTGTGAAAATTCCGACTGCTGACGGGACGAACGAAACTTGGGGCAGCGAGTGAGGAGAAGCAATCATGGGGAACGGCGCGCTCATAGGGCAGGCAGAAGCCCAGGGCTCGTGGCCGCGACGGGGGTTCTAGGATCGAGGCTGGCGAAAAGGCTCAGGGCTTGCGATGTCGATCCTAGAATAGCCTCAACCGCGTGAGCTTGCAGCAGGGCGAGTGATGACGGGGTGATCGTGGGCTACGAGAGGTTTCCGCTGTAAGAGCAGTCTTCTCAATTTCTATACCAGTACCAGTACGGAGTATTTATATGGAGTTGGTAGAGGAGGAATTGGCCTGCGACTATTGCCTTCTCAGGGGGAGGGACGAGGCGCATATTTCTTACTTCGTGTGGAGGAACCAAACAGGACTTGGACGAGATGAGAGTTCCACGCAAATACGAGACTTAAAAGGTACATCTTCCTGATTCCACCACGGTCACGCCCGTGATTTGCGCCCACATCTCACATCACGCTCCTTCTGTTCACGCCGGCTCCGAACTTTTGGAGTGTTCACGACGCACTCTCATCCCATCAGAGCCATTATTGCATGCCTCCATCGACCATTGGTCGTGCGACGACGTCCAGGGGTGACTGTCAGACCCAGCCCGCAGAGTTGGTTGGTCGTCATGAGGGCTGGGTGTTCTGCAGCTTGACCACAAACAGGACAGGCTGGGCGGGCCAGCCTGAGACCCGACTGTCCGTGTGTCTCTTCTGTGGCAAGGCCACAATTGGTGGGGAAGATATCCCACTGTGTATGATTCCATCCTTCAAGAGGCACAACGCAAAAAGGGTGAAGCAAGTACCAGAGGAAGAAGGCTGCCGATGAATAACGGGACTGCAGAATCCGCATCTGCAGCTAACATGCGCATAGTTGCGCTCTTATGCCTTGACGAGATCATAGATGGCAAAATCTCAACCTGCGAGCTCAACGCATCCTATTAATCCGTGTCTATTAATCTAACCTGCAGCGCGGTGAGCTGTTCTGAGAAATTGTTCTCCAGTATAAGCGCATGTCTGATTGGGTTCCCAGACTCCAGCTGCGAAGAATATGCATATGTAGATCTCGATATGATATGGATTGCTTCTTATGGCGACGGGGCTCGAGATATCAACAAAGCTCCAGATTGGTGAGGTGCGAGGCCGTCATGTAAAGGGGGAGCACGCGAAGATGAATTTTGGAATCGCTGTCTCAGGCTATTGCTTTCTTTGCCAATATCAATAGTGTCAACGTAAGTTCAGGAGACGGCATAAGGTGGTTGATCCGTATTTGCACATCGCGACGGCTCGGGCACTAGTCGATGCCGGCCTGGAGCTGGCCAGTCTATGAGATAATAGTTCAGGAGAAAAACTCCAGGGAGATAACCAGACGAGAATGATAAAATCGTAGGTGACATGGCCCGGGGGTCTTATATAGCATATTAACCCAAGGATTTCATCTCATCAGTTTATCTCCATCTCATCTCATCTCATCTCCAGATCGCCGCCTCCAAAGTTTCCATGATCTGGTCCCGTCGTCGGATCCGCATATTTTCGTTCAATTTTAGCCGTCTCATGCAGCGAAAAGGAGACCTATCATTTTTCCTTTTCCTTTTCTTTTTCTCGGGGAGGCTCTTGTACCGGTTCGCCCCGCCGACCGCGCCTCCACGGTCGATCAAACTGTACGGGGAAGGGATGGGACTCTCGGCTGTGGGCGTTCTATCACAAGGGAATCCTCTAGCAGCAGATAGTGGCATTGAGAGCTCTATCCGCAGCTCTATCCTCGTGCGCATATCAAACTTCAATTTTGCGTCAATTTGTCAAAGAACGAGATGGCCTGGCCGCGCAGAACAAAGGATGCTGGATGCTGGATGCTGAATGCTGAATGCTGAATGCTGAATGCTGCAAGCTTGCAACCTTCCTGCCTCTCTGGCCGTGTCTGCAGCCAAGCGGATGTATTCCCCGTCTCCCGTCCCCCGAAGACAACCCAGCAGGCCAATTCCCATGCCAATGCAACCCTCCATCGCTTTCCAACAAAATTGCTGCACAGCGGGAACACCCATCAGTCACCATGCTGAGCATGCTCACACCTCACCGAGTTCCGATTCCAACCCTCACCCACACGAAGAACAGGACGAAAAAGCATCAGTGCGTCCCTCTCTGCATAATAAATGTTCCTTCAAACCACCTCAACCCGCCAGCATTGGGCCGCCACCGGCCTGCAAGATAGCCAGATGTCTCGCATGCCCTTCCACTCGGAGGACAAGCACAGCTTTCACAACGTCCAGCCCAACGTTGGAGATCGCCTTAACCGCCCGCAAAGAGGTGATAATGGTTCCGATAGGCTGGCGACCCGGACGGGAAGGAGGCCGATGCGCAGTGTGAAGAACGTGCAGCTGCATCCTGGGGGGCGGTCGTCACTGTCGGGCCCGGGTAGATCATGTGATGGCCGCTTTGGGGGGTCGGGAGGCGTGCTCTCGTGATTCGTTTCGGAAATTGGTTTGATCTTCTGACCGAGGAGGAAGTCTGCTTCCCTTGCAATCTTCTTCAAAACAGGAGAGCCTTGTCGCTCGACTTCCGACGCGGGGGGTCATCACGTGACGGATCCGCTTCGGGACACACTTCAGGGGTCAAGTCTCCGCGAGTTCATCGATGATCGTACCCAGTCTCTGACCTCTCAGAACGGCACACTCAGATTACCTCCCTTTTGTTAGGTATCTACCCCTATCCAGGAATTTGCTCAAGCTAACAATCTCCAAGTCATGGTGATGTTTCGGCGATCGAGGCAGTGCAATGTGCTTATGTGCCATGAAATGTTCCACCACCGGTTCGAAACAGTCATCCCAGGCCCCTCCAACCCAGCCGCGCATCTGAAAATCCGTCTATTTTGGGCAAATAGACGGCGCTGAATTTCATCTGATACCTTTCATGCCACAAAACAAGGTGCCATGATTTGCCATGATCGCCTCGCTTGGGTCCGCCAACACTTCTAGCGCCGTTACAAGACCTCTGTGCCCCCAGCTCCCAGACGTCATTGTATCTTGCGAGAGGGATCAAGCTTGACACAATACCAAGATCTTGGATAGTCCTTCCATTCCATTGGAGTATTCTTAAAATACTTCGTCTCTTCAACTCTGACAAGCTGGGCAAGCATCGGCTAAGAAACCCTAAAGTTTGAGTGTCAAAAGGACGGTAGGCCACTTTGGTCTGGGGATTCAAACCGGCCGAGAAGCCTCCCGAGCCAGTATGAGGTGACATTGGTGATATTCTGCTTTGGTTCTCTGCTGTAGTACTGTACAGTAGTAGAAACATGTTCATTGCATAGCCACAGCATCGGTCGGCGACAGTTCTCAAGAATCGCATGGGTTTCCCTTGCCTACATCAGACTCACATCTCACCATCCTCATTTTTTATTTTATTGATCTACCAGTCGGAAAACAGATGCTTCATTCTATGTCATGCAAAAACACTTTGTTCTTCTACCTCCATCTAATCATGAGATCATATCGGAAGATCATATGAAGATACCTGACAGATCACGGCTGGAGCACAGCCAAGTCTTCATCTGAAGGATCACCTCCGACCCTATCTGTTCGGATCATTGTTTCACCCGCATCTATTGCTAGATCGAGGCAAGCTCACCGTTTCGATTTCCCACCATCCTGGGATGGCATCTCTTCGCTGGGGATCATCCATGGAATTAAGCCACCTTCTCCAGTTGCACCTTAATTTTGAGTCTGACTTAACCTTAAACTAGAAAGTTGGGACTTCTTCTGCCATCCGTTTAGTTGCGGCTGAACTTTATATAAGGTTGGCTCCATCTCTCAAACTCCGACTCGGCATGACTGCGCTCTCTTTAGTCTCTTTCCTGATTTGATATCAACACTCCTTTCATTCTTCTTGTATTTACATTTATCTTTCTTCCTTCTCTTCAGCATGCGGTCTGATTTTCTCTTCTCGTTAGCGCTTGCCGCTCTTTATACCTCAGCAGCAGTTGTTGCTGGCCCAATAGACTCTGTAGAAGACACGTGAGTGATCATCATCTCAACTGTTATTTCATCTACTAACCCTTTTCTTCAGAGTGAAAAACGATGTCAAACAAGCCTCAAAAGGCATCGATTCCAACACTTCACCTCTCAAAGCAGCACCACCTGCACTTGCTGCAGGTTATGGAAAGCCAGCCCGACCTTCTGGAGCTCCTCTAGCGCCCTCAGCTGGCATGCCTCCCCCAAAGACAGGCATGAACATGACGGGTCCTCCACCACCACCCAAAGCTACCGGCATGCCTCCAGGACCAATGAACATGACAAACGGGCGGCCAGCACCACCTCCTCCCAAAGGCACCGCCAAAGCAGCACCACCACCCAAAGATACCAACAAGCCCGCCTCCCCCCCGAAAATGGGCATGCCACCAGCTGGCCCCTCAGCAGCCGCTCAAGGAGCAGCACAAACAGTCACAGTCACGGAGATTGTAAGCATGCCCGCAGCCGGAGCCCAAGGAGCAGCCCAAACCGTCACAGTTACGGAAATAGTAAGCATGTGCACCGCAACCATCACAGCTGGAGCCCCCAACGCCGCTGGGCTTGGGCCAGCACCTCCTATGAGCGCTATGTCGATGCCTGCTCCTCCTCCCCCGGGCTCAGCGGCTCCCAAGCCGAACATGCCCGCTCCCCCAGCCCCTCCAGCGCTACAGTCCGACACCTCGCCCGCTGCAACTCAACCTTCAGCACCCGGCGCTACTATCGTTTCATCGGGAGCGGACTCAGGATCAGTCTCGTCGTCTTCGTCTTCGAGCGGCTCTTCATCTTCATCGTCCAGCGGCAACACGGGCTCATCATCCTCTGCAGGCTCCTCAGGGGAAGGCAATTCAAACTCCAATACCAATGGCCAAGCTGGAGCTGGCTCATCGTCCTCATCCAGTTCCTCTAGTTCATCATCCAGCTCTTCGTCCTCGAGTTCAGTGCAAGTGATCGTCATAATCCTCACACAGCCGGGCACGACGAGCACAGTTACCCAACTCGTAGCCGGACAAAACGTAACCTCTACGGTAACGCAGCCACCGCAGACCATTCTCAGCACAGTGACCCTTTCGAACGGAGCAGGGCCCACCGCGATTCCGAGCGTGGCGAACGGGACGGCTACGATTGTCTCAAACACGACCATTGCTTCAAACTCGAGCTCGAGTGCCAACGCTCCCCCAGCTGCATCGAATCTGAACAGCACCGCTCTTCCTCCCCCTCCAACCCCGCCTGCGGCAGCAGCACTCAACGGCACAGCTCTGAACGCAGGAAAAGCACCTCCTCCTCCTCCTCCTCCCCCTGCGGCGTTGAACGGTACAGCAGTACCAGCAGCAGACCCAAAGGCGGCCCCTCCACCTCCACCAACGGCCGTAAACGGGACGGCACCAGATCCCAAAGCAGGCCCCCCGCCTGCAAAGGCATCCGAAGCTCCCGCGAAAGCTGTTCCGCCACCTCCTCCAGCGGCGTTGAACGGCACAGCCCCGGCAGCAGATCCGAAGACCGCCCCTCCTCCCCCTCCTCCCCCTGCGGCTGCGGGAGCGAAGAGCAACAGCACTGCTTCATCAAGTTCGAGTTCGAGCTCGAGCTCCAGGGGTGAGGACACTGTTATTGTCGTCAAGCGATCTCGATTCTGGAGATAGGTCAGGAACGAGATGGGTTATGTTTATACGATCGGGCTAGAATTTGAATTGAACCGAGAGTTTTCTTATACCTTTTGCTCCCTTTTCTCCATCCATTTTTTCCGTTTTCCCCCGTTTTCCCCCGGGGGGGGGGTTTTTTTTGGTCATGTTTGGAGTTTTCTGGGTTTGGGGTGAGTGGAAAAGAAAGGACATCAGAGCAGGGCTCTAAACACGCTCGTTTTTGTCGTGGTAGAAACTTATAAGGCATAGCTGCATACGAACGAAACATTTTAGATTATGATTATGATTCTTCATGTACTGTAACATTTTATCAAAAAACGCATACAAAGTGAGCCGCGCACTCGAATGGGCATCTTTGAAGGAGCAGCATGAAAACCTTCACATGATTGCAAATCAAAACCATATAGTCGGTTGCGTTGGAGCTAAATGGAGTTGAGGCTTGGTTCCAGACTGGAATCGGCGTTGCCCGTGTTGGAATGACCAGGCTTGATACAGGTTCGAGCCCAAGCAGTCACACGTAGAACCTGAGGGAATCACAGACACTTCAAATCACTTTGAGGAAAAGCAAATGTTGACGCAGAGCCATCGCTCAATGCAATTCATCGATTCATCATCTATGCTCCCATGCAATCCCAATGTCCCATTCAGCCATGCAAAGAAACCCAATCGGAAAATCTGAGCCATCTTTCCCTTCTTAAGCTCCGCCACCCAAATACGCCAAAAAAAAAAAAAAAGCTGATCAAGCAGCCAGCTGCCTTCAAAATCAACCAAAGCTCAACCAAAACCGGGATCATGCCTAAACGACCACCACCCAGAATCTCGCCTTCCCGATGCCGGAAAGCCGAGTTTCAAAACCGCGTGTCGAGGATGAGGGACGGAGGAGAGTTATTGGATTGTTTAGGGAGTTGGGGTTGGAAGCGGCCCGAACGGATTGCCACCTGGAACGGGAGAAACTCCATCCCAGGCAAGGCTGGGATAATCCTTGAGGGTGAAGTTCATCATCTGCAAATAATAGTTAGCCCCTTCGTTGCCGGGACAGGGAGACCAGTGTTCGAGAGAGAAGTGGAAGGGTAGGTGTTGAGGGGGGATGATGTGAGGGGAACTTACAGCGATCGGACCACCGAAATGCTCCGTAATCTCGCGCGTAAGACAAAGATACCGCTCTAAACTCTGAATAGTATCATCGCCAGTGCTAGGGAGGAGGGTACCGGTATTGGAATCGATGTTGGTGCCACAATAATTCCTATAGCCAACACTCAGCTGAGCCTTCAGACCGGTGTTTAAGTCGAAGAAGTCCGGGGCAGGTTGTGCAGGGGGGGTGTCCTTGTTGGCGAAATATTGGGCTGTGGCAAGGCAGTCGGCGCAGTTGCCGATTGCAGTTCCGTAGCTGGGCAAGCAGGTTGGTTAGTGGGATGTGCGTCATTTGCGAAAAGGCAAAGGAGCGAGGAGGCGGAATAAGAAGGGGAAAGAGAGGCAGGGACGTACTAAATGGGTGGTTGACAGAGACATTTCCTAATGCTAGACGTGTTTTGTTGGTGAATCTGCTGGTGGAAGCAGAAATTCCAGTACATCGCAGCTTGAGCACACCACAGATAGTCATATGCTAATTTTGAATATGCGTCAGCTTTGTGTTCTGTCTTCGTGGGCTATGGAAGGAGGGCTTACCAAGACAGCTTCGTTGGCAGGGTGTGAGGAGGCCTTTGGGGATGGCGGCAGGGTTAGTTGCAGCAGGCATCCAAGTTCTCATAGTGGAGTAAATGAGACAAGCTGTTGGTGTCGTAGCAGGCTCGTCTTGACGAGGAGTGACAACAGGAGAGCCGGAGACAAAGGTGAGGAGGAAGGAGATCAAAGAGAGCAAGAGCAACATGATGTTCATCTTGACTTTGGCTCGCGTTGGGATATGTAGTTGTTTCTTTGCCGTTGTATGTGGATCAAAGTCAAGTTGAGTTGATGACTTGACGTTGTTGTTGTTGTAAGACAGAAGGAAGTTCGGACTCAGTAGGAGGAAGTGACGTCCTTAAGTAGACGGAGCCGAACACGTAAACAAGCGACCTCCCTCTTTGTGATCCGATGACTCCCGAAAATAAGGTTATTCACTTGACGGTAACTGTGAACATGAGCCTCCTTTGGCCGTCATGACGAGCAGAGGGGAACGAGAAGTCTGCCCTAAGCGCAAGGCTATGCGGGGTAACAAAGTCCTATTGGTCAAAACAAGACAATACGCCACTCCATTGCGCTTCAGCCGTTCCACAGTGGACGGGAAAGGGAAGCGTTATCGCGAGCGGTGTCACAATGGACATACCAAAATAAAAGCCAACCTTCTGAATTGTGATATGCCATTACAACTTCGCTCCCTGCCAAGGGCAAAAGACCAGCTTAGACGGAGTGAGTTAGCTGGTTTTTCTCGCCCTCCTTGACTATCAGGTTAATCCCTTTGAAAAGGCTTCCAAAAATACTTCAGTTGCTGGCGGAGAAATTCGGCTGGATTGAGTGGGTGTGCCTGCCCTCCCCTCTCCAAGCTGAATACAGAGACTCAGGTATTCTGAAAGTCCTTGGTCTTTTGTACTTCGAGTTTCGAGTGGTCCATAGCGTGCAGTGACGTAAGAATTGCAATATTGATCTCTCATCGCAACAGTAAGGCAGCAATTTCATCTTTGTCGGTCGTCATCGATGCTCGCAAAGGGACTTCGAGATATTCCAGCCACCTCGGACCCAAGCTCTTCACAATATTCCCAATATCCCGATCAGGGATCCTTTCAAGCCACCACAGCCCCCTGATAACCTTGACAAACACCAAATAATGGGCCATGATGATAATCGCTCTCGGTCTTCTCTCCCTTGCGCAGTTGGCAAACTCCCGGTCGATATAGGAGCACCAGGATATAACTCGGATATACAGCTCCGGCCCCAGCCCATCCTGCTTCAAGCTAGCATACAAGATACCCAGATCATCGAGGACTTTGCAGTAGTGTTCCAGCATCAAGAAGTCAGGGTCCATTATGTCCATTACTTGGAGCATGCGGACGAGAACTTTCGGTACCACTGGTCCGATTTTGAGCTCTGTCAGTTCTCGACGGAAGAATGGTGCCACAGACCCCGCCATTATCTTTGGGGAAGAACTCATGTTGAAAAAGAGTCTCAGTCCCTGATAAAAGATCAGCCACTTGATTATGATTAATTCGTCCTCGTCCGTGGGCGGGTTGGGAGAGTAGAGCGCAATGAGGAGAGCCGACATGAGCAGCGCAGCCTCATAGTTTCGAGTTCCTGGTTCGATCCGAGTCAAGGCCCGACGGAAATCAGCAACAGCCCTCCCTCGGTATATAGTTGTCTGCTTTTGCATGTCTTGTGAGTCTGGGTTGAGACGTTCCATGTCGAGGGAGGCGATTCCAAGAATTCCATTCAAGAGAAAGTCGTTCTCGAATGCAAGTTGGGGTACAACCATCTGTAAAGTTGTGTTTGCGGCTTCTCCAATAGCGACGGTATTGCAGGTTACAGTTGACCAATGATGCAACAACCGCATGTCAGTCAGGGAGAGACTTCCGGTTGAAGTGACGAGAGCTGGTGGAGGAGTCCAGGGAGGAATGATACACTGTGTTGTCAAAGCAAGTTCCGCCACTTCATCGTCACCAAAGGGAGAAGCGTCCCTCGGAAGACCGGCTGAGGTGCTTGAGGATGGTGGAGTGAGGAGCTTTGGGCCTTCTTGATGTGTGGGGTAGACACATTTGAGGTTTCTCTTGTCACAAAATGTGCATGTTGGTTGGGCTTCGTCACACTGGCAGGGCTGTAAATTCATGTCACATAATTTCGGAGGGACAGATTACCTTGACTTTCCTCGCCTTACAAGTCTGGCATCCCCCTCGAGACTTCTTGTGAGGTCTTTTGGGAATGAAATCGGCAGTCATGGTGGGGGTTCTTGAAGTGGGTGTGTTATTCGGTCGTTTGACGGATTGTAAAAGCCTCTTGCTGGAGGATAGGCCAAAGACTCTCAATAGTAGCTTGCTATTAGAAAGCTGAAAGAGGTCATCGAAGATGATTGGAGGGATCCGGCATTCGGAAGATATCAGATGCTGAGATGAGGCGTCGCAACGGTTGCCTCAGCTTGCTTGGGGTGAAGTTAGCTGGTTTGAAGGCCCGAAATCTGGAGAACGGAATAAATGAAAGCTTTGGAAGCTGTTCGGAGAGTGAATATATAAACGGGGGCATATATAACGGTAGATGCTAACAGAGAAGAAAGTCATGTAAGCCTCTTACCCATGTAGATTGAGTGCATTCTGCAAGGAGTAAGGCGTCAACTGTGGCTGAGCCGCGCCACCCTCTCCTTGGCGTTAAGCGCGGGTGGAGATCGCGTCTCCCTGAAATTCTACGCGACTTGACAAGTTCAACGACAGCAGCAGCTTCAAGTTTCAATATCGCGATGGCTTCTCTCTTTTCCATGCCAAACGAGCTGAGAATATCCTCTTTATGCTCTCGATTCCCTTGCAGGGAGCAGCAGATCCGATCTTTGGCTACGATACTTTCTGTAAACATTCCTTGCACCTTGGCCATCTGGAGTGCCAGACTAACTGGATATGACGCTAGGCACGGGCTGCACCGAGTCGAAATATCATCCTCCACGGCCTCGAAGCAACGGGAAAGAGTTCCATAACCAAAGCTATTCTCGAAGAGCTCGCTACAGAACAGGAAGCTACCAATGGCACCCCCAATGGAGACACTCCACACGATAGTCTTCGATACGCCATTGTCAAAAGCGCAGAATGCATAACAGGAAGACATCTACTCGAGCAAACTGTCGGCGCTGTAGCCAAAGCCGTGGAATGGAAAGGGCCGGTTGGACGCTGCGAAAATCTCTCACAACTGGTCGTTGAACTCAGCAGAGTCCTCTCAAGCTGGACAGCATCAGAGAATGGAAACAGCAGATTTGTGCTCGTATTCGACGGCATCGACCGCCAACGAGATGCTCCACCAACTCTCCCTCCCGCATTAGCAAGGTTGGGAGAAATCGTGTGCACCCCTCGCCCCCATTCTACTCTTCAACTAATCAAACCCAGATCCCATCCCTGACAATCCTATTCCTCCTTACATCCCCGCGCCCTCAACTCCTCCACTTCCCCGGTGTCCCCCACATCCTGTTCCCCTCCTACACCAAGCCCGAACTCCTCCTCATACTCGCCCTCGTACTCCCCACCCCCCTCCTCCCATCAGGAGAAAAAGACACCCGCGAAACACACACCCGTTTCCTGTCCGCCGTCTACGATTCCCTCTCAAAGCATTCAGGTCGTGACCTCGCCTCTTTCCAACATGTCGCAGCTCAACTCTGGCCCCGCTTCATCCGACCTGTTCTCTCCGGTGAACTTTCGCCGACACCATTCTCACGCCTTCTGCTCGCAAACCGGTCAATGTTCCAAGACGACTCTGTCCTCGTCCCAAACATTATCTCAGCACCCACCACCAACCCCAAAACTACAACCCAAGCCTCTCTCCCAAAAGCAGGAAAAACACACATCCTCACCAACCTCCTCCCCTTTCACTCCCGTCTCCTCCTCATCGCCTCGTATCTCGCCTCTTACAACCCCCCTCGCCTCGACGTCGTCCTCTTCATGAAGACCTCCCTCCAAAAGCGCCGCAAGAAAGGCGGCGGCACCGCCCTCTCCCGAACCACCAAAGCATCAGCCTCCAAATCCCGCAAAATATCACGTAAACTCCTGGGGCCACAAGCGTTTGTGCTGGAGCGGATGTTAGCGATCTTCCACGCCATCAGAGAAGAGAGCAAGGGCGCGAGGGGGAGAGGGAATGTGAATGGTGAGTCTGCGTAACTTTTTGAAGCTCTTCTTGTTTTCCTCCTCGACCTTACTTTACCCATCATGTTTCCTTCCCCAACATTCCAATTTGGAATCCCTGGATCAGACCCTGCCCTCACCCCTCATTTCTCGTCTCTCTTCTTCATGCCTACTCCCCATCCTCGCAAACCACTAGACGCTAATCAGACTTTGCATCCAGGAAGCGCGGATCTCCAAACAGCGATAGCGACACTCTGTAGTTTGCGGATGTTAGTCAGGGTTGGTAGCGCCGATGCGCTGGATGGAGGAGCGCGGTACAGGGTGGCTGTTGGGTGGGAGGTGGTTAGGAATATTGGGCGGAGCGTGGGGGTTGAGGTTGAGGAGTGGGTTGGTGAATAGATTATCCTCTTCTTTCCAGCCTACTAGAGTAGAGGGTACGAATATTAAATGCTATTTTATTCCACGATTCTGCTCGATTCATGCTATGATGAAGCTTTAATTAAGTCTGATCTGCTTGACTCCATCCGCTCGCTGGAGTTTGTTTAGCTATTTCATCACTACTGAAAATTGTCATCCAGCACTTTTTCACAGCGCGATCAGACGGAGAAAGGCTCTATGTGCAATCAATGCATTATTTTCTATTAAAATAGGTCAGCGCATGATATGTAATCTCGAGCCCGAGCCCGTACGCTTGCTGTATGCAATTTATGCTCGCTGAATGAAACGACCGCCCTGAGATCAGAAAACCCACCCGCTACCTTAATCAAAACAAATGAAACTCCATGCTATGCTCACTCTCCCCTCGCTTCTTCTCCCACTCGCCACCCCGTTCTTCACCTTCAGATGCTTGCAGACTCGCAGACTCGCAAGCTAACGTATTTGTAAAACAGTGCTCACTTCCCAACCCCCAAACTCCTACTCGCTCCCTCCCATCCCTCAACCCGAATATGTTCCCAGCCCCTACCCTCCTTGACCACATTTTTGTACCACGTAGTCGTAGCCTCGAACTTAACCTCCTCGACCTTCTTCTCCGTAACCACTTCCTCCACCTCGCCGTCTTCTACCGACTCGGCTGACATCCATCGTGTCTTCCCCCTTGCTCTCTCGTCCCCGCTGCCAGCTTCAGCTCCATCTGCGGAATCAGAGTCGACGCCCATAGCAGAGGAACCACCTACGGCTGGCGAAGGAACAGCGCTTTGACCCATTGGCGTGCCCGCTGCACTTCCTCTCCGACTTGGGATTTGGTAGAAGTCTCCGTCTTCGGGAGGAACGTAACCTGGTCGAACTGTGATCTCTTTTCGAACGGAGGCGTCCTGACGAGCAGAACGCGGGACAAACCGACGACCGTTCTCGTCAGATTCGATACCAGATCGGGGAGTGTTGCTACTTGATGAAGTTGGTCTTTCGTCTCCAGCGCCGCCGAAGCCGAGCATTGGTGAGTCGAGATCCATGTCAACTGATTGGTCGCCTGTGCCGTTGAATTGTGGCGGTGACTGAAGATGGGGGTGGCTGGTGGAGCCGGAAATCGGTAGTGGATTCGTAGATGCGGAACCATTCGTGTGAGAAACTGTTCCCTTGTTTGCAATATCGAGGCCAGGCGAGGACTTGGAGCTTTCCGCGATCAACTCATCGATTTGCTCATCGAGATTAATTCCGTCCCCTGTCGTCCACACCTCTGGACGAGGAGATGTCGCTGCTTTCACTGCTATGTCATCAAAAGGATTGTGCTCTAGTTCCCTCTCTTTGGAGCCATTGTTGCCAGGGCTAGCCAAGAGCTTTGCAGTTACTGCCAAGGTCATTTGCTTCGGAAGTCTCGGAGACTCAGCAGCTGCGACCCGTTTCTTGCCCCTCACCACTTCTGTCTCCTTCATCCGTACCAAACGTTCCCTGTGCTTAGGCTCCGAGGAACCAACCACGATAAACTTCATATACATATCCAAGTTTCTCATAGTCCATGCCGCATACCAATCGACCAACCCCTTCTCGTCGTCCGGGTCAATATGCTTATTCGCATGGATAAATGGATAATCCGACTCGTCACAGTCAGAGTCGAACTCGGAGATGCTCTCCAGGCTTCGTCTCGACTCAAAATCCACTAGTAATTTGTGCAGTTTATACCTGAGATTACACTCATTAAAACTAAGGCCTGCGTCATATAATTTTGCGTCCTTTGCTGGATCATTCTGATACTTCAATTCAAAGGCGTCCTTTTCGGTAGCTTTGGAGTTCGCAAGTTCAAGAACGTAATCGGCAAAATTATAACAACACACTAGCTTCCAGGTTCTCGGTGTAGATGACAGGTATTTTGGCTTTCCTCCCCCAAGGATAAACCAGTTCAGGATTTGATACGCATTATGAGGTTCCGCAACGAGAAAACTTGGAGTAAGCAGGAAAGCACAACCATGAGGGAAGAGTCGTATCGCGTTAAGCTGACCCATAGTTGAATCGTCAAAATCGTAAAATGTTGACGGGAATAGAGGGTATGGGGAGTTGCTTTCCGAGAGATACCAAAAAGTGAATCTCTTTTCGACCACAATAGAGTATAAATTCGGAAGTCGATAAAGTTCGGCCGCAGCTGATTCGTGAACCAAAATAATCCCATTATCGATCTCGGGAGTGTGAGTGAAATAGTTCCATGACCCCTCGATTTGGCTACTGTAGATCTTGCAGGTACGCTTGGAGCGAAGCCATGATATGATGAACTCTGCACTTTGAGATGCTGTCGATGGGAACAACAAGTAGAAATTCGGTGGTCTTGACTTTTTGGCAATTGGGAGCAGCTTCTTGAAGTCTAGTCCATGGACCCTGTCGACGAGGATATCTCTGTAGGGAGATCCGATGGCTAAGCTGGTCGGGTTCATCTTCAAGGATTGTCTGATGTCTACATCGGATTGGAAGATAAAGTATCGGAGTCTCGCTCTCGCGTCCTGTGGATAATCGAGCGTGGTCTCGAGGAATTTCCATTCGTCTTTCTTGGCCGGAAATACGAGGGCCAGAAAATTTGGGAAGCTTGAGAATAACCCAGCTGATTTGCGAACGAGCTCGTCTGCCGCCTTGTCAATAGACTTGACTGCTTCCGGATCGCTAGTATCGGCTGGAAGCAAATTTCCATGCCAAAGTCCGAGACGCTGTAGAAGTCCTTGCTGTGCCTGGAAGTCTTGTGCAATACACATCTGATCAAATCGAACTTTGGTGACACTGGTAAAGGAACGTCCCCAGGGCAGTTCAAGCACTTGATTCATGTCTCCAAAATCGAGCATAAGAGATTGTGTCTCGTCGATACCAAAGGTGACTTCCTTAGCTCTGTCTCCGAGTTCATTAAAAGCTTTCATGCGACGGTAATCATCCATCTTGATTTTCTGTTTTGCTTTCGGAGCGGGGGCTGTGGTATCAGAGGATGGATTGGGCAATTCGGGTGGAGGTTCGAAGGGTTGGTTTTTAGGTTGTGACGCAATCTGAACTTCTGTAGGGTTTGATGGCAAATTTTCGCTTTCACTCATAGCTAAAGAACGATCGTTTGTCATAGGATCAAACCTTACCGATGGTTTGCGAGGAATGGCTGGGCGTGCAGCCTCGTCCACATCCTTCATCTCGACGTCTCTGCTGCTTTCAATTCGTCGAGCTGGAATATGTGTATCTTTCATCTGGACATCCTGAACGTGGCGACTCGAGGGCTCGTCAACTGCGTTTGCATGGCGGTACCAGCAGCTGCTTCCACGTTGACAGTACCCTTTCGTCCAGTATGGACATGTGATGTCGGGGTACCTCGACCCAGCTTCACTCGAACGGAGCTGAGGACGGGGCTTCTCAAGTCTTTGATTCGAAGATGACATACCCTCAGGCTCTTCGACAAGAGGCATGTCCTCGTCGATGGCGAACGAAACTGACTTCACCCGCGGACCGGTAGGCGTTGGCTTGGTGGGGGAGCTTGCCTGCTCACGAGCTATGTCATACTGCTCTTTGGCGGACAAGGGACCATGCCAAAACCTGCATGTATTGTTGCTGTACTTGCAGTCATCTCGTAGCCAATATCTGCAGGTTTGACGTCCGCGGTCGTCATATTCCGGGGGGCCCATCGTTTCGTTGAGTGAAGGCGAAGGAGCAATAGGTAAGGTTGGATCGTTACTGTGAAAGAACTTGCACCTAGATCCCTGAGAGCATGACCCCGTGCTAGCTAAAAAGTAGCATATTGCGTTGAGTGGATTTCTTGGCTTCCAGGCAGGCCGACCGGTAATTTCCAAAGGTGAAGGGGCAACAGCCAGGTTCGGGTCATTACTGTGGATATATTGGCAACCGCGTTCCTCTGGGCACGCGCCCGCGCTAGCTAGAAAGAAGCATATTGCGTTGAGAGGGTCGCGTGGATTCCAAGCAGGTCGAGGTTTCGATTTTGGGGGTGTCGTTGTGGTAGCTGGCAAAGGCGATGGTGCCGGAGGCTTTCGGGCCGAGTCCCTTGAGCTACCAGTTGCGATTTGACCCTCGATCGCGGCTTTATCTACTTCCTCCCGTACTGGAATGACTCGTGGGCCAGATGACTGTCGAGAAGAGGAAAGATCCTCTCGGATCAGACTCGATTCAGCCTTGCGAAATTCATCTACCCGATTGTTAGCTTATAAGAGTAATAGCGTTGAGCGGCTGGCTCACGCAGAGCGGTACTGCGTATAGTAGCCTGCTCTTTTGGAGAAGGGGCGAGAGCTAAATTTGGATCGTTATTATGGCCGTAGGGGCAGTTGTCGCCTTTAATACATTTCCCCGTTGTGTGCCAGAAATAGCATATCGAGTTTGTAGGGTCGGATGGGTTCCACGAAGGTCGTGTCTGGGACTTTGGCGTAGATGGTGCAATAGCGTGGAAATATTCTGTTGCTGGTCCTCGTGTTGAACTCGTTGAATTGTTTGTTGTCGTTTGAGGTTCGCTTGCGGCTTTGCTTGCTAACTCAGAGACAGAATTGACCCGTGAAACAGTGTGAGAGGCTCCTTCCTGTCGGGGAGGATTGACAGTGGCACGCGTAATATTCTCTGTTGGCTCGATAGGATGTGAATACTTGCATTCCGAAGTAGATGCGTATTTACAGAAGCCTTTCTGAAAATCCAAACAGGGAGTTTTTGCAAATATTTTGGTTTGCTCGTGGACGGATGGTGCAACGGGCAAGCTGGGTTCTAAACTATGAATGAACTTGCAACGTCTATCCTTCGAGCAAGATCCATTGTTGAAGTAGAAATAACATATCGCGTGGTGAGGATTGTATGGATCCCAAGCAGGTCGAGATGGGGCCTCACCAACAGGCGTCAATACTTCTCGCAAAGGGGGCTCAGGACGAGATCCTCGAGTCGGATCGATTGGGCTATCTGCCGTTGTTCGAAGTCTCTGTAGCACAATGTTAAGATCTGGGATTTGGCTAGAGACGTCTTCGTATGCCGATCTAGCCTGAGTAATATCTCCAGAGCTTCTCTGCCGAGGTGGTGGATGTGTTGTATCTTGTGGGTGGTTTTCTGACGAGTCCTGAGGCCAGGGGGGGAAATCTTCTGTAGAAGGTGCTTGAGGGTGGCCATGTGCACGTTGACCACCATCCAATGTATTTGGTCTCCGAATATCTCCAACCCAGCCCGGCGGGGGCGGAGCAATTGGCATCCCTTCTTCGTAACGGTGTTGGTAGGTACAGGCATCGCCCCTGGAGCATTCAGGTTCGGTCCGGTCCTTCATCTTTCTGTCCCAGAAGAAGCATGTAGATTGTGCTGGACCAGCAGGAAATTTACGCTCAATTGGCGCCGTTTGAGGGTTGCTCCAAGTATCATCGCTCCCCGATGTATCTGTCCTCCGAGGATCTACACCAAGGCTGTTCGGAGCGGGAGCTATGGGCAACCCTGCAACGTAGCGATGTAGAAACTTGCAGGCGGTCCCCATCTGGCATGGAGGTTGGTTACTATCCTTCTGTTGTTTGTCCCAATAATGGCATGTCGACATTCCTCTTAAGGCCGGTGGTATTTGCACAGGAGGTTGTGGCTGATGGCTCTTTGTACTCCAGGGATCATCTGCAACTGGCGAGTTTTCTCGTGAGTTTACAAACAACGGATTCGGTTCTTCCAACGAAACCATATTTGAAGATGCCTTTCTCAAGTCCTCAGGTCTGATTGGGACCATAGAGTCCGGCCTGGACGGATCAAAGAGTCCACCCAGAGCAGAAATATCTGGAGCACCTTCCGCTAGATCTCTTGCTTGTAGCTCAGCCTTCCTATGCAAACGCATATTGGTAAATTTCTTTGGGACCTTCGCAGCATCTCTGGCATTTTTGAGGAGATTTCCACGTTGTTTCGGGGGCTCTCGAGCTTGAAAGACGTTTTTGTGGGCAACATTTCCTCCACCACGTGTTGCGACTCTCCCTCTAGCTACAGTATACGCCCCTCTTGTGGAATGAAGTCCCCGGGCAAGTGTCGTCGGCTCGGTGCTGGACGTAGACTTCTTGGCAGAGGTGAGTTTCCAAACATCGGATTTGGCTGGTGCTGCTGCGCTAGGTTTAGAACGTTTCAGAGCTAACGGCCCGTCGGAGGATGAAGAGCCTGGCCGATCGACAGAAGGCCGTTGCAACGGTCGCTTGCGGGAGAGAGGTGTATCTGAAGACGACTGCGATAACGTTCGTGAGTGTCTAGAGCCCTGGCATGTTGTCAGTTGTTGCACCCATGTACAGCTCTCTCTCGAGGAAGAAATCCCCATAACACTTACCTCTGAAGCTTGGCGAGAAGGTGGTTGAAGTTTGTCCGGAGATGGTCTGAACATGCCCGACGCCTTCTTCTCCGGGGCCGTTCGAGCAGTATCAAGAGAAGCGAGGGAAGAAGTACTCCCTCGTCGCCCGTTCAATGGCTTCAATGCTTTTGCTGGTCTTTTGGGAGGCGATTTACTCTTTCTCTTCGCTCCAGGTTTCACATCCTCAACCTCATTCTCCTCAATTGCTTCGATACTCGAATCGCTGTCATCTGCCTCCGATGGGGCTGGAGACACGGCCATTCCCAGCCGCTTCCTCTTGGCTTTTCTACGTCGACGCCGATCTGCTTTCTCCGCAGCCAGTCTCGCCAACAACGCGTCAAATTCCGCCACGTCGAAAGGCGGATCAAGCCCCTTTGACTCTCGGGATTTTCTCTCCTTCCACACCTCCAAGATCTCGTCATTGATATTCTTGTGAGGCTCCCAAGTTGCCTTCTCCAAAGGATAGCCTTCCCATAGTATCAGGTACTTCCTCTTGTTACCCTCAGTCTTGTCGGCCAGGATTCTGTCAACGCTGAATTCATCGTCCGGCCCATACTCCGAGGCCAGGGTGGAGGTGAGAGAGATGGCATCATCGTCGACCTTCGACTGCTTGACCACTATTCTTTCAGTCATGGCGAGAGGGCGGTGGTTAGCGAATTGCCACTTCTCATGGTGGAGAATCTGTGTTAAGTGGATGTTGAAGAGACGAGCGGAGAGCGGTTCTCGGGCGAGTACAGGACTAACGCTTCCTTCCTTCCTTCCTTGCCTGCCAAGAGTCGTCCGAAATACCAAATTCACCTCTATTCTGTAGAAACCTATCCGATGGTCATTGGAGACGCTTCCGCTAGTGATTCGCTGACCTTCTGGAGCTGTAGAGGTCCGTCTGCGTTCGCAAACACGTGACAAGCCCAGACCGCGCACTGAATGTTTCGAAACGAACGGGACGGCGACTCCTGGAATTAGCTGTGACTGTGACTGTGACTGTGACTGTGACTGTGGCCTCTTGGAAGCCGTGCATCAGTGAAACCCAAGGTCTGCCCTTCTTTATATCGTTCCTCGTCGCTCTTCAAATCCACGATTCGAAATTACTAGAAGTGCTTACAAAAGTGGACAGACGTTGAAGTCACTCGCCTCTGTCGCCACCCCTGCTCCGCCTCCCACGCTACGCCCAGCACGGCGTGGCCCCAGTAAGGTTAGCGGCTGCTCGCCAACGCCAGGCCCGCATTGCGACAACAATTCAGGTGCTCCATCTGTCTGACAACTTCTCCTGCTGCCTCTCAACACCACACCACGAATTCCCACGATCAACCATGGCGAATGACGAGTACGACGTATGTGTTATAATCACACACCCTCTGTAGAGCCATAGCTAACCTCGTCTTCCTGCCAGTTCCTTTTCAAGGGTGAGAATAGACCCCACCGCCGGCTGCCTGCTCCCCTATACCGCTCTATCTACTGACACCTCCTGCTCCAGTTGTCCTGATTGGAGACTCCGGAGTTGGTAAATCCAATCTCTTGAGTCGATTCACCCGCAACGAGTTCAATCTTGATTCCAAGTCAACCATCGGCGTAGAGTTCGCAACCCGATCGATCCAGGTAGATGCGAAGACGATCAAGGCACAGATCTGGGACACCGCTGGGCAAGAAAGATACCGCGCCATTACATCAGCATACTACCGCGGAGCGGTCGGCGCCCTGCTCGTCTACGACATCAGCAAGCACCAAACGTACGAGAATGTAACCCGGTGGTTGAAGGAGCTGCGGGACCACGCGGACTCGAATATCGTCATCATGCTGGTGGGAAACAAGAGCGATTTGAGGCATCTGAGGGCTGTGCCAACAGAGGAGGCCAAGCAGTTCGCAAGTATGGGACACTCAGGGTTGCGGGGACATTGCATGTGCTTCGATGCTGATATAGGCTGCAGGCGAGAACAACCTTTCCTTTATTGAAACTTCCGCACTCGATGCCAGTAACGTCGAGCTTGCCTTCCAAAACATCCTCACAGGTATGCCAATCAACTCCCAATCTACAATCTACATTCCGGAGCTGCAAACTAACCTCTATTAGAAATCTACCGAATTGTCTCCCAAAAAGCTCTTGATAACGGCGACTCAGCACAAGCCAATATCGGTGCCGGCACGAACATCTCTCTCAGCAAGCCCGCGGACGACGGCGCAGCCAAAGGCGGCAAATGCTGCTAAGGGACGGAGCACTCCCTTCTCTTTCACATTTGCCACTCAGGTGCGATACGATACGAAACTGCTGCGCAGGAACATATTCCGGTTGGTTGATACAAGGCGAGGCGTCTGTAACATGATCATGGCGGGGAAGCATGGGCTAGTTCATGAAAGCAAATCAATGCTTCAGTCTATCAGGGTTCGACTTCAAGGGCGGCTTTTGCGATAATGCCACGGGGCTCGTAGGGATCCAAATCGATTCGATCATGGCAACTTCCAACATAGTTGGGGGTTGTCTGTTTTCTTTTTTTCCTTTCCAGTTTGAGTTGTGCGTTCGGTTCTGATGGATGGGTTTTCATGCATTCAACGATCGCTAGGGGTGCGTCAATGGAATTTGCCTAATGATGGTCTCTGTTCTTGTGCCTTTGTGCTGGAAGTTCTCTCTTATGCTTCCTGCATTTCCTTCCAGGCACCATTGTCCACCAAAGCCACTTTTGTGTTCCATCACAAATTCCAATTCGGATTATGCTACTGCCTCCAATAATAAGAGGTAGCTGGATTTCTCCATGTCTCAGCCTCCTACTTTTCATCCCCCCCCAATATGTCCAAGACCGATAACGTCTAGTATGCCCCTCTGTCTCTCATAGCCTCTTGCAAGAGTCCCAGATACCATCTTCCCGAGTCAATGGTCGAGTCCTCGAGGAATCTGGAGGGGTAACAGCGGAGGTTTCATCAGAAGATCGCTCGTTAATCGGTGCGGTACCTGTGCGTAATGTTTCAAAGAAGCTCGTGTCGTTCTGGAAAAGGACAAAACAGATACCATGAATTGGGCCCGGCCTCGAAAGGAGGGTGAAGAATGTATATTAGTGCTGCTATGGAAGTAGATAAAGTCCTTGATACCTTGATTTTGAAGAAGTAGAATGAGAAAGTATGAGCAATTGAGAAGTCAATGGGTGGAATTACATGTATTGCAGGTTTGTAAACGTCCGGCCATGCCTTGTGGCATCCTACTTGTGCTTCATGCAGGATACAAGGTATTCGGATCTCGGAGGGATCTGGTGCTACTATTGGGAACAGGTTGCACGTACTTGTTTCGGCGTCTTGTAGAGTCCACCAGTATCAAAAATGCTGGGAAGCCGTGAAGATAACTCTCTGGTAAGTACTTGAGCAACTGCGCTTGATCTGCTCAACTTAAAGGACCAAATGTGGGGTTTAGCCAGCTTGTCCTCCTTGGTGTTGGCTGAGGATCTTCTCCCAGTTGAGGGTTGAAGATTGGTTTTGCGAGCAGCTGTCAATTTAACGCGTCGTTTTAACATCAATTGTTTTGAAGCAAAGAAAGATCAACTTGTACACATAATTGTTGTTGAAGGACGACGCGTTCTTCCAGTAATGTTGAAGTTACCGTCAGCTCAGCCTAGGCCCAAACAAGGAAAGCGCAAATCAATTTCACGCTAAGATTAGCTCCCGCCGTTGATATCGAGAAATTCAAAAAAGTTCGAGATCTCCTCAGACATCTTGCGCCGACGAACTTAAGGTCCACACAACGCAATGGCTTCAGTCTACAAGTCATTATCGAAGACCAATGGTCACGAGAAAGAGGGTCCTGCGAATGGAGTGAAGAAAAATAAACAGAGGGTACTGATCTTGTCCTCGAGAGGAATCACTTACAGGTGAGCTCCTCCAGAATACGTGCAGCAATTGGGGAAGAGGATGCTGATGAAGAGGGTTTGAATAGACACCGACACCTTCTGAACGATATTGCCTCCCTCCTACCACACAGCCGCAAAGATGCAAAGCTAGACACGAAATCCAAGCTCTACCAACTGAACGAACTCGCCGAACTCTACAATTGCAACAACGTCTTCTTCTTCGAAGCACGAAAAGGCAAAGATCTATATCTATGGATGAGCAAAGCGCCCAACGGGCCTACAGTCAAGATGCACATGCAGAACCGTACTTCTCCCTCCTTGTCCCCCCAAAGCAAGCTAAAAGAATCAACAGTACACACAATGGAAGAACTCCACTTCACAGGCAACTGCCTCAAAGGCTCCCGCCCCATCCTCTCCTTCGACGCCTCATTCGATAAAGAACCCCACCTCCGTGTAATAAAAGAGCTTTTCCTACACATCTTCGGTGTCCCGAAAGGAGCACGGAAGGCCAAGCCGTTCATCGACCACGTAATGGGCTTCACGCTCGCCGATGGCAAGATCTGGATCCGCAATTACCAAATCAACGAGACCGAGCCATCGAAAGCCGCGACCTCGGACCCAGCAAAAGCTGCCCCGAAAGAGAAAGGGAAGGGAGGCAAAGGGAGGGAGACGGAAGTGAGTCTGGTGGAGATTGGGCCGAGGTTTGTGTTGACGCCGATTGTGATTCAGGAGGGGAGTTTTGGGGGCCCGATTATTTATGAGAATAAGGAGTTCGTGAGCCCGAACCAGGTTAGGAGTGAGATTCGGTTGAAGAAAGCGGGGAGGTACAATGCGAGGGCTGAGCAGGGCATTGAGAGGCTGGCGAAGAAGGGGGAGCTTGGACTGAGGACGAGCGGTGGAGGGAAGATGAAGAGGGATGAGCTCGATACTGCTGAGTTGTTTGCTTGAGTGGAGGTGTTGTTATGGCGTTTGGCGTCAGAGTGGCATGTGTGGCATGTGTAGCATTTTATGGCTGGGAAAAGGGTGTATGAATTCGTAGCTGCAGCGCAAGGATTCTCAGCTATCCTTTGGCGATTAGGATCTCCAAGCTTGGGATTCCAAATGAGAAGCTTTTTCGCAGAGCTGGTTTCCAATTGCTCTCGTTGCATTTACAAAAATTTCATCCCATGCGAATTAGTTCTCGCAAGAATGGTGCAGTGTGGAGCCGTGGCAGATTCGTATTACCTTCAACTGCCTTCGTCATCCCGAGCTTGGAGTTTGATCCGAGTTTTACGCTTCTTTCCGAAAGCAGTTCATTTTTGGAAAGTAGTGTGCTCGGCTTGCAACACAATCTAAAGTACAACAAGACTTATATAAGATCTTACATTCACCTATCATCCACTTCCGACATGAGATAAATCAGCTTGCTCTCATCCTCTGTGTTGTATTGTCAAGCACTTACGCCATCTTCAGACCCCTGTACTATAGCTATTCCTTTTCATCACCTTATTGTCCCAGATTCCAGCACCAGGAGAGCCCGAGACCCGGCAGTCCGGAGTCTCCCACAGAGAAACGAAGATGCCTGCGGCACCAAATCCGTCGCACATGAAGCCATATGACACGCCTTGATTGTCTTCTGGTTTGTGTGCAAGACGTTAAGAAGTACCACTTCGAAGGAACGAATACTTGTACCGTCCCGTTTCGCAAGTCGTCTTCGCGGGTGTAGTCTCGGTCCAAAAGTCAACCTCGGATCCTCCAGTTTGTTGCTCACCAGCTTCCTCGTAGCCGTCTTGCCCACATGGCCTTTCGCTCTCCTTAATCCACGCAGCAACTACCTGAAACCCAAATCAACCACCGTCAACAATATTTACAGTAATTAACTTCCATAACCCATATTCCAAGAACAATTCCCAAACGTAGTTTGATTTACTATCCCCCTGTTGACATCACGTGCACGGATAAACCTTCGGCCCGCAATATATAAAGCTTCATTTCGACTCACTTATCCCCTTTCTTTCCCAACCACCAAAAAATGAATCGCCAACACCCAACTCCCAGTCCCGTGCGACTGGCAGCGTTTACCCCGAACATCAGAACGTCGCAAGATGTCTCTTGTTCCATTGAATATAGCCCCACCGACGGGGTGTTCGAGAGTTAGGTCTCTGGCACTCCGCGCCGTTGGTGGTCTTCCCCCTTTGACCTGCCACCACGGCTGACGCTTCTGCGTTACTCATCGATTAATCTTATCGATCCACTTTGTTTTCTATCTTTCTATCTTTGGTGTGACAGTGTGTGTGCGAGTTCTCTTGTAAAGAGAAGGTCAATTGCGATTGGCGGGCTTCAAGACGAAGTAGAAGCTAGATTCGGACAATAGAAGAGTAAGCCCGCTATCCCATTTCATACTGGGTGTTTGCTAACTCGAATCTGTAGCTACAGAATAGAAACCAAAGAACAACTCCAAAATCACCAACCCAAAAAATACATTTCGAAACAAAACGCCAAAATGTCAATCACCGACCTTTCCACAGAGCTCCTGCAAAAGATCCTCGAATACACGGAGCTACAAGACCTCCTCCACCTCGCCCAGACCTCAAAACGAAACTACCGCGCCTACCTAGGCCGGCGCATGTACCACCTCGAGCGCGCCCTGCACAACAGCTACAGCCCGCTGCCCTCACTCCTCAAACTCACAATCGCCAACGAGTCGACGCCCTCACGCCGTCCAATCGGCACCGAACTGCGAATCTCACTGCTCCTCAACCGGATAACTTCGCTCCCATCCACCCCGAAACTCACGCTCGAGAACATGAAGAAGATGGTTCACTACGGCAAGATCGCCGACCGCTGGACAGAGTTGTACCCTCGTCTCCGCTGGCGCTTTGGCTCCGACAATCGCCGCTTGCTTAAAAGCAAAGAGAAAGAGCGTCTCCGAGGCGCCGTCTACAATCACTGGACATACACCTCTCTCTTCCATTCCCGAACCTTCACAAACTACGCCCCGGACCCACCATCACCCGCCTCTCTCGACGATCCACGCCACCGCTTCCTGCGCACTCTCTCCACAGTCCAACAAATCCAGCTCTCAGAGTACACAGCCCACGTCGAAACCCTCGTGGAACTCGATCTCTACCCCTCATACTCCATTATCCTCGACCAGTACCCGCCTCACTCTCTCCCCCACCGCAGCTTATCAAAACTCGGGTGGGGCGAAGGCTCAGAGTACCGGAGACTGGTGAGGGATATTATGAAGCTGAGTCCGGCTGATCTGTTACATCTCTATGAGCATACGAGTACGAAGAGCGAGAGAGCGGATTTCCTGTGTAGTCAAGGGGTTTGCTTTGGGGACGTGCCGGCTACGATGAATTACGCGCTGTCGAGCATCATGGGTGAGAGGGCGAGATTGGGGTTTGGTGTTGAGGGGAGTAAGCTCAGGAGCCAAATTTCTGCCATTCAGTTCCCAAGCTTGAAGCGTTCTACCGGCGCACTGTTTGGCGAAGAGGAGAAGGATCTGGCGGACGAGGAGCTTGTGTTTGGCGTTGTGGATCTTGAGGGGAGGAAGGGGTTTGAAGCTTTGGAAAGGATTATTGAGAGGGATGGCGTGGAGAGCGGGGAGTGGGAGGCTTTTGTTGCTGGGTCAGAGGTGTCTCGTATTGATGAGGAGTAGGTTTCGTAGGAGTGATGTGTGTTTGTATGGGACTTTCTGGTTTGGATTTGGGGTTTAATTAGATGGATAAAATATCACTTTATGTTCTTGCTCAAGCTTCCGTCTAATACTTTTCGAGGGAATAGAGGGGTTGCTTGGTCATCGTCTCAATGTCCCATATAATTCTGGGCATTGAGTATTTCTGACTTTTCGTCCAGCTTCTTACTCGCTATCTCGTTAATAATAATCTTAGCAGTGACAACTCTTTTTCTCAATTCAAGGCTCCCAGTTGTTATTGCAGTACAGTTGCAAGTAGCTAGCGATAATTTTTTGTGTTATAGTGTGATTTGTTGGTGTTTTTATGAGTACCATCGCGGAGCAAGCAGTGGGATGATCTGAGACGGCTCCCTTTGGAATAGTAGTACGAGGCGATTAACACTAACGTCCCAATAACAAATACTCCTTATATATCAACTCTTCTCCCCACTTCCTGTATCAACCCTCCGTGGCATATTCCGAGAGGGCCCGGTCATTCTCCAGTACAATAGTCATCTCTTCCTCTCACAGAGACCTCTTATATTCCTGCATGATACCTCTCCTCCTCGAACTCTCCTCATTCACCAAGCACCGAATCACAGCAACCTATCAACTTTCCCACTCAACGAGGCATTCACTCCCTTCTTATCCCAATATTTCCGCTCCTCCCAGAAACCAATGTAAGAAAAGATTGTAATGCTTCCACGTCCCAGCAACGAAAGACACCAACCAACCATCACAACACTGGCTTTGATGGGCTCTACCAAAAGCTTGTACAGAGTTGTATAAACAGTGGAAACCATCGAGGAAACCAGCAATGGCGATTGAAGTGAAGTTCGAGGCGAATTTCCTGCAAGGTGGTTTGGTCTGTCTCATTGCTCTAGATAACCTGGTAAGATACAATCAGCGGAGTCCTGAATACGGACGGCGAAAGAGTGGTACAGGATCTGTTGCATATCGTACCCGCATCTGAAGTTTCTTGGAATAATGAGAGGAGAAAGACATGCTTTCGTCTCATAGATATCTCTCCCGTTTAGAGGCATATTGTTGCGCATCGCGCTCGCAATTTTTAAAATAGAGGCCGTGGATTATATCCAAGTTCACTTTTCAATCGCACTCATCGCCAGTCTATCAACATGGTTCGAGGCAAATCCAAACTAGTGCAAAAGTATGGAATTCCCAAAGCTCCTTCTGGCCATCGCTAGCTACCGGAGGCATCTACCAACGCCATCACGTCATGTAGTATGTATGCTCTGTAAGAAAAGCAGAAATACACAATGCAAATGCTCTCTCTCCGTGCCCCGCTTTACAAAGCGCCTAATATGCAATCTCTCTCCTCTCCTCCCCCCTCCGCTCCTCACTCACCCTCCTCCACCTCCACTTGCATCCTCAGAAGCAAGAAGCCAAGGCTCGGCTTGACAAAGTCTAAGTAGGGCCTGCCTAGACCACCGGAACCCTAACACTCTGCACAACACCCTGCATGCCAAACCCCTGATCCGCAAGACTCCGAGCTTCAGCCTCCGCTTCATCCTCCGTCTCATCTGGATCCCCGTCCCGACCACCCTGTTCCCTCTCCCACTCTTCGACTTTGCGGCTGATCCAGTCTGCGGATTCTTGTTCATATCTGTCTCTGCATTAGCGCCGCGAAAATTTCAAAAGAGAGGACAGGTCAGAAAAGGGATGGGAAGGAAAGGAACAAGGACTCCATACCGCTTCACCATCCTCCCCACCTCCCCCTTACCCCGTCCAGGCTCAATATCTGCCTTCTCCACGCCTCCAAACCGACTCCTCGCCACCTTCCTCTTGCTCTCCTCATCAGTCCAGCACGCATGATCCGGACTTACGTAAATAAGACTATTGGACTTGTACCAGGTCGACAAAAAAGGATCAATGTCTGATTTGATGGGCCGCAAGGAGCCGGATACGAAGGAGAGGATAGAGGCAATTTTGGACTTGGCGTCGCGAGATATCAAGAGTTGCTTAATACCGAGGTATGCGTCACCTACTCCCATGAGGGTGATGGAGGAGTTGGGATTGATTTCGAAATAGTTGTCCCATAGGTAGCAAAGCAGCTCTTTGGTCTGCTCTTGTAAGGCGTTTTCGGTGGGCTTGGGGATGAAGGGGTCTGTGTCTGTGGGTTGGCTGATGTGGTGCGGCATATTGACGTCTACTATTCCGAAGCCGGCGGTGATTGCCCAGTCGATGTACGGGAGGAGAGGGTCGTTCTTTTGCGGGAGTTAGTACGTTTTATTTAGTTTCGGGAAAGGGGAGGGAAGGGGACTTACGACGAAGGTGTTGTGCGCGTAGACCTGGTTGTCGTACGGGTTTGGCTGGGCGAAAATATCCGGCCTGGTTGGACGTTAGCATATGACGAAGACGAGAGAAAGGGCAACACACGGATCATGGATAATCAGCAAGATCTTTCTGCATTTATGCAGCTCCGGCGTAGCAAGAACCTGGTTATCGAATGATCGGCTCAATTTGGTTCGTTGGACGTACAGCGGGATCATGCTGTATCTGTCGCCGAGCATACTCTTCTGAGCAGTTCGCATCATATCACTCATTCTGTCCGTCCCTCGTTGTTGTAACTCTGGGAGAGGAACGACGCCAGGGCGCATGCAGGCCCAATATGGTGCCTGTTGCCGCTTCACGATGTCGAGGGTTAGTGCGGCTTCCTTGTTGAGTGGTGGGACTGTCATTCTTTCCGGTGGCTCCCCCATGAGGGTTTTGGCGACGGCGAGAGCGGATCTTGAGATGGCGTGGAGATTGTATCCACCCTCGAGACAAACAGCTACTTTGCCGTTGGCCAAAGACATGAGCATGTGTGTCATATGCGAGTAGCAAGCAGGTGTGACCCAACATCCTCCGAGTTCATCGCCAGCAGCAGCGTCGAATCCAGCTGAAACGATAACGAGATCAGGGTTGAATTCTTGGGCAATAGGCATGACGATCCTCTGGAACGCAGCCATATACTCGCCATCGCCAACACCCTGCTCAGACCAGCCGATATTAACATTTCTGCCGACTCCCGCACCAACACCGACTTTATCGAGACCACCATCCGGAAGCTCAGGGTCATCAGGCTGGCCAGGGTAGAACTCGCCGTTTGCGTAGACGTGAAGGGATATGTACAGAACATTGGGATCTTCATAGAATATATTTTGAATGCCGTTTCCGTGGTGGACGTCCCAGTCAAGAATAAGAATCTTTCGGCAGACTTCTGGATAGTCGGCCATGCAGACCCTTGCTGCAATGGGGACGTTGTTGAAGATACAGAAACCGAGTGACTCGTTGTGTTCCGCGTGATGTCCTGGTGGTCGGATCACGGCGATGGCATTCTTTACCCGGCCGGCAACGACGTTCTTGCAGGTCTCGATTGCTCCACCGGCTGAGATGAGTGCGGCTTCGTAGGTAAGGTTGCCCACGTATATTGACTTCCGACCATTGTCGAAATCGTTTGTGAGTTGGCGGAGTTGTGATGAAGTGAGCAGGGAAAGTGACTTAACCCACTCGAAGTGCGCAGCGGTGTGGACTGTGCAGATTTCAGCGGGAGTTGCTTTTCTTGCAGCAATCCGCCACATCCAACTATTAGGAGACTGTTTCAATACATCCTTGAGTTCAACTTGGGTACCAGAGTAGATCAGGCCAGCATCCTTGAACTCCTTCATTATCGCCTCTATCCGTCGAGGATCTTCCGGGTGATGTGGATTGGATGAGTAGTCTGCATTGGCGTGAAGTTTCATTCGATCATCATAGCAGCAGCCTGTGGGGAGGAAGTGTTTCCGACATATGACAGCCTTTGTCATGTCTGAAGAGGTGTCTCCCTCGTCTCGTGAGGTGGGTTGTGTTGAGTCGTTAGCATCATCTTCGGGTGTTGTAAGAACTCGAGGATCCACGAAACCGTTCTGAATGTGGCCATTGGAGAGGTGTTCCTGGTCGTCGCCCTCCATGATCGTGTCTACTATCTCGCTGCTTTGCAGCATGGATGAGGAACGTGAGACCTCCATCGTGTGAAGTTTGTAGGTAGCGAGAAGTAGACTCTATGCCGTAGATACGGTACCGGCACCAGTGCAGAGGTTGAGTCAAGTCAAGGAGAACTCGATAGAGTTTTAATTGCGACTCGGGAGGTTCTATGCACGTGTCCACATCCGAGTTGGAAGCTCGAGGCAAGAACGTTTCAGATTCTTGGAAGGTCGGTACCTCGAGAAAGAGTGAGGGGACCTTGAGAGTTGCGTTAGCATAGATCGTAGGTTTTAGGTGAACGGAGCAAGCGACTTGTAGGGTTGGAGGGAGGAACGGTAGGAGAGGAGAGGGACTGAGTGAAGGCCAGGAGGCCGAAGACAATGTCCGAGTATCCTCGAGGCCGAGGTCCAGAAAGGAAAGACGGAGAGTGGATAGAGTGCAAAAGAAAGGGAAGGATAGGACGCTTCGAAGACGATGTCATAAACTCCAGTGATTAAAAAAAACATCGGATGGAGTGTCATGTGACAAGCCAGCAAAGCGCCTTCTGTCGCGACCTTCAACAGCACTGGATCTAGTCTCCAGGAAAGCAGAGTACATCTATACTATACCTTTATCCTCTCCTGTACCCCCTCAAATGACAAATTTTAAGAGTGTGAAGTGGTGGCGGACGTAAATAAACACAGAAGGACATGGTTAACTTACCGAGCTGTCGTTGAGGCGCCTTCACCTGCACTTCACTTCCGCCACACCCGCGCTCTGTTTATTGCCTTTGTGATCAATCTGGCTGTCCGCAAGCAGGTCGGAAACAGATTCGGATCATCTCAAGTCCATGGCGTAGATGAAGTTGTGACGTTGTGTCGTGGGTCAGAAAGTTGTGTTGTATGTGAAGGAGAGATAATTCAGGAAGCACGATCGATTGGAAGCCACACTGGTAAAAGCTGTGGCCTTAGGCCGCGATTCGGTCTAGACCCCCCACGCTATCTATATTACTCCCATCATTACTTCTGCATTAAATTTTATTCTTCTTCTATATATTACTGAACATTGTTTTCGAAGCACGACAGAGTCTATATGTAAATGGGCTTTTAGTATTTACTGTTTTTTGAATTAAACGTTGGTCCGAGCGTTGATTCAGGATATATGTATTTCCACCTCCGAACTTTTTCCCTTCATACACCGCTCGTGATTTGAAAGTGAAAACAAGTGAGAATTCACTCGAAATTCACTTCGGAAGATGATGCCAGAATAAAAGATAACACTGGACGAAATAAAAATATCATTGTGTCGTCTTTGCTATAACTTTATTTCATGGTTCGCGGACTAAAAACAAGCGCCACTGATTTTTATTGTCTGAAGCCTAAATTGGATATTTATTTGGCTTAGACAAAGGTACAATTTTGGATTTCAGAGACCCTGAGACAGTGGAGGGTAGATACTTTCAATTGTACTATACCTCGAGGGAACATTGGCAGGCGAAGTGTCTGAGATATTCCAGTATGTTTCGGGGAATTCAAAATTCAGTGCTGCGATTTTTGTCCACCAAGAGCATGGCTATCAAACTTTAGAGGAAGATGAAAGCCAATGATCAGACGAAATCATCATCTCAATGCTTCAGATTGCTGCAAAGAACTTCTATTTCATGGCTATAATTATGAAAAGCGATCATAAAGGCCCATCAATCATCAAAGTGTTTTCATTCTCCCCATGCTTCAAAGCCTTCCTTTCAGTACTTCTCTGCCAAAGAAAAACAGGAATCAGAAAACGTCATTTGCCCGTGATCACAAATTCGAGGTTATGGATAGACTCCTACTTGGACTCGCCATCGACCTTTGCAATGTATGCGAGAAGGTCGAGGACACGGCGAGAGTAACCCCACTCGTTGTCGTACCATGAGACCAGCTTGACGAAGTTCTTGTTGAGGGAGATACCAGCCTTGGCATCGAAGATGGAGGAGTGGGTATCGCCGTTCAAGTCGGTGGAGACGATGTCATCCTCAGTGTAGGAGAGTATGCCTGGATTTGTTAGCGTTTGATTTAGGTCCTTTGGATGCCGAACTTACCCTTGAGCTCGCCCTCTGCGGCCTTCTTCATAACAGCCTTGATCTCATCGTAGGTAGCACCTTTCTCGAGACGGCAGGTCAAGTCAACAACGGAAACGTTGGAGGTTGGGACACGCATCGACATTCCAGTAAGCTTGCCGTTGAGCTCCGGGATGACCTTTCCGACTGCCTTTGCGGCGCCGGTGCTGCTGGGGATGATGTTTTGAGCAGCAGTGCGACCTCCACGCCAATCCTTGGCGGAGGGACCATCAACGGTCTTTTGGGTGGCGGTGTAGGAGTGGATGGTGGTCATAAGACCCTCGACGATGCCGAAGTTGTCGTTGACAACCTTGGCAAGGGGAGCAAGGCAGTTGGTTGTGCAGGAGGCGTTGGAGATGACCTCAACATCGGGCTTGTAGGTCTTCTCGTTGACACCCATAACGTACATGGGAGCATCAGCGGAAGGAGCAGAGATGACAACCTTCTTGGCACCACCCTTCAAGTGAGCCTTAGCCTTCTCGGTGGTGGTGAAGACACCGGTGGACTCGACAATGTAGTATGCGCTAGTCTCGGCCCATGGGATCTCGGAGGGGTCCTTCTTCTGGTAGAATTTGACCTTCTTGCCATTGACGACCAATCCATCCTCCTCAATCTCGATTGTGCCCTTGAATTGGCCGTGGGTGGAGTCGTACTTCAGCATGTACGCCTGTGGGGATGAAATGTCAGTCTCAATTGATTGAAAATTTGCAGCCGGTAGCGGGGTACTCACAGCATAGTGGACCTCAATGAAGGGGTCGTTGACGGCAACAATGTTGATGTCGTCGTGCTCAACGGCATTGCGGAAGACGATACGGCCAATACGACCGAAACCGTTGATGCCAACCTTGACGGGAGCCATGATTCTGTTGATGTTGTTAGAATGGGTTGATTGCCGAGCCGAGAAGCAACAGAGCTTTCAAAAGAGCTTGAAGCGGGGTCGATAGGGATGTGGAGCGGGTGGATGCAGAGAGGAGAGGTGCGGGAGGCTTACATGATAGTTGTTTAGGTGTCTTGGGTGAGGGGGGGGGGATGTTGTGTCTTTTGTAGACGAGGAGGTTGTCTGGTCAGGAAGAGTCTGAGGAGAAGGAAGAGTTTGTGGTGGGGTGTTTATTCGTTGAGCACAGCATCATTGCGCGCTAGTGGAGGGGCTAGGACTCGCCTAGGATTGACCGCAGCGGGCGTGAGGGATAAGCACCAGCACCGCACCGCACCGCACCGAGCCACTCAACGAGGCTGGAGAAAGAACCGCAAAAGACTCATACTGCCCGTGATTGAACGGGTTTTCTTGCTGGTCTCAGATGAGATTTTCAATGAAGATCTCCCCTTTCTTTTTACACCCCCCAGATGATCCAGAAAATTATTAATCTAGCATAGCCTTTCCAACACGAGGCTGCCGAGCCACAGAAGCCTCCTGGCCGGAATCTTTCGGTGCAAGGCAGACCAGCGACGATAATCCGGATAGACTATGCCAAGGTACTACAGCCTTCGAACATCCGGATTATCGTGATGCCTCGCACTCTTCCTGCCTCTTCCTATATCCACAGGATCAATTCTTCGGATTCTTTACCCCTGGACGACCTCGTCTGTCCGGCCATGGCTTGATTACTGGCCCTCCTGCGTGCCTCCCTGTGGGGTCAGCCAATGCTGGTGCCACCTCCATACACAAAACACACGTGTTGTCCGATTTTTCCTATTGCATGATGCGTTGAGTAAACTTTTATCACCTCATCCCTCATCAGTGCTCCCCTTCTTGCTCTGTGTCTTAAAGGGGCTTGACAAATATTTCGCGGTCTACGGCCAAATTTTCGGTTGTTTCTTTTTCTTGATAACGCCCCACGCTCACGATCTGCGAGGTGGAGGTGTGAAATAGTCACGGTGTTTGGGATGCAGGAGTCTAGGCTGCAGATGGGCGATCTTTATTCCGATTAGATCGAGCTTTGAAGTCGAGGTGGCGATTTCTGTCACGTGCGGCTGGCCGAGAGCTTTTTATCAAGAAATGGTTTTCGAAAGCTCGGAAGGGTATTACTTCCTCTCTTATTTAATACTGTCCTTGATAAATCTTCAAATTAGACCTCAAATCTTTCTCTCTGACAAGATCTAAGCTGGTGGAGCCTCGAAGTCACGTGGCTCTCCTTTCCTCGCTGCTTGGGCAAGCTCTCACAACGGGAAAGGCTTTATTTTTCCATTCGATCAAATCCAACAGTATATACAGGTAATGTGTACACATATCAGATGGAACATACCTCTGGGACTAATACCCAAATGAAAGCTGGAAGTCGGAAGCCCTCTCGGAGCGACGGTATCAGCATTTCAGCTAGAAATGGGGTGGAGAACAACACGTATAGCTGTGACTAGAATATGTACATAGATTCCAATCCAATAGGAGCTAAAAAGGGAAATGTAGAGAGCATCAAAAGCTCCCCGGCTCCAGCGGAAGGCAATGCAACGCATTTCCATCCACAACAATTGCCAAATTCTAGCAAAATTGCAACCAGGCCTAATGGACAACTTAATTGAACACCCTGCCAGCTAAATAATTACAAAATTCAAACTTCGTAGATACCTTTCAAGCTCTCGAATTCCGCAAACGAGAGGCCTGCACGTGACCATACAGCTGGGCGGGTCTTCCGTCCAAAACTTTACCGAACGTAACTTACGACCTCATCTTTCCACTCCTCGTCCCTCTCCGCGTATCCCACCACCCTCTACAACAACCGTCAATTGAGCCCCTCGACACCCCAATTGACCTCTCCTTTGTCTGCGCCAGCAACCTCACCCTCACCCTCACCCTCCTCTCTTCGAAGCGCGACCATGCTGCGAACCTCGCTCCTCCGTGCTGCTCCTCGAGCATCGATCGTACGATCACTCCCGGCGGTCCAACAGCAACGACAAGCCCACGCAATCTCCAGCCCGACACTAGCAAACATCGAGAAGCGATGGGAGGGCATGCCACCACAGGAGCAGGCCGATCTATGGATGGCGCTCCGGGACAGGATGAAGGTGAACTGGGGCGAGTTGACGGTGCAGGAGAAGAAGGCTGGTACGTAACCGTTCTCCCTTTCCTTCTTTTTTTTTTACTACTTCCCTTTATAATTCCTCCCTCCCAAGCCCCCTCCGACCTCATCTCAGGAATTGGGACGAGGAGAGAGAACCCGAGAGAGGACCGAGCTAACGCAAGGGGAAAACAGCGTACTATATCGCCTTCGGCGCCCACGGGCCCCGCGCCCTGCCCCCGCCAGGCGAAGGCTGGAAGGTCGCCGGGTACACGGCGCTCGGCGTCGCGGTCAGCTTCGCGTTGTTCGTCGCGATACGCATGGGTGCGAAGGGAACCCCGGGGACCATGAACAAGGAGTACCAGGAGGCCACGAATGAGTATCTGAAGGTACGCATTCTTTCCCTGCTTTCCCCTTTTCTGTTTGCTGGTTTTGGGGTTTGGGGAGGAGAGGGGAAGAGGAGAAAGTTTGGATGGAGCAAGGGGATCATGGAATTATGGGGGTGGAGAGGGATAGATGGGAATGTAGAGAGGGAATTGGAACTACGATTTTGGGATACAGCAGCTAACCCAAACGTCTGCAGAACCAAAACTCAGACCCCATCTCCGGCATCTCGTCCGAAGGGTACAAGGGCAAGGGAATGGTACAGAGCGCGCCGAAAAAGGCGTAAACTCCCCCTCTCTAGTACCTTCTTTCTTGTTCCACCGACACAATTTCTTTTGTTCTTAGAGAGTGGGCTGTGCATATGTGATTGATGAGAGGGAGAAAAGTCTGCTGTTGAATGGATAAGGGAGGGGAATTGAAAAGTGAGTGGTGGTAGTGGATGGGATGGGGAGAAGGGGAGAACTGTACAAAGATCTGCCTTTTATGCTACACGCTTGTTAGAGAATGGATTCGAGATTTGAAAATCAAGAGGCTTGGATGTGGTGTGATGTTGATTGTGCAGCTCATTATATGCACCAACCATCTCATCATATTTACAATCCCCTCATTCATGACATCCAGATCCTAATGCCGAACGCCAAATTCCTCATTTCCCAACCCTAACCATCCATCTCAAAAGCTGGGAGGCTTGTGGCAAGCTCATATACTCGTAAGGTCATCACATCCCACTACCACCTACACTCCTCAGCCGCTCAAAACTCCCATCCGCCTCACTGCCCACCACCTCCCCTCTCTCCTTCCTACCCCTCTCCTCCTCCCTCGCCTTCCACGCCTCTTCCTCCTTCTCAAACGCCTCTTCAAACATGCGTCCTTGCCCTCTGCTCCAGCATCTCGGCATCAGGGACTTCCCACTCCCTCCCTGGTGATCAAGATGATGAGCGTGACTGTGTTGGTCTCGAACGAACTTCTCATCTACAAGACAGAACCGGATCGCGCTCCCCGGCCCCCAGAACATGATTTCTCCTAACACGCTTTCCATGATACTCCTCAGCCCTCTGGCACCGATACCAGCACTTACTCCCCTCTCGCCTCCTTTCCCACCTGCACTTCCACTTCCAGTCGCAGGAGCAAGGGCTCGCTCAGCAATGGCGTGTAGAGCTCCCGTCGAGAATTTCAACTCGATGTTGTAGGTGGAGAATAGAGCGATGAATTGCTTGACGAGGGAGTTGCGGGGCTCGGTGAGGATTGAGACGAGATGGGGCAGAGTTAGCGGGGAGAGCGAGACGAGGATGGGGATGCGGCCGAGGAGTTCGGGGATGAGGCCGTAGGTTTGCAGGTCGGTGGGTGTTACGTGGTCGAGTGTGTTTGCTGGCGTAGCTGCGTACTGTGAGGGGGCTTGGGAAGAGGGGGAGGAGGCAGAGCGAGGTGGGATGGCTGTCCATCCGATAAGGGGTGGCGGCGGGGAGCTCTTGAGCTGTGCGCCGAAGCCTATTGAAGAGCCGGAGGAGAGGCGGGAAGAGATTATCTTCTCGAGCCCGACGAAGGCGCCGGCGAACACGAACAGGATGTTGCTTGTGTCGATTGTGTATTGCTCGCTCTTGCCTGGCTGCTGCCCTATGCCGCCGTCTCTTCCGCTGCGCTCCATACGATCAGATCCTCGACCCGTGGATTCGGACTTGGAAGAACGGTCAGACTTGGTATTTACCGTTACGGTCGTCCCTTCGATCATTTTCAGTAGACCTTGCTGCACGCCTTCTCCAGACACATCGCGGCCGTGTGTCATTACAGCTGGTTTTGCAAGTTTATCTACTTCATCGAAGAAGATGATTCCGGTCTCGCATTTCGAGATGCTGTGCGAGGAGGCAAGTAACAAGCGTTCAATGGCGGACTCGATGTCGGTACCGATGTAGCCTGCTTGAGTGAGAGCTGAGCAGTCTACGGTTGCGAATGGCACTTCCAGGACTCTGGCTAAAGTGGAAAGGATGTAGGTTTTTCCTACGCCGGAGGGACCAAGGAGAAGGAGGTTGGATTTCTCAATAATCGTTCTGGGATCATCTTCCAGTGGTTTGGAACCGAGTTCTGGTTCTGGGTCTGAGGGACGAATGGAGGCGTTGAGATCTACAGTCTCGACGTGGCCGGGGTATTCATCTGATATATTCATGTTAGAGGAGAGGTCATGTGATGAAGAGAACGACAGACTTTCAACGGGGTGGGACACCCGCTCTCGTTCCCCCAGTTCCCATCTTGCCTGCTGCTCTCGAGCAGCTTGCTCTTCTGCTTCTTGACGACGCAGTTCCCGGATCCGTTGGTAGTGGTTGTAGATTGCTACGCTGGTGACTTTCTTTGCTTTGTCTTGACCGACGACAAATTTATCTAGATGCTCTTTCAGCAACGAAGGAGTAAGACGCGGTGCTCCATGTTTGGAAGCTTGGGCTAGAGGCCCCTCTGTAGGGCGCCCTGGCTCATAGGTAGATGAGAAACCAGCTCCCTGAGCCTGGAAGTCTGAACGGTGGGATTGGGAATCTCGGGATAGGGGGGATGTGGTGGTAAGAGAGTGGCGACTGAGGCGGATAAGCAGCGGTCTAGGGAGTCTGGTGGAAGAGAGGTTGAATGTCCGGTTGATGGCCGGCATGGTGAGCGTCGAGGAGATGTCTCATAACTGCTTCTACATCATTGGCTGCAGGCCTCTCCTTCGACTCCTCCTCCGTCGAGGAATCCACGTCAATGACTCCGGCCGTTGCGGGGTGAGGTGTTCTAAGTCCAGCTAAGATGCGGAGATCTGGGGAGGCGGACGGGCCTAGGGATTGACTTCTGCAACGGCCTGGGGACGTGCAATTGTACCAATGCCCGTTCGTGCACTCAATAGGAATAGGAGAGATAACGCGGTTTGATATCACGTGTTGCTGTGTAGCTGTGTCGCTATCGTTTGCTGAGAACGTTGAGCTTCGCTTCCCCATTGGGTTCGCTGCACTGGCAGGGATGGACGTCATTTGGCGGCCTTTGCTCAACGGCAGGGAGGCGACGATCGGATTGTGGCGGATTGGCCCAACCCGAGAGCAACCCCGCAAAATATCTCGCTGATTCCAGTGCAGAGAATAAACAGGAAGATATTCTCTTTCAGGGCGCAGATATAAGAAGTGCTCATCTTCAATTCTACACAGAGAATTGACATTTGCATTTACGAACATCAGTTCATCTCTTCTTTTTGTTAGCAGCTGAAGCTAGCTTGTGCAACATCAACACAAGCTCAGCACACCCAAGAGCAGTCCCTCAAGGATGGATAGCACGAACGAACATTCTAGCAATTCGCTCATGAATCATGGAGCTGCGAGTGGAATCCCCAATGATGGCACGGGTAAGCTTCAATGTCCCACAAAATGGCACACAGCTGATGTCCCAGGCGTTGTTGCCCTCGACCCATGGCTGGCCCCGTTCAAAGAGTCCCTCAAAGCACGATACAACAAGGCACAAGAATGGATCAAGACAATCAACGAGACCGAAGGCGGATTGGAGAAGTTCAGCAGAGTTTGTCAACATCATGCCATGCAATTCCCCACCACTAACCATACCAGGGAAAGGAGAAGTTTGGAATCAACATAGACAAGCAGAACAACATCACCTATAGGGAATGGGCGCCTAATGCTACGCAAGCATTCCTTATTGGTGAATTCAGTATTCCTCCCTTTAGCGAACTGCTTTGAGAGCTTGACTGAAGGTTGGTAGATGACTGGAATCGAGAATCGCATCCTATGAAGAAGGATCCGTACGGTGTTTTCGAGGTCGTTATTCCTGCGAGAGATGGACAGCCTGCAATTGCACACAACTCGAAAATCAAGGTATGCAAGCTTCACTCTGCATCTACTTCGGTTACTGACCTGGCAGATTTCTATGGTCACACCCTCAGGAGAACGAATCGAAAGAATACCAGCATGGATCACATATGTCACCCAAGACCTCGACATTTCTCCTGTCTACGATGCTCGATTCTGGAACCCTCCTGCCTCTGAACGATATGTGTTCAAGCACCCAAGACCGAAAAAGCCTCAGTCTGCGCGAGTCTACGAAGCACATGTTGGAATCTCTTCTCCAGAGTTAAGAGTGTCTACATACAAAGAATTCACAAAGAACATGCTGCCAAGAATACACCATCTGGGATACAATGTCATTCAACTCATGGCTATCATGGAGCACGCATACTATGCAAGCTTCGGCTACCAAATCAACAGCTTCTTCGCTGCAAGCAGTCGATATGGTCCGCCTGAGGAATTGAAGGAGCTCATTGATACCGCACATGGACTTGGAATTGTTGTGCTGTTAGATGTTGTCCACAGCCACGCTTCAAAGAATGTGTTGGATGGCTTGAACGAGTTCGATGGCACAGACAGTTGCTATTTCCATGGTGGCCCCAAAGGAAAGCATGAGTTGTGGGACAGCAGGCTGTTCAACTATGGTAGTCATGAAGTCATGAGATTTCTTCTTAGTAATTTGCGTTTCTGGATGGATGAGTACAACTTTGACGGATTTCGGTTTGACGGCGTTACGAGCATGCTTTATACACATCATGGAATTGGAACGTAAGTCGGCATTTCCTGGGGATTCGTACATCACTGACAGTGTTTAGGGGATTTTCGGGAGGTTACCATGAATACTTCGGCCCTGGAGTTGACGAAGAAGCTGTTGCATACCTAATGATTGCCAACGAAATGCTTCATGACCTGTACCCGGAGATGATCACAATTGCGGAAGATGTCTCTGGAATGCCAGCTTTGTGTCTTTCCTTGTCTCTAGGGGGCATTGGATTCGACTACAGACTGGCAATGGCCATCCCCGATATGTGGATCAAGATATTGAAGGAAGTGAAGGATGATGCCTGGGACATGGCCAACATTTGCTTCACGTTGACAAATAGACGACATGGCGAGAAGACCATCGCTTACTGCGAGAGCCACGATCAAGCGTAAGCCATTCATCCAGCTGAATTTACCGGGCTAACAAGTCCCAGATTGGTTGGAGACAAATCAATCATGATGCATCTCTGCGACGCAGAAATGTACACCAACATGTCAACCCTGACAGAGTTCACACCCATCATCGAGCGAGGAATGGCTCTCCACAAAATGATCCGCCTCCTCACTCATGGTCTCGGCGGTGAAGGCTATCTCAACTTCGAAGGCAATGAATTCGGACATCCCGAATGGCTCGATTTCCCTCGTGCTGGGAACGATAACAGTTTCTGGTATGCACGTCGCCAATTCAACCTAACAGATGACCAACTGCTCCGCTACCGATTCCTTAACGAATTCGATTCTGGCATGCAACACACGGAGCAGAAATACGGCTGGCTGCACTCTGATCAAGCATACATCAGTTTGAAGAACGAAGAAGACAAAGTCATCGTCTTCGAGCGTGCGGGCCTCCTCTGGATCTTCAACTTCCACCCTACGAAGAGTTACCCAGATTACCGTGTTGGCGTCGAGGAGGCAGGTACATATCGTGTTGTGCTAAATACCGATAAGAAGGATTATGGTGGGTTTGAGAGAATTGATTCGGGGACGAGGTTCTTTACTACTCCGTTTGGGTGGAATGGAAGGAAGAACTTCACTCAGGTGTATATTCCCACTAGGACTGCAGTTGTACGTATATCGTGTCCGATTAACAAGACTCTGCTAATATGTATAGGTTCTGGCTCTTGAGTCGACTCTTTGAAACGCGTGACGAAGGCGGTCGGTAGGGCTCGCTTTGCTGGGCAACGGAAATTACTGTATATTTGAACTTAACCTAGCATGGTAAGCATTTAATGCGTAAAAATGATAATTCCAATGTTCCATAAGTGCGCCGAAGAATGAATTCAATTTGATTGTATGAAGGAATCTTCGTGGAATGAGGTTAATAAATACTTGGTGAAAAGAAATCTCGGGAACACTCGACTTGAAATTTTTCATGCCTCATCAGGCGTCAAGGCCACGACACTAAACATCTTCCCTTCGGCAAGCTTCGAGCAAACCTCATCGACTCCAATTTCAATCCATCAACTCCTGTATCTCCACTCCCATCCCACACGCTCTTCTTCATCGTCAAGATGTTCAGGAGGTATGTATATTGACCCATTGGAGCTATCTCTGTCGTCACAACGTGCCCCAATTGGCCAATTGAGCTGACGATGCCCCCAACACAGCGCCCTTCAAAAATCGGCCGTCCGGGCTTCAAGGAGCGCCTTCAGACCAGCAGTCTCTACTGGTTTAAGAGCTGCCTCTGCGCGCTTTGCGAGTGACTCTGCTCTCCATGGCAAGATCCATCAAGTCATTGGTGCCGTTGTGGATGGTGAGTGATTAACCAGAAATTTTCTTCACAGCCTCAACATCAAGCTCCGGATCGAAGGAAAAATGGACACCAAGCTTGAAACATGATGAGATCGCAATACTAATATTTCTACGCAGTGAAATTCGATACCGACAAGCTTCCCCCGATTCTCAACGCCCTCGAGACGGACAATGGTGGACAAAAGCTCATCCTTGAGGTCGCGGTATGTGGACAACGGACACAACACATCGAACACGAACTGACAAGCATAATAGCAACATTTGGGAGAGAATGTTGTCCGAACAATTGCTATGGACGGTAAGGATTCGCGTTCAGTGGAGGCCAATGGCAGAATTTGACATAATGAAAACAGGTACCGAAGGTCTCGTCCGTGGTCACCGAGCAACCGATACTGGCAACCCCATCATGGTGCCAGTCGGTCCAGGAACTCTCGGCCGTATCATGAACGTCACTGGTGACCCAATCGACGAGCGTGGCCCCATCAAGTTCACCAAGAAGCTCCCGATTCACGCCGATGCTCCTCCCTTCACCGATCAATCCACGGCTGCTGAGGTGTTGGTCACCGGTATCAAGGTCGTCGACTTGCTCGCCCCATACGCTCGTGGTGGAAAGATTGGGCTTTTCGGAGGAGCTGGTGTCGGAAAGACTGTGTTCATTCAAGAGTTGATCAACAACATTGCCAAGGCCCACGGTGGTTACTCAGTCTTCACTGGTGTCGGAGAGCGTACTCGTGAGGGTAACGATCTGTACCATGAAATGCAGGAGACCAAGGTTATCCAGCTTGACGGCGAGTCCAAGGTCGCCTTGGTCTTCGGTCAGATGAACGAGCCCCCGGGAGCCCGTGCTCGTGTTGCCCTTACTGGTTTGACTGTTGCTGAGTACTTCCGTGATGAGGAAGGTCAAGATGGTGAGTTCATGCGAGGGAAAAGCCTGGATGTGGCTAATTTCCACAGTGTTGCTCTTCATCGATAACATTTTCCGCTTCACCCAAGCCGGTTCCGAAGTGTCCGCTCTTCTCGGTCGTATCCCATCTGCCGTCGGTTACCAACCAACTCTCGCCGTCGACATGGGTCTCATGCAAGAACGTATCACAACCACCACCAAGGGATCAATTACCTCCGTCCAAGCCGTCTACGTGCCTGCCGATGATTTGACTGATCCTGCCCCTGCCACCACCTTCGCCCATTTGGACGCCACCACTGTGCTTTCTCGTGGTATCTCTGAGTTGGGTATCTACCCTGCTGTCGATCCTCTGGATTCCAAGTCGCGTATGTTGGATCCTCGTATCATTGGACAGGACCACTACGATACTGCCACCAAAGTTCAACAGATGCTTCAAGAATACAAGTCCTTACAAGATATTATTGCAATTCTCGGTGAGAAAAACGCTTTTTGATGTATCGAGCTACTTTTAACATTTTCTAGGTATGGACGAATTGTCAGAAGCCGATAAGTTGACCGTCGAGCGTGCCCGAAAGCTCCAACGTTTCCTGTCACAACCATTCGCAGTCGCTCAAGTCTTCACCGGTATCGAGGGTGTCTTGGTCGAGCTCAAGGATACCATCCGCTCTTTCAAGGCCATCATGAACGGTGAGGGTGATGACTTACCAGAAGGTGCCTTCTACAGTACGTTTTCCCCTCCTTTCTCTCACCCGCCCCCCTTCCATCTTGAACCTTCAATACTAACCAAATACTCTTAGTGGTGGGAGACATCGACGCCGCCCGCGCCAAGGGAGAGAAGATTCTCTCTGAGCTGGACAAGGATTAGACAACTCGCCTCTTTTGTGGGAAAGAATGGGAGAATCGATAGATGGGGTGTAGGTGTGGTAACCTAGGGAGGTGTGTATATTGAGGGAAAGGGCAGCCAAAGCAAAGCGGATGTACAGATGAAAAGAGGTCGCTTTGACGCAGGTGAACATTTCTTCTCTGGTATTCGCATCTCCTTGGCTTGTAACAGAATTGAAAGTTTTTTTTGTCTCTTGACTTGCAGTGCATCGAATTGTGACGCGAGGAGGCGGTGTGAAATGTGTGTGAGAGGTTTGTGTGGAAATGGTGAGGTGTAAGAGGTGAGAGTTTGTCAAGTGGCATGGGTTTCATCTCTTATGGAGTAAGTGGACTCTTGGAATAAGACCTTTTCCACATCCACAAGTTTCTGATAAAGTGAAGATATCTTGATCACGGGATTTTAGTAAGGAGGGGAGAGTTTGTTGCAAGTCGCTTGATTTGATTTGATTTTGATTTTGATAATTGAATGGTCAAGTTTTACGGCAAGTGCCTGAGGGAGGAGGAAATAGGCATGTTGTTCTGAAAGGAAGGACTTTATATACGATGTTCTCAAAGTCTTTCGGACATCCGTTTCCTCTGCTCTAGTTGTATTGTTTGCGCCCTCTAGTTGCCTCTTTTGGTCACTCCGCGCCAGGTTAGCGTCGGGGGACTTACGTTTAACGCGAATATGCTCTTAGCGCATGTTCTCTCGTGGTTTCGTTGCAGGTCTTGTGGACTTGCCTCCTATGGACGTGCCTCTACGGCTATCCCTCTACGGCCCATCCTCATCCACTTCCGGCTGTCCTTCCACGGCTTTCCTCACTCGGACCACTTTACCGGTCTCACCCTTATCCTACCACCTCCTCGGAAAGTGAGGGGTTGTCCCGCAGGGCCTACACCCTCCCTGTCCGCGCTTGCATCACTCAACAAACAACAACAGGCCCAAGCCATCCTTGCTGAGTCCCCCAAAGCACTGGGCGCTGCTCGCATACCATGCCTTGGCCATTAACAAAAACTCTAAGCTCAACGGCTGGGTTATTGCACCTTGCAACCAGGGATTCCTCGTCGCGCTCATGAAGGCCCTGGGTATTGACGCGGAGGCGCTCCATGCAACCATGACTGACAAGGAGCGAAGTTCCCTAGTCCAGCGCTTTACTCAAACAAACACATGCTCACTACTGATCATGAGCCACATGCTCTCCGCCGAGGGCCTCAATCTGGAGAACAATTGCTGCGTTTACCTCATTCTCACCCCCGGCTTCTCATGGACTTGGGAACTACAATAATTATTCCGAATCAGGAGACTGCTACAAATCAGACCCCAGTTCTGCATAATCATCCACCTCCACGGATCAATGGACTCATGGTTCCACAGCCACCAGAAGTACAAGAGTCTCGACCACGACGTCGCACTCTATTGCCCCAAGGTAGATCCAGAGAAGAATTAGGGGCAATATGACTGGCTACAGTTCGGACGGCGGCTGCGTGAATGGAGCTTTGGCCCCTTTGCCATCAGAGGCCGTACACTTCAAGAGATATGCAACAAAATTTTCAGGAAAATGGGATGAAAACTGTTCCCATGATTCACTTCAACCACGAGATCTTTTGTTGCACATCGTCGACGGCCGTCCGACGGACGGATGAAGAATTTTCGCCGCGGACTGACCGGCGGACCTCACGATGTTGGGACGGAGCGGCCGGACGAGCCAACCGTCCGCCGCGCGGACTGACCGGTTGTGGGGTTGCGCACTCCCGCGACAGGGGACAGCCGTGAAGGGACAGCCATGAAGGGATAGCCATGATGGGACATCCCAGCGGCACCTCCATTCTAGGACAGCCGTAGAGGGCGGGAACAAAACACCTCCAATCCTGATTTGTTTAGTCCAGAATATGAGCGAAGACCGGGCGATGAGGGAGGAGTCTGCAGTATTTAATAGCCACGCGTACTATTCCCACCGGATGTCCACTTGCTGCTCGTGTGGATAGGGAACCAGAGTGAATAAGACATCCAGGCGCGATCTGCAACAAAATCTTTTGGGGTCGAGATGAATGGTAAGAGAGCGGTTTCATCTCATTTCTTGAAAGGAGATTTCGTGCATATCACAACTGGGCACGAACCTATCCTGGGCTTGGATTGGGGACATCTTCTAACAGAGGTCATATTGCTAAACTGCAACACCTCCAACCTTACTGTGGACGTCCCATCGATGACCGTAGAGCTGGTCCAGATATGTTCAGCCAATGTGAGGACAGCCCTAGCTGACCAAATGAAAGAAGACACCCCCCGGAATGTGGTACCGGCAGAAGACGGCCCGCCAGAGATGGTCAAAGGTGTGGCCCCATGGCCTGCAATCTGCAATAGAAGTTCTGTTGCAGAAGTCTAGCCAAGCTTCACTTTCTTCTGTCAAGGACAGGCTCGATGTTGCAAAACCACTGGAGCTTTCGGTCCCCAATACCTCCCTCGCAGTTAAGCTAGAGCAGCAACTGCCGAATTCCAAAGAAAGGAACCTGGCACTGGCGAGGTTAGGATTCTGTGGGTACGATTATTATGCAGACTGTTTGGCCCGAGTTACTCCGATTGATGCCATAGGTGCCTTACCAAACAGTCGCCATAATGATCGTGCCCGCCAAAATCATCGGTCACAGTAGATAAATCGCGTAATAAGCAACGGCTAAGATTGAAGATCGCACAAGCGGTAACTAGGATGGGCTCTATACAATCTTAATAGTGTACAAAGTTTGTATCCCACCGGCTTCGGCATAATACTGTGACCTTTTCGGTTCGTAGCAGCGGAACTCGGTGGCTAAGTCTTCGTCTCCAAGCGTCATGTCTTTCCATTCCTGGTCCATGATTTGTCGGATCTGCTTTACGCGTACTAGGGTTATAGGGTCTGCGTCAAACCTCACGAGACCAATACGGTGAAATTCTTGCCTCGAAGATCCAGCTGGCTTGAGGACAAGCCTTAGGCGTCCAGCCTCTGTTTGGAAGGGAACCATGGCGAAATATGTTCCATTCTCTTCATCATGACCAAAGCGCCATTCCCCGTACACTTTCGCCGTCATTAGAGAGAGTGGCGTCTCAAGCTTGACGTTTCCGCTGTTGACCTGAAGCATGGTATCCCCGCATTGAGATGTGACCTCGACTCCAAGAAGATTCGGGCTGGTTATAAGACTTTGGCCGTTTAAGGCTAATTCGCAGCTAGCACCGGAATTAGATAAAGCCCAGGACCAAGAGTGGACCTCAGATCTTTTAATATTTTTGTACATTTCTTGTATTGGGGTCCCAAACATCGCGAACTGCACACCTGGCTTCCCTTTAAAACTTATATCGAACAATATGTAGTCGGTAGGGCTATACTCCACAAAATTGTAAAAATTTAATTGCAACTATTATGGAAGTTATTATAGAAAACCTTGATTTTTGGGCAAGTTTTGTATATATCATGACTTACCAGAGGCGCATCCTGGATGGGATGACATAGCTAATCGCGGAAGCTATCCCAATTCGGCGCTGATCTTCCCAAAGAAGTAATTAAGGCGAGTTTTTTTGCTCCAATTAAGGCCGACTTAACTGAGGTATATAATACACTATATTATTCAAGTATAATTCCATTTAAAGACATATCCTTCTCCCCACATCCTCCCCCATGCCCCGCCCCCCCACCCCTCCCGATTTTATCCTTTCTATTATAAAATACGATATTCTTTTCCAGCTAACCTTTGTCCTTACGGACAGGCATATGAAATCACATCGTGTACAGGGGTTCTCGGTACAACAATATGGCCAAGACGAGCCACTTCTCACTCAATCTTCGTACAAATATAGCGATGAGTTGTGGGGTTCCTTATTAGGATCTTTAAGGTACTGGCAGTTGCCTCCTATGGCTACTTAGCGTTGGATACATGGAAGGCCTCCAGCTTTATTGACACCGCCGGGCCCATCCACCCTCTATAGCCTTAGAATAAAGACAAAAGACCTGGGAGCGACTAATACCAGTCCACTTCTCAATTTTGAAAATTAGGAAGGCAAGCCACTTCGCGGTAATAATTTGAACACGGGCTGTAACACAGTGATCCTTAATAACAGGAGGGTGGGTACTTGGAGCGGTTAAAGAAGAAGTAGCAGGAGGAGGAGGAGGAGGAGGAGGAGGGGGAGGAGGAGGAGGGGGAGGCTCACATTCAAAGTCAGGGCCAAAATCAAAATACTTATTGTCGTACAATAAATAGGCTTCTTTTTCAATGCGGTAATCTGATTCAGAATATGACGCAGAGGAGGACGAAGAAGATGAAGAAGCTTCAGTGTCGTCGGACACTGAAGCGTATAGTAAATGTCTTGCGGCTATATAAACTAGACAAAAGTGCGCATGATGTACATAAATTATGGTACAAAATCTCAATCCTGTGTGATCTTCTCTCTGTTAGTACTATTTATTAGCTCTACTACCCCCCAGTCCTCCCCCATCTCCGCTTTTTGGAGTGCTGTTTGCCCGAGAGTATTCTTTAAGTCCACCTTTATGTCATCATGTGCCAGAACTAGGTTTGCAATCACGGAGACACCCATTGCCAGATGGAGTGCCGTATCGCCGCTCTTGTCTTGCAAGTTCACATCAATATTGCTGTGTGAGAGCAGCATCATTACAATCCCTCTCATTCCGACTTCTGCCATCGCCATGAGCGGGGTTTTTTTCCTCTCCTTATCCTTCAAATACATAGTAATATTGACGTGTGAGATGAACGTGTTTATAATATCATCGCGCCCGGCTTGTACCGCTACCATAAGCGGTGTTCTCTCGTCCTTATCCTTCAAGTTCACATCAATATTGCGGTGTGAGAGCAACATCTTTATAATTTCTTTGCGTCCGGTTCGTATCGCTACCATAAGCGGTGTTCTCTTGTCCGTATCCTTCAAATTTACATCGATATCTTCATGCTCAAGTAGGAGCTTTGCTAACCATTTGCGATTTGTTTGCACCGCCAATAATAGCGGTGTGGTACCTCCATCATCTTTCAAGTTCACGTCGATATAGTCGTGCGCAAGCGATGCCTTTGCCAGAGGTTCATTCTCTGCCTTTTGTGCCCAGTTTAAGGCCAAGTTGCTCAAAAAGCCTGCACTTTCAAGAAACTGCGGCATGGTATAGTCGGACAGAAATTTCGTGTTGTGTAGCTCGGGACAGCGGAGTAGAAATGAAACTACGTCCTTCATAACCTCCTGTTCTGACTTTGAATATTCCGCCCGTAGGATATCGCTATTACACGCATCTGAAGAGATACCAAGTAACGCGTAGATGTTGTCTCGCGGGTCGGATGCAGCGGTTTTGCCGAACTTTAGTAGAAGAGTCCGAAGATCCCGGTTTTGGCTCCACCAAGACTCCTCCCTTAAAGGTCCTGGCATAATATCCAAGATTGATTGGCAGTGAGGAGGAGGCGTCACTCCTATTAAAGATGGAACAATGGCGAATGTGCGTGCTGAGACCGACTTAACGCCGCACACAACAACAGCTCTTCGCGCGTTTGCAACTTCTTGCAAAATCCAAACTCTGCTAAACCAGGGCCACTCGAAGAGTGACTCTAAGCCGTTGCGCTGTCGGACTTCCACGTTTGAGTGAATGTTCCTCAACTTGGGTTGTACAGTTGACCAAATATCTCGCCAAGCTTGATCTGAAGATCTCCAATTGTTCCTCGAATAGTCAATGCTCTCTTTCTCGACCTCCTTTATCGAATCCATGAGAACGTTTGTATCGTAAGTGGCGGGACCTAACCAGATAACCACACGTTCAGCCCGACGGTAAACGTTGCTCATCTGTTGAACTTGGTGGCCCTTCTCTTCGTGGTTCATTTGATCAATACATAGACCGTCAACCCATAAAATCCGATCTTCGTTCTCGAGGCGTAGATACTGTAGCGCCAAATATAGGTTTTGAGTAACATCAAACTCGCAGGCATTGACCTTGATCTTGTCTGTCTTTTCCGTACTTCCCCATGTATATGACAAGGCTTCGTATGGCATGATATCCTCGGGTTGATCAAACCATGCTTGGAAGATTTCGCACTGAATGTCAGTGCCGCTGCCTGCTAGAAGTCGCGCAAGACGGAATGCAGGTCGTGCGAGATTGATCGAGTCATATTCGAACGTGGCCATTGCGATCTCTGGTAAGATGTTTGAGATATTTTGTCGTGTACTGAAGCGATTAGGATCAACCTAAGAATTTTGGAAAAGGGACTACAAACCTTTGAGTGGAAACCAAGGAACTTAAGAAAAGCTTTCACAAGGCTGGTGTAAGACTTTCAAGGAGGCGCAGCTGAGGGAATTATTTTGGCGAACCAATTAATTGATCATCATTAGCTGCGAGGCCATCCGAGCGAGACGACCTTCCAGCAGGCTACGTTTCCACTATTGTGACTTGCAGAAAGTCTGAAGCCACATTGCTAGATATGCTTCTAGGACACTACGCCGACCCTAATTTACACTTAGGTTTAGGGAACAGGAACAGGTATCAGGTTCCCAAGGCTATACCCGTGAATCGGGAAGGGTGTTGAGTTAGTGATAGGGGATTGATAAGAAGGGAGCAGGGCTGTGGTACCCCTGCGGAGGCGTTGGGTGTCATATCTCGTTGGGTGTGCTTCGTTTGACACTGCCACGATGTGGCTTGCTGCGCCCCTGCCATAGAGTACCTCACCGCAGGCTCCTTTCTGGAATGCCTTGTCCGTGACGTAAAGCCTCCAACACCCCTCATCTGGCAGACAACAGATCCAATATGCCGGCTTGTAACCTAGCGCTATGCGTTGACTTGCTGTGTGTGAGAGGCCGTGGCGGGCTACTAGACGCTCCTTGCTTTTGGTGAGTTTCTCTCGATGAATACAATTCTACTCTATGGTAGTTGATCAAAGAAGAAGTACATCCCAATCGTTTCTTTGGCCTCAAGGGTAGTTTCTCCCAACTCCTTGCGTTTGATCCATCGACGACTTCTCTCTGGGCTGCCTTCTAACCTTGGTGGTCGTGAATCACAACCTCGAAGTTAATCCCACAGACGGGATCACGAACAAAAGCGCCGTAGTAGCCAGGATGGTAATGATTCCTCGGGCCTGGTGCGCCATTATCCGTAGCACCGGCTTTCAACGCCGCTTCGTGGAACTGTTGGACTTGTTCGACCGCTTTTTTATGCATGTACTCGTCAGCCCTGCATCCCAAAAAAGAATGATCGTAGAAGCAGCAAGAGATCAAGATTGAAACCCACTTTCGGCAGTAAATGCAGTGTGCTGTCTCTTGGAAATCTCCTTTGCGGTGACATCGTCCATTGCGCAGCCCTGGACCCAGAAATAGGGACCAGTGTCACCCATTCCAACAGCGGTTGGGATGGGGCGCATTCTAAGAAAAATTTAGATGAGGAGTTTAATACACTTCATTCACGATTGAGATCGACAAAACTTGCATTTGTCTTGTCCGGAGAGTCGAGTCCGTGAGAAAGGGAGAACCATAGCTTGAGGGTAGAAAATAAGGAACGGAGAACGATGGATTGGGTAGCTTACATCTCTTTGAAGCCCATATGTCCAAGAGTAGCAATGAGGAAGTTGACTACGCCGTCGAGCTTTTCGGTTGGAACGACGATGCCTCCATGATCGATTTTCATGGCTGGTAGTGTCTGGGGACGTTGATGTTCAGAGATTTAGGGATGGACTTGGATTGGTCTTTGATTGCAAGAAGAGGTGAGAATTTTGTTACCAGAATATGGAGGGGCGGATGGCGGGGTACTTAAGAGTTACCTTGAAACATGTAGTGGAGTTTGTGATGCTCCGAGAACCGTGGCTATCCCCAGTTAGGATGAAGGATTGAGGAGCCGAGAGAATTTGTCCGATGCTGACTCCAGGTGGTACCTGGCACTGGCTGGGCGTACGGGGTGCGTAATCCGATGCGTTGCGGCCAGGTGGGAATTTTCCGGGGCGGATTAATTATTTATCCGGAGGAACACCAAATCACGCTCTGCTGTTTACATGTAAATAAACCACTTAATCAATCAATTGCACCACAATCACGATGCCAGACGATACTGTGTTCGATTCTACCGATAAAGGGACCCTTCGGCCTAATGAGGATCCACTGCGCAAGCAGGGGAGTACCTGTAAGCCTATGCAATTGCCCCAATTCGGCTGGGAAATCACCTTACCTGAAGACGTCTCTCTTGATGATCCCATTACTTTATTTACTATGTATTATACCCCTGAAATCATTGATTTGATAGTTGAGAAGACAAATAGCTATCTGCGAGAGCCTCAGGACGATAAGCTTAAGCGAGACCAGGACTCAGGGGGAATGAATAAGCATTCTGCATTGAACGAAGAGGATGCAAATTAACAAGACCAACTTCTGCTTTTGAATTAATCGTTGTTAGGGATTTAGGAGACAGACTCGCTCTGCCCAGGAGTTATTCACAGCCTCCAGACCAAAACAGCGAAGACATTTGTTTCAATATGAGAGATCGGAAGATGTTTCCGCCTAGGGCTGCGATCTACTGTAACTGACAACATCGGGGCCTTGCTACTAAAGTTAATGCTCACATTACTTCGCCCACCCTGCATCATAACCTTATTTCCACCTCCCCTGCAATCCTTGACTTCCCAATGACTCTCAAACAAGAGAACAGTTTTCAAAGATGGCGTCGATGGTCGATTCGTTCAAGACTGGGAAGGTCTCAAAACCAACCGATCTCACCCGCAAAATCGAAGTGATTGGATATGTTTATGACGCTGGTGGGCAGGGGTACGGAAGGTCACGGAACGCCAAGCAGGTGCTAGCACGACTCCTACGCGAAAATCCCAAATCGTATATCTCGGTGGGTTTGAGGTCTACACTGAATACTCTTCGGATGGAGATACGGTAACCTTGAAACGCGAGCGTCTGTCTGTTTCGGACGGCACATCACGCGTGGCAATCGTCGAAACCCTTACGAGTGGCGCCGATTCTCCAGAAGCATCTTCCCCCTTGATCCGCTACCAAATATCAAATAGCCTCGGGTCGGTAAGCATTGAATTGGACGAGGTTGGACGTTATCTCGTACGAAGAATATACGCCATGGCTCAACCTCATACCAAGCCGTACGGAGCCAGCTGACGCCAGCCAAAAAATATCGTTACACTGGAAAAGACCGCGACAAAGAGTCTGGTTTCTACTATCACGGAGCTCGTTATTATATGCCCTGGCTTGGGCGATGGGTCAGTGCTGATCCAGCGGGCTTCGTGGGCGGACCTAACTTATTCATTTATGCGAACAACAATCCCGTGTGCAGAAATGACCCAGATGGTACGAACGGTAGAGTAACGGTAGGCGTACCAGGCAACCCCCAGACCGAGGAGCAACTCAAAGAGATAATGGTAAAGAAAGGGGTAACCTGGACGGGGCATGCAAAACAGACTAGGCCAAGTCATTGGGAAGCAATAGGGGGAGTGATCACCGTCAATAAGAAACCTGGTCCTTCCGGCAGTGAGACTGGCGGCGCATCCGAGCCTCCTGGAGGCGCTCCTGGAGGGCCGCCGACTGGATCACCTCAAGGAACTCCTGAGGGTTCTCCCCAAGGATCGCCTGAGGGCTCGCCAGCTGGTAGTGGTACCGGTACTGCAACTGGCGCGCAAGGTGGACAAGTTGGCCCAGGACAAGGTGGACAGGGCGGACACGCTGAAGAAGCCGGACCAGGTGGATCAGCTCAGGCGGCGGCGCAGCAGGTCCGGAGGAGCGCAGCTTCTGGTCTCGTGGGGGCTTCACACTGGCTGTCGGCGCTCTCACACTTGCGCTTGGCGCGATCATCCTCCTGTCCAACCCGGTTGGCTGGTTCGCGTTGGCTTCTGGTATTCTGTTAGTAGCAAGCGGCGCCTTTGGGGTTGGTTTCGGGGCCACACACCTGGGACTATCCTATAGTGGGAAAACGACTGCAGAGGAGGACAGACGACTCACCCATATCGCGTCGACTGTTATGACTTTCACTGGCTCCATCGGCGGTCTGGTTGGAGGCACCGCCGGGTATCTCTGGACAGGTACAATGGAGGACCTCGAGACCGGCGCCTTCTGGGGCAGCATCGCAGAACGGGTCGGAGTCCTTGCGGAAGGCGCAATCAGCATGGTCCGCATGGAGATCCAATTCGGGCGCGGACCCACCTCCTGGAGAAGGGCGAGCGACGTCATCAAAGAGCTCCTTGGAGCAGGAAAGGCCAACCCGGCGGCGCGCATGCGCACCAACCCCTTGTTCAAGAAACGGGAGACCCGACAGCTCTCGCATGTCATCGCACAGCGCTTTACCAAGGGTTGGGGGTTCTTCAATCGCCCATGGAACACGAAGCCGATGTGGCAGACGGACCACATGCTCATTGATGCAAAGGCCTACCAATTCGGGACCACGGCATTCAAGGCAGCATATGGTGCACTGCGGTACCGTGGGCTTGAGCGACTCTATCGTATCGCTCCGGAGTGGATGCGCGAGGCCTTCTTTGGTGCGAGCGAGGTAGGTAGAGGTTATGTGACTGATAAGGGAGCGAGCAAGTGAATGACCATTCGTTGTTTCTGAATATTAAACTCTTAGGTTCTTGTAAACTAGTTTAGCAACTATTTCTGACAAAACGACAAAAGAGTGCCGAGGAAATTGTAGACTAATTTTGATGGAAATGCCTGTGATGGATATATTTTTGGTTTTGATCAAGAAGCTGACATCCTCAATTTTCGACCGGCAATCCTTGATTCAAACCTTGACCTTCGTCCTCGAGATTTCACCATGATTTCCGTCTAATAAACCTCTTGTCGATTTTTCTTATTTAAATTTCCGAACGCGGGGGACAGTCCCGTTACACCATGGACCGTTCGGGGAATGTGCTGGGACGGAACCGGTAATTACCTAGCTTCTACTTTATTCCCTGAACATTCTTTGGAGAAATCCCATTGGACGTTGAGTGATCGGCGTGAAAGAGAAAAAAGAGCTTAAAAGTCAAGCTCGCTTAAAGAAGCCTGTAAATTATATGCTAGCGCTCTTAAGGTTACTTAACCTCGTTAATAGAATTAACTAAAAGAGGCCCGATAATAGGCCTTTATCCCCTATAATTACAGGCGTGGTAGCGCTGTGGAGTCGTGCGAATTATCCTATGTCGCTCTTTTCGGCATTTTGACCCTTTACCCCCAAAATCATGCCCTACCCTACCCCTTAGAAAACAGAGTTCAAAGCCTCAAGTTTCCGCGGTATCTCGTTCGGTGTCGATCAAGATATATTTATATCCTACAGCCTAGATTTTCATCGTGCGGCTTCCACCACAAAGGTGGCGAAGTCCCAAACTCGAGAATACCCGTAATAGTGAACTGTTTGCCAGACACGCAGATCCGCCGCCCACTACAACTACAGGAAGTCATCACTTGAAGCCGCCTCCGCTGACACCAGTACTACCCGGGGCCAGGAATCGCGCGCTTCAGGCCAATGCTTGCAGTCCAAGCCGGCATCGATACAACGGGTAATGTGACGGCGGGATCGAGGCAATAGCCAAGGCTCAAAGATCCGAGAATCTCATGTATTGAAAATACTAAGCTAAAGAGAAGAAGGAGAGAAGGAGAGAGGGGAGGGAATAAAAGGAGGGAAATACTAGCTAAAATTACTGAAATGTTGGCTAGCTAGATAAAACCAGTCATATAATAGCCACTTTTATATAGCCCCTAACTAGTATTATTACAAGTAATTAATTTCCTCTTTAGCTTAATATATAAGGCTACTATAATTATTACCCTCAATTTAGCTAGTATAGCTAGTATTATAAAGACTAAGCTCTTTTCTTTACTAATTAATAATATAATAATTAGTAATAGCTAGCTATATAGCTTCTTCTTATTATAATATTCGGAACTAACTATAGTTATTCTATAAAACTAGCCGGAAAGCTTTTAGAATTAGCTAATTCTTTTCTATTCCTGAATCTGGCTTCTTAAAATATAAAACCTTAGACTATTTTAAAAATATTAGCTTTTTTATATTTATTATATTTTTTTTTCTTTAGAGCTAGCTATAATAGTAGCTATTTAATAAGCTTAAGAAACTTATATTACTAGTAATTAATTTATATAAAGATCTTAAAGAAATTAGTTATTAGATACTTAATTATATTAAAATTAATAATTATTTAGCTACTTTATTTTTACTTTTATATAAAAGAGAAAATTAAAATAGCTTTTATTAATTCGAGTTAATAAAATTAAGGAAATATATAGGAAAAATAGTTATTAAATAAAATAAAAGAAACTAATAAAAAACTATTTTAAATTATTTATTAAACTCTTAAAATATTTAGTTATAATCTCAAGTATTACTCGAACTTCTAATAATTTTTTAATTTTTTATTATATTATATATATTTTATTTTTTACTACTTTAACTTTATTATTATTACTTAATTTCTGCTTTTATATAAATATCTTTTTTTTCTTTATAATTAGATATTTCTTTTACTTTTATATTTCTTATTATAATTTATTAATTTATAATTATTTATATTAATAAACTAATATCTTTTTATATTAATATAAGAGTTTTAATTAAAGCTATATTAAATAAATCTAATTAATAATATATTCTATTATTAAAACCTTTAAATAATACTTAGTTTATTATATAAAGCTAAATCGAGAATTATTATTATTATTAAAATAATTCAAATTAAATAGTTTTATAATTAATATAATATATTATTTTATAATAATAAGAATAGCTTATATTAGTATAGCTATTTCTCTGGGAGTTACGTATATAGTTACGGGATACGGGATACGGGATATAAATAATAAATAATGAAATATAGGTAATAGAATATGAGATACGGGATATAGTTATATAACCTTGTATCCTATTAGTAACTTGACTAGTAGACTAGACTCCTTTAGGCTTAGCAGATTTAGGGATTATATATTAATACTATAATACTATAATTCTTACTTCTAAATAATAACTTTACTAATTATATATAAATAGTACTTTTATACCTATATAATAGTACTATATATTACTAGTAAACCGATACTAATTAGTTAATACTTATAAATTAGGAAGAATTAAGCTATACTTACCTAAGATTCGGTTATTTAGGGATAAAGCTATTATTCTAATTAAAGAAGAAATAACTATTAATCCTATTACTTGTAATTTGGTTATATAAGTAGGAAAAATACTTGATCTTACTAAGGCCCAATTATATTATATTAAAAAGGAAAATATTTATTAGTCCTATTACCTATAATTTGGTTATATAAGTAAGAAGGGTACTTAATCTTACTAAGTACTAAAACAATTAGCTATTTAACTATCCTATTCTATTCCTATTTAACTCTTATAAAACCCTCTCAAAAATTACTTTCTTTTAAATCCCTAGGGCTCTTAAGTTTTAGAACTATTAAGTTCTCCCGAAATCTCAATATTTTACTTCTTAAATTTCACTTCCTAAATTTCTTATTATAGACGAAATTTTTATCTTAAATATAATATCTATTATGAATTACTTATTTTATAAACTATTTTCCTTCTTATAAACCTATTTTCCTTATAAACTACTATATCTCGAACTAGATATAAGCCTATAGAATATATAATAGTAGAATATACTATAGTAAATAATTTCTTTATTAGATCTATCTAATCTAATTACTTTATAAATAATAATAATTTTAAGAAATTAGTAAGAAAATAGAGATATAGGATTAATCTAAATTCTATTAAGGTAAATAAGATAACTAAGTTCTTAGATACTAAGCTATTTTAATATATTCTTTATAAAATAGTTAATAATAATCTTTAAGAGCTATTTAGATATAATTTTAAGAACTTTACTTATTAAGGGAACTTTAATAAATTTAAACTTCTAGAGATACTATACTTATATAAGACCCTTTAGTATAGTAATATATTTATATAATAGAATAATAATACTAATACTATTATAAATACCTTATATATTATTATAAAAGAGGATAAATAATATATATAGTTAAATGAGAATATATTAGTAACTAGACTAGATCTTATTAAGGAACTAATCTTATTAGGCTTTATTACCTTTATAAAAAATAAGTACCTAGAACTTATTATCTTTAATATTTCTATATTACTATTACTTTCTTTACTACTTTTTTTATTACTATATCCTATATCTCTATTAGATTTATATACTAGTACGGAAGCTCTAGGAGTAAATAATATACTCCTATTATTATTACTACTATAACTATATCTAAATAATTCCTAATTTCCTTTAATTATAAAACTTATTAGGGAAGTTACTAAGATCTATATTAAAAAGTAAAAGTATAATAGATCTAATAATAATTTTAATTATAAACTTACTATTTTCTTTAATATTTACTAATATATAAAGCTTTTATAAGAGATACTAATATGAGCTTTTCCTATTATATTAAAAGAACTAGCTCAAGACTATTTCTATAATAACTAGCTTTCTTAATATATATATAAAGAGGCTTATATTAATATTTATAGCTTTTTTAAAAGCCCTGAATTCAAATATTGAAATTTAAATAAGTAAAATATTATTATATTAGCTTCTATAATAACTAAATTTCCGGAAAAGATAATATTTGAAACTATTTAATTACTAATTAATAAATTATATTAACTATAATATAGTCTTATATCTAACTTATAAAATACCGAATTTCTCTATAATAAGATTATTACCTCTTACTAAGGCTTCCGGACATATAGATATATAATCTCAGACTCTCTTATAAATCTCGGCTAGCTTATTAATAAGCTCTAATTATCTATTATTATATATAAGAATAAATAATAAGCTAATCCCGAAATCTTCTTTACTAATTAATAATACTATTCTTAGAACCTTTTAAGCTATTATTTCTCCGGAAATTATTAATATAGACCTAGCTATAATTTCGGAACCCGTAATAATTACTTTAAGCCCTATAATTATAATAATTATATTCTAAAGTTATATTTTATATATAAGAAACCTAAATACTACTTATAGAAATATATACTAGAGAAATAAGAGGCTAAGAAGGCTCGATTTAGGGATAGAAATATCTATTAGTTTAGATCCCGAAATACTTATAACTTTAATAAATACTTTAGTAATACTTATATATAATATATTACTAAAGCTAAAGATAAAAAAAGTAATAAGGGTAATAAGAATAAACTAGTAAATAATACTTTTAAGGCTTTATTAATAGAAATAGATAAAGAAAAGAAATATTATCTAGATTTCTATTTTACTTTAGTTAAAAGCTTTTTAGCTACTTCTACTACTCTTGCTTTACTAATAACTATAGCTAATATTCTAGTAAATAACCTTATTTCTCTTTTCCTTATATACTAGATAATAGGCAAAAACCATATCTTAAAGCCTATTAAACCCTTAATAGAAAACGCCTAGACTTTTATAATTAATAATATATTAAAATATAATACTTATTACTTTTATAAAGTTATAATTAATACCGGAGCCTCTAGATACTTAACTACTAGTTCTAACTAATTCTAAGCTCTCTAGTAAACTAATAATAGTATTAAACTTAATAAAACTACTAAAGATTAAGTTAATATCTAGTTTAGTATTAGATCTATATCTTTTATTAGATTTATAATAGTAAATATACTAATTAGGTAAGTATAATTTTATATTATATCTTTAAAGATTCTATTTTTGCTTAGTTTAGCTAATATAAAT